ATTTGTAATATTTGTATTCTTGGTGAAGTGGCGATCGCTACGAAACACGAACGTCAATGTTTTCAGTTGAACAAGCTGCTACTACAGCCTATAAGTAGCCCGAAGCACACACAGTGCTCACGTTTTGTTTGATTAGAGGACATCTGAAATGCACAATTTCTTAATGGGGCTATTAGCATGTGCAGCAGTAGCAGAATGCGTTTGCCTATCTGTGTATTGTGGTCTCATGCTCATTATCTTCGGAGAACTTTCAGATTTTTACGGCGTTCATGTGTCTTTGAGATTTGTCTTTGAGATATGCATATAAATGCAAATCCACCTGTAAATATACAACGCATTCTCACCCCAAGGCGTCACCTTTGACCATGCTTCAATATTTGACGTTTTAGGCGCCCTTTAGCGTCACTTACATGACGCGATCCTACGGCGTCATCTAACTGACGCTAAAGGAAAGCGTCAGTTAGAGGACGCGGTTAGGTTTAGGTGTGGGGTGGGGGTAGGGTACACGCGATCCTAGGGCGTCATCTAACTGACGCTAAAGGGCGCCTAAAGCGTCAGATATTGAAGCATGTCCAAATGCTTCCCAAGGCGTCAGTTAGGTGACGCCTTGGGAGTGAGAATGGGCTGAAATATATTAAAGGAACGGTTTAAAGTGTAGATATAACCTGATCAGCTGATGCGTGGTTTAGGTAGTTTGATGTTGTTGAGATTGACTTCCTGGCGACAACAAGAAACTGCCTTGATTACGTCAGTTTACCTTCATCAAGGCCGCGCATTTCTGACAAATGATCCTTCCTCACACACTCCTCAATTGCCATTGTAAATGAACCACCGCCGCCGGGCCTACAATAGCCTAGACTATAATATCTATCCTTTCAACATCTTCCTCGGTTTTATATGGCCGTAAAAACTTCTATGGCTTCCAGTGGGTGAATTGGGGCTATAAACCCAGAGGTTGTAGTCTATAGGCAACGATCTCCCTGCTTTGTTGGTAAGACACGCATTGATATTGTTGGTGAATAGGGTGATTTTGTTGGGGTGTTTCAAAATAAGTCTTGTTCATATGTAATTAGTTCATTGTGACAGGCTGTATGTTCAGTTTAATCATATAGCATCAAATGTTTTGTTTTCATTTGATAAGCAAACTAACGCACAGTGTAAAATAAGGTGCACATAATCCTAATAGGCCTATTGGACTTTATTTTAATAAAATATTCTGCAACTGCAGTGTACCGAAAATATTAAAGCATGACGAGGTAGCCTTACAATAATTTTTGTAAAACAAATTAAATGAATAAAAGCCCTACCTTTCCTTTCGCAACACTGTCTAAAATATAGACAGACAAAATATATATCTGTCATGAATCGGAATTATTCCTTAATAAAGTTAAATGTGCTCTTCTGAAGCCTTTTTGTCACATTATTTTAAGTTAGGTTTTTAAATGTAGCCTAAGTTCACCGATAGTTCCGTTTAGCCAGGTTTAGGTGTAGCTATATTGTTTATTTTACAGATTCGTTTATTTGTGATTGCTTGTTTTCAGCTCTTTTCTGATTACACAGAAAAACGGTTAAGGATTCTCAATTTCCATAGGCGATATATTAAAAACTGCATCTACTGAGCTTTTATGTCATTGAGGGTCTAAAACAACAAAACTCGAAAAAAATCGAAAACAACAGCCAATTTTTGTAATTTACTTGAATTGATTAAGGATTGTTCAGTTTATTCAATTAAATCACGTAAGGATTCAGTTTGATGGAATTTGAATTCTTAAAAAAAGCTTTTTTTGTGTTCGCATTGCATAACTGGAATGCCATTATCTTCATTATTAATTCATGTCATCTTGTGAATTCTTTCACAGTGCATATGAAATGGGTTTGAGAACAATGGGTTTATGGAATGGTGCTTATTGGAAACTGTTCATGTTCAGATTTGTTTCTTAATTTGTTTAACACAAATACATTAAAATGTGTGTAAACCAACTTGGTACGATTCATTTGATTATATGCGGCTGACTGATAGTTTTGTAAGGTATACTTGCACTTCAGCGATAAGGCCGTGAATTATAGGCGCAATACGTCGTTTCGCCGGGAATAGACAAATATTGTAGCACATTACATAGCCTACCATTTAAAAAATGAGTAATTCATAAATGTCTGAAGTTAATTTTACAGCTTTACCCGTTAATCTAACACAGTCTCATGAAAGTTCGTATATTGTTCGTATAAGCACGAATGTCATTTCTCGTGCCATTTATGCGCCAAAAATAGTTTTTGTGTATATATGGTACGCGTTTTTCATATGATACGCACTTTTTGCTCCTCCCCACCCTCCTTCCCCCTAAACCTACCCAGGGGGTTTTCAGTGCGTAGAATATGCACGCAAAAACCATTTTTGGCGTATAAATGCCACGAGAAATGACAATCATCTAATATAAAGCAACATACATTGTATTTAAAGCTTAGTCAATTAAATAATCAACTCCTCAATATGGAATTATTAGAAATATCAGAATGAATATTTTAAAAGTAAATTGCCTGAAAATAACTACATCCAATAACAGACACAAGCTACCGGGCAGAAGTGTGGAATAATGTTTTAATATTTTTTGAAAAAATTATCTTCTCAGCAAGGGTGCATTTGTACAAAAATACAGTTAAAACAATAATATTGTGAAATATTATTACTTTCTTTTTAAATGTTTGAATTTTCGACTTATATTTTAAAAAAATCATTACTCCGTCCTCAATGTCACATAAACCTTCAGAAATCATTCAATATGCTGACTTGCAGCTAGGTTATTTTTAATAAATATTTGTGTTCAATAATCATATGTTTCTTAGCCTGTTATCAATGTTAAAAACAGTTTGTGTTGCTTAAGACCAGTTCTTTAGTGAATAGTTCAATTAGGCTATAAGCCTAACAACATTTATTTGAAATATAAATATTTTGTAACATTAGCCTAAATGTATTTACAGTTACTTTGAATCAATGTAATGCTTCCTTGCTGAGTAAATTTATTATTATTATTATCTACTTATTTTTGAATGCTTGTGACGCGGGTTTTACAGCACTATTAAGCAACAAAACTGTTTTCAAATTTATAATAACAATAAGAAATGTTTCTTGAGCATCAAATTAGAATGGATCACGTGATAGCCTACTGAAGACTATGATGCTGAGAATTCAGCTTTGATCACAGGAATAATGATGATCTTTTAAAATATGTACTTAAATAAAAAACGATTTTTGTCAATTTAATATTTCACAATACTGTTTTTAATGTAGGCCTATTTTGATTAAATGTTGCCTGTGGTGAACATGAGAGACATACAAAGAGAGAGAGATAGAAATACATACAAATCTTAATTATTTCAAGCTTTTGACCGCTGTTGTAAAAATAAATTTGTCTGGTAGTCAATCACCAATCCATTAAAGCAATTTAAAATGAACACATAAATGAACACTAGATGTCACTGTCCTCCAATCATGTCAAACCAGATTGCGTTGCATTAATAACTTCATACCATTGTAGTTTGCTGACGGTACCTGCGGACTGTCTCTCAGCGCATGTGTAGCCTATAGAGACCTATTTATATCATAAAGCTCGTTTTGACGGAAAATCGGGTTGTAGCTCGTTGTCTACGACGTTATGTTTGTAAATAGGTCTCAATTGTTTTTTAGCAACGTTTAGCTCACGATTGAATTGAGTATTGAAGTTATTTCCATATGGAAGTCAATGGATACAGTCAACTGTCTGGTAAACATCATTCTTCACAATCTTATTTCGTGTTCAGCAGAGGAAAGAAACTCAGGGTGAACTGTCCCTTTAAGTTAACTTGTGACCTTGGCTGTGGAAACTTCAGATAAAGGAGACATCTGATATGTGGACTGGACCGAGGTCAACACAACCTGTGGCCAGTGTGTGGATGTGCTAGTGTGCACCAGCAGGGAGCAGCCTTCCTTTCTCTGAGCCTGTAACCAGGCAGGGGAACATGAATATGGTGTGTTACTGCAACAGTGATTTACCTGTTTATCTATTTTCAGAATTCGGTTGTTTTAACAAATGTTCTGTGGTTGGTTGATTAGGGGTTGCACAAAAGAAGAGTTTGGGAAACAGCAGTTTAGAGCATACAGAGCTACACAATGGTTATCTGCTGCAAGGGTTAATAATTAAAGTCTTTAAGTACTCTCACAGTCACCCAAAATCATGTCCCATCCACCCCTGTTGTGTTTGGGTGGATGGGACAAAATAAAAACAACCAAATTCTGACAATAGAAATGTGATATTAACACTTTTTTTTGCTGCAGTATACTTCATATTCATGTGTCCATCAAGAGTTTGTGCAATATAGCTATATGACAATTTTATGACCTTATTATGAAAACTAGTTATGTAATGTTCCTCACTTCATGCATTTCAGGGTCGACTTCCTGTTTAATGATTGCCCCGCCCACCTACATGATGTCCATGAGAGGAATGTAGATTATATTACTTGTTGTAATAATGCCTATTAATATCTTGTATCTACAAACAAAAACAAATTTATAAATATTGGGTTTCTCTCTCTCTCTCTCTCTCTCTCTCTCTCTCTCTCTCTCTCTCTCTCTCTCTCTCTCTCTAGCATATATATATATATATACAATACAAAGGGTTCCTAATTTCTTTGTAAATAAATATCATATTCAGCAAGGAGCTGTGTAATCCTTATGTTTATCTGACATTTTCAGGTTTGGAGTCTCTGATACATTAGAGGAAGGCTTATACGCCAGGCCTGGAAACAATTGTGTATACAGTTCTCCCAATGCTAGTGTGCAATACGCGTGCAATGATTTTAAATCTTTTAATGTCAATATAAATTAATTTGTATACATTAAAGAAAGCAATCTGAAGACTACAGTATGAGATTTTTCTGCTTTACTGAGACCCTCAAGAAAAGTATTCGTCCAGGAATCCCGGATAGAAAGAAGGCGATACATTCTTGGCTGTTTGGTGACAAATTTACAGCTATGTAATAAAAGTTTACGACTTAGCCAAGGAATGGATTGGCTGTGCTAAGTCACATGGTGTCCTCTCCATGATAATGAACTTTATAATATTGTCTCTGCCCAGATCATTCGTTCCCCATCAAGATGAACAACACGGAACATTAGTTTTTTTAGTCTTACAACTTTAACAACGGTAATCATTTAGTTGACAGTCGTTTTTACCTCCTATCCCTGCATCTGCTCTTCTAAAGTAGCCTAAATAGTTTTAGTTTTGATAGAAGTCGAGAGCGTATTTTGCACTACAGGAAACAGGAATGGATCTTCACCAGATGTGGATTAACGTTACCTTATTATTTGAGAAGCTGCTTGTTAATAAGCTCTCTCTGTCTGTCTCTCTGTGTCTCTCTCTCTCTCTCTCTCTCTCTCTCTCTCTCTCTCTCTCGAGCTTTTCAGCGGATCCGTCAAGAGCGTTGCGAGAAAGAAGTGTTGAGCGTCGGTGAGTTTGTGCTTTTGCGCTTTAATTTAACTTAGACAATTTGTAATTAGTAGCCACTTGCAGTAAACACAGCAGGCCTGACTGAGTCTTTTTGACATTTCAATAAACAAAGAAATTATTTTTTACAGAATAAATTCTATTTCAAATATATTTTAATTTTAGAACACTAAAAGGAGCACTGCATTGTCATTCGTCATCAGCGTTTCTCTCCATTAACTTAAAAAAACATAAATTGGGTCCAAACGCCAATGGAGAGCGTCGTCCATGTTTTTTACAGTCTATGGGTCAGTCTATTGGGTCATTCAATAAACCTGAAATTGTCATAATCTGCTAACAAAATTGGATAAGACTAACGACGTAATATGGACAAAATATTAGGCCTACACACTACTTGTAAAAAAAAAAAAAAAAAAAAAAAAAAAACAAGTCCCATTGATTCAAAATTGAGATATCATATAGGCTTAAAATAGAATATAGCCAAGAAAAAAGAAAAGAAATGTATATATATATAAGAAAATTAAAAATAAAAAAAAAACATTAAAAAATAAAAAAGGGACACATAGCGCATATCAACCACTTGTAACTCTTGGGGAAAAATAGGCATATAAATAAATAATACATTTCCAACCAAAAGCAATAAAAGGATGACACGATGTAAATGTAAGTGGATGAAATTATAGATTTTAAATACATAACTTTTAAATCGGCAATATTTTAATACTTCTCTAGAAGCACAAATGTTGAAGAAAAACAGCATTATTTGCAGGCTTCAGGCATTCATTTCAAAAGGTGGAAAAGTCATCTGCTATTTGCTAAGTCATGGTACTTCCAAAATATTTAGGTGTTTTAGATTAAAAATAGTTTGAAGTTATGTATTAACAACTAAGTAGTATAAACTAAAACTTTTATTTTATTCACATTAAATAAAAACATTCGAATAATTTTATCATTTTATAGGCCTATTATTACACATTTATTTCCTGTTGTTTTAAAAATGCTTAACGTTTAATATAGCATTAGGAAAACAACCAGGAAAGAAGCTTAACGGAAGTTATAGGCCATACTTCATTTCACAATCAATGATCACAACTGAACACACTCAGTGCTACAACTCACTTGGAGAATTGTTCATCTTTACACAATTGTTTCCAACCCTGGTCCCAGGCCTATGGCTATGCCTCTAATAATGCAATTAGGGTTAGGGTTAGTCTCCTTATAAACTTATCAGCTCCTCCAAAAAAAACTGAAATAGTGTCAGATAAAGAAGAAACCAGCCACATCGTAAGCCTACTTCCGAATTGATGTGAGATTGCGTTGAATATTACTAAGACTACTTTATATCTACTTTTCTATTTTTTTTCCGTTTTTTTTTACAAGATTTGCGGAATTAACGTTGTTATAATAATTTTGAAGTAATACGTGTTAACAACGACAGCATTTGGACCATTGTAAAGGCCAGCCAAGCCTAAAATAACTGAAATAAAACACTTACTTGCACAAATCAACTCCACCGATTAACGTTTTTCTCTTTAATTCCAATTTACTTAGGCTACCACATTGAGAGCCATGAAATGTTGCGAAATATTGCTGTTTGAATTAGGCTTACCTGTTGGCATGATTTAAATTTTAATCATCATAAACAACATAAATAATAATTAATGTAGCCTATTTATTATATAGGCTACAAAAACTGTCACTCGAAATCATTATGAAAACGGCTGATTATTGCCAACATTAGCGAAAAACAATTGGCAGTTTCTCCATGTCCGATTATCAGCTGCGTTTAAAATGCTCGATATCTTGCTTATAATGCTCCTGTCAGCACATTTAGCCTGTATATTCTTTGTATGAATATTTCTGTATTAAATATGTTTGTTAAAATATTCCATGTTTACGCTCTGTTGTGAGTAGGCTTTTTCTTAAATATTACAGAAAAATATCAATAATTAGTTTCTTCTTTTCTTTTTTCATCTTTATTAGTTTCTTCTTTACTTCTTCCTTATTCATTTGTTTAACATAAGGTAGGCCTATGGACGTTTCATTTGCTCCTGTTACGCTTTGAGAATATCACTAATAACCACAGTAAAAAAGTTACAGTTGTTAATTTAAAATATGTAGGCCTAACCAAAATCTGAATTTTTCCTTAAACTATTGGACATGATCTTATTCAAGTTGCACAGTGCAAGTCAAATTTACAATGTTGTGTCATTTCCGTGTACGAATACAGCATAATGCATAGCTAAAGCCAGTAAACCATGTCATTTGTCTTCTTTTACAACTTTCATTGTAACAGGCGTTAAGGAATTCTGCAGTAAAACCATAAAACCCCCTCTTTTAAACAACGGGTAAAACGAGCGAAAGTGTAATGTACATCTTCACCTGATAGTTGATTTACTTGTTGATTAGTTAATCGTTCATCTGATATGGGCAATTTTGGTTTAGGCCTGATGGCCAGAGATGCATGGGTAACAAAAAAAAAAGTTTATTAGGCTATAAATTAAATTATTAATGGAACGCATTTATTTTCCATGTAAATAGCATATCCAGAGGAATGTAATACGCACGTATACCCCTCCCCCTAGTCCTACCCAAGGGGTTTACAATGCGTAGCATATGCACGCAAAAAAAAAAAAAAAAAATTGGCCTATAAATGGCACGAGAAATAACATTCGTGGTAGGAGATACGCACTTTCATGAGACTGTGTTGGGATAACATATACGCCGACTTAAACGACTAAAATCAAATCGGTTTGTTTAATGAGCATCTAATAGGCTAATCCATTTAATATTACATTTGACATCTATGGTTTCGAAAGTAGCCTAACTGAAATAGTTGTAAATTTTCTTAAAGCATCACTCAAGAAAACAGGTTAAATCGACACTATGGCTCAAAGCGAATACATGTCAGTATGTAGCCTATGTGAAAATACCGTTTCTTTCTGTTCCATAACTATTTCAAATGTTATAGCCTACTTTATCATTTAAGTAATTTAAAGAAAATACATAGAATGAATAACACAATAAAATGAATAACAATCACAGCTTGCACTCCTTACCTCGTTAAGCTTCTGGGGGAAATTAATCGATTTTTTTTTCAACCAAACCAGTGACGCGAGGGCTATTCACTAATTACGTAATTGTATTACTAAACCTTAATCTCATTTATACTAGCCTATAGGGGCTGAGGCTTGTGGACATAATTCTGTATTACAGGACATTACTTTGACGAGCCAGAAAAAAAAGATATATAGGCCTACCAATGATTTATACAGCGTAGCCTCAAATTACTTAAGAAATATTTGGGGTGTGTGTGTGTGTGTGTGTGTGTGTGTGTGTGTGTTTGAGAGAGAGAGGGAGATTGGAAGGGAGGGAGAGAGAGAAAGCTAGAGAGGAAAGAGAGAATCAATAATCAAAAACCTCAATAAAAGGGGTGTGCATGCGTTTTGTTCCCTTCGTTACGCTGTTTTAACAGGGCAAAGAAAAGATATTTGTACATTTATTGTTGCTTCCTGTATTTATTTGTTTTGTTTTTTATCGGAGTGGTCAGCGGATATTGTCATCTTGTCAATCTTATAGCGAAGATTGTGGATGAGTGCACATTCTCTGCTGGGGTTCTGAAATAAATTATAAAGTAGGTTAATTATAAAAGACTTGAAATAAGATATAGGTTGATATAAAGAGTGCGTGAGAGAAAAAGAGAAGAGAGTGAGAGAAAAAGTGACGTTTAAAGGAAAGAAGGGATGAATTCCTATTTTACGAACCCGCCGCTCTCGTGCCATTTAAACGGTGGTCAAGAAGTTCTGTCCAATGTGACCCTGAGCTCGACAAACTATGACCCGGTCCGACACTTCTCTCCATATGGCGCGGCCGTGGCCCAAAACCGGATATACGCAAATCCGTTCTATTCCCCTCAAGAAAACGTGATGTTCGGGCCAAGCCGAGGACCGTACGAGTACGGGTCAAATGTGTTCTACCAGGACAAGGATGTGCTTCCTAGTTGCAGGCAAAGCCTCGGGCAAACACAGGGTTCACTGACCCAGGATTACGCTTCAGACCCAGGCAAGACTGCGTCTCAGGAACCGAAAGGAAATATTCAAATATATCCGTGGATGCAGCGGATGAACTCGCACAGTGGTAAGTATGGACACAAAAGAGATATATTTAGTAGCTACAGGACGGACCTATTCGTTTTTACGACAGGAAAACCCAAGTTTTATGACGCCATAAAGCACTCACGAAACTGTTTGTTACCCTGCGATAAACGCGTTTGGTCGTCGGAGAAAATCCAACACGCCATTCTGTAGCCTACAAAGAGGATGTTAAAATGTCTAATTACAGGGACAGTGAACTTATTTAGCTTGATGCATCGTCTTGCTCTTTAAATATTTTAGTTGTGCAATATTGGGAGTCTTCTCTTCTGACTTTAAATAATCTCTTTCCTAACAGGAGTTGGCTATGGGTCTGACAGACGGCGAGGTCGCCAAATCTATTCGCGATACCAAACTTTAGAACTAGAGAAGGAATTCCATTACAATCGTTATTTGACGAGACGCAGAAGAATCGAAATTGCCAATGCGTTGTGCCTGTCGGAACGCCAGATTAAGATTTGGTTTCAGAACCGCCGGATGAAGTGGAAGAAGGAGAGCAATAATCTCACATCCGTCCTCAGTGACAGTGGCTCGGCAGGAGCTGGCCAGGACACGGACAAAGAAGAAGCACGGGAAACATCCGAGAAAACCGAGCATAACTGACGGCCTATCGGTCTACAACATTCAGTGTTAAATAAGTTCCTACATGATAGGCTACCTGTCGAACTTTCATAATTTGCACAATTTATTTACACCAAAAACATTTCATATAGTCGTGAAACGTGTTTTCCACTCAATTTATTCTTTCCCCCAAATTGTAGAAACCTGTTTAATTCCAGAAATACACAATGGATGGCTATTATGAATCAAAGAAAGCTAGGCAGAAAGCTGCAAACGTTTTTATCTTCTGTCTATATTGATTTGCTCTTGTTGGGATTTTTTATTTTTTTAAGTCATCTTTTTTATTTTGATATCTTTTTCCTCAAACAGGTTACAGTTTAAATATTAGGCTACAATCATTTTTTAATCATTTATTATCGTGTATTACAAAATATCTAATGGCAAGTAGCCTACATTGTAAATGTTTGTAAATATAGCTATGAGATTCAGATTTGTGTAGCTTTCCTTACAATGTTCTGTTTTGTGCTTTTCTTTACTTTGTGCTACGTTCTGTAAGAAACAGGCGATGTAAAGTATTCTCAGATAATGTTTTCAAAATTTGGAATAGCTAACAAGCGATATGAATTCTATGTTTGAAATTCACGCAAAATAATATTCAATAAAGTTGTGATGAATGTGAAGATACCTGATTTCCTGTAAATTATTAAATATATAAAGTCGTGTGCGCAACTTTGAAAAATTAAAATGACAACTGAAACCAACCGTTAAATAACAAGGTTAGATTGGCATGAAGATGTGCCTTACTCCTAAGTCCTAAGATGTTAAAAACCATTTATCCCAATTATTTTAACATGATCTACTCATGACTACGCTTTTTTTAATTGATGGTTCTATACCTTTTATCTTAGACTACACAATCCCATTGAAACACGATACAACATCGTCCCATTATAGGGACTATTGTTTTTGCCTTGGCTTTTGTAAAGTCTTTCACTGCAATCTATTACTCGTACTGAAGCTACTTAATTAAAAACTGAACAAATTATTTTTTTATACGTTTGCCATCTCTTTATTCAAAGAAATAAACTCATGTTGAAAATACCACGAAATAATTGTGAAATAAAAGTAAGGTGCTTCTGGTCTGAATGTTGGCGCTGTGCTGCCACCGAACTGTTTAACTTAAATGCTTAAGAATCTGTTTGAGGGCTCTGCATGTTACTGAACTGTTACATGTTCTCAATAAAGTAGTATACATGTGTCTTTTCCATTTCCCCTCATAAGTGAAAGAAAAATAATTAGTGTAGTAATTGTAATTTCCAATTGCGATCCCGAAAAATGGCTTGTCAATTAACCGCAGATTACGCTATTAGCCTTCAGGCCCGCTTTTTCTAAGCATAAATTCTTAATTCAACCTACTTTTTGACTGGATCGAGATCAAGATTGAAAATCTCAAAGCAAAACAAAGAAACCACATCAAATAGCCTAGGCTAAATAATAGGCTACACATTTTTATACGGTTCATGAGACAATTTTCAATTTAGCATGTCCCAAATAGCGCATTCGTTGTTCAGGTAATCTCATAGCCTACTTTCGATTCACCTTATTTCAATTCACAACAATGGCTCAGATTTTACAGATATCAGCACAGGTCTTCTGAACCCATCATCATCAGGTCAGGTGTTGGGTAGTCAGCATTATTCATCAATAGCAAGTGAAATCTTCAGTTGATAATTCCCCATGACAATAATTCCGATTTTATCATCCTCAACAACGGGGGTGAAATAAGTATAAGAGAACGGACAACATCTGATGATTCGTGGGAAATTCCGCCGAGAAGAAATCTGTCCAGCCTGTGGGACCAGAAACGAGGCTTGGATGAGTAAACTTCATTTGAGACACGGTTGCCAATGTTGCTTTTTCACTTTCTTGGCTACATGTGTTCGTTGTCGTTTTGTCTTTCCAGTCTCTTTAGTTCATGCATTATTTTCTTAAGTTTTATAGAGCTTATTCGGACATAGTAAAACTAGCGGTAGTAAATTATAACAGTCATCAGATGCTCGTAAAACTGTCCGCTATTAAATTTACGATGGTAGGCTATAATTAAATAATTAAACATTTTTTTAAAACACGGATATGCAGTGATACATGTTTTAACGTCATTATTGTGTAGCCTAAATATGGCAACATTCATATTTTATATAGTGATATTATATCTACACCAGCTTATGCATATAGCCTACATAGTCTACCTTAGACTATTTAGTGTTTTTAAAGCACTTTCTACAACCTTAATTAGCCTTTGATTTGACAAACGATTTATTACAACCATAAGCTAGCTAGGCTCCATGAGGCTAAGAAGCTAAGGCTAAATGTTTTATTCCAAAAAGTAAGATAGCGCTGCATGTGTTCTCATATATCTTCATAAAGAACTGAAGATATCAGCGCTTATATTCTGTGACGGTTATCAGGCCTCTTATGTGACGCTTAATACGACCATTCCAAACAATTTTAACTTGTGATTTCAAACCAGGGAATTCATTTCAACCGATTCTCACGCGTCGAGGACATCGTCCATGGCCAGTGTAGGCTATAGGCTACATCAAAATCTGGTTTCAGAAGGAGATAGATTTCAAGTTAGAAGTTATGGAGCAAAATTACGACGATATAAATCAACTGCTGGAAACAGATTTTCTCATGTTCTTCATATTAATGCTATTGTAGCCAAATGTACCGCGCTGCCTTTAGAAGGGAATTCCAAATATTTTTCCTAATAACTTGCTTTCTCCCTCGCTTATTAGAAATAAAAAATATATATATATTATAATATTAGCATGTATAACCAACCCAAAGGGCTTTTGTAGACGAGTGCGTATCGCAGCATATCATTTGAGATGGCGTTGAAATAGCAGCAGTCTGTGCATCGTTATGCATTTGCATTTTCTCTCAGGAAATCCCCAGGGATGATCCCCAGTACAATAAGCTATCCGTTCTTTAAAAATATGTTAAGTATATTTTCTGCTATTTAATCATAATTTGAATATTTTTTCATGCCATAATAGAATTAATGTTAAGTTGGTCGATCACAGTTCACAGGGCTGTAGATGGGCCTAGAGGCTACAGCATACAGTTAATGTATATCACCCGATCGAATTTAGCGATTAAAACGCGGGAAAATAACCTTAAATTGATTTGATTTAAAAACAGCCATATTCCCGCCAACAAACTACAACTGTTGTGAAGTAGCCTATATGGCTACTGCATGAAAGTTATAACATGCAGTTTACTTTTTTAGTAAACAAACACTTGTTGAGCATTGGCCTTACCCTCTGAAAATTAATCAAAATAGATTCCATAGCCTATCTTGCCGATTAGGAGAGGTATAGTCCAAGTCGAACACCTTTTGACTTTATGACTGATGATGTTGCATTAAATCAATTAAATAATAGATTAAAATAAATAAAATAAAATACAAAATAATGTTGCGATGTACTGGCCATCCGTTCAGGCCTACATAACGCCCGTTTCAAGACAATGGTTTGGGAAATAAATTGAGGATGGGTGGATTTTTGTACAATTCTTTGAAAACGCAGATGAAAAGTAACCTGACCTCATTTAGCAAATAAACAACGATAAATAAGAATGCTGAAGCAACAATGATATAAGAATGCTGAAACTGGGGTGGGGGACAAGACATCCTCGTAAATGCACCCTTATGTTACTTTTTGGGGCGATCATACTTTGTGATATCGCTTGTCTTGGCTGTTTTCTGCGGTTTTCAAGAGCATCTGCTGGGATCGGGATCATTGTCGAGCTCCACTTTTGTTTCAATCATTTACAGTACAGACTTGTAAAACTTTATTGCTTTAACAAGTCATAAAACTTTATGGCTTTCTTCCTCACATCTAAAATTACGACAGTTGTTTCCTGTTTAACTAAACAGATTCAGACAGGGACCTTTATTGAACAAACACAACTAAAAACCCTACTGCTAAAGCTTCCGGTTCGTTCGCAAACAGAATTTATAAACCTATTTTTAAACGATGGCATGTCACGCAATTAACATTGTATATTAAGACAAACAAGTAACCCTCATTGCATCACACACAATGTAAGAGTTTAAGCTCCTTTTCAAAATGAACAGATATCAAATGTCAAACTAGCAGTCATTGTGTGGCTCCAAATGTTGAGCTGATTGATTGGCTTTGGCAAATGGCTCCCTCACTGTGCTGTAAGTAATAATCACGATTCCTAAACTTAGGCCAAATAAAATTTATATCTGTCCCTTTATAGCCAACGACCCTTATTAATATGGTAATTCAATTCTTGCTTGAGAAGGCTTTCTCAAAACATAGGTTTCAATCCCATGTATGCAAAACAGCTTCACATCTGTTTTAGTTTGTTTGAATGAGGGGAAGCATGTGGTAGCCTACTCCATGTTAAATAGGCCTAATTACAAATGTTTTAGAGTTTTTATTTACAGTCTATGCCAAACGTAAAAAGTGATTGATTAATTGATATTTATGATGTTATAGCCTACTTCCACATGGGAGCGACTTATAAAAATCCAAGTAAACCTTTTAAAATTTTTATTATGCCCCCTAGAAGTGAATTTGTTTGATCAGATAACTACCAAAAACTATACTGGAATGGATGATGTCCTGTTTGGTGGACAGATATCTCTCCATGTGAACTTGCTATACTGATGCTGTCCCTGATCACGAGTGAGCTGCCTCTGAACCACTTACTTGTACTCGAATCATGGATGAAGAAGATTCACATCAGAACATGCAATTGTTTTTGTAATCAACTCCCAAACCTCTTCTGTCCTCTTTGTCTCCATTTTCTGTCACTTTTACTTCTGTCACTTTTACTTCACTATCTTGACCATCTATAAGCAGATATGCACATGTTTTCAGTGAGAAGCCATGCAAAGCGACATATGAAGCGGATTCACAGCCCTGGCAATCACTCCAGTCATAAATGTGACAGCAGAGGCTCTAGGCAGCCAATGAGACTTTTCTATCATGTCTGCGCTGGAGAATTGAAGGTGAATAAGTAGGAGAAAGTAAACAAGATGAGGGATATTAACCTAATTTAAAATTAATTATTCACCATCACAATGTTGGAAATCACCTTTCATTTTTTTTTCCTGTGAACCTTGTTACATTGGATCAGAGTCGAAGCTCTCTCCTCAGACAGAACGGCTCCTGAGGAACAGTCTGGTGCATCAACCGAGACCAAGATGTTAAGAGGTTATATGGGATATATTTGTTGTTTATAGCTTTTCATTGTTTTTTGGGATAGGTATATGTACTATGTTGGTGATTAATGCTTTTTTTCAAATACTAACTTAAAGATCTGAAACGGTTATGACAGATGACAGACATCCAAAATGTGTACTGTTGGGGAATGTGTAAGATCATATGTGGTCACTTTTCACAGCTACAAAGTTTTGTGATATCTGCATAATAAAATGGAATCACGATTTTTAATCTTTACGTATTTGTAACAAATATGGGAAATAAAACTGTATACTATCCAGTATAAATTACAAATATTTATTAACATCACACACACATAAAGAAAGTTATATGGAAAATGTTGAGGTAGTTTCTGTCATTGCTCTGCATTAACAGCATGACGTTGCTGAAGTTCACTTAGAGTTTTTTGAATGACTCCATAGGCTGTAAAAATCATAGGCTGTTTTTCTCCATGTAATGCATTTTACTGGTAACCAAACGATTCAAGGTCCAAAAGACAGTTTCAGTGCAAACTGCAAACTGTTCAAAGGGCTTTAAATGATTCCAGACGATGAACAAGGGTCTTATCAAGCAAAACGATTGCTCATATTTTTTTTTAAAAAATAACAAAGTTTAAGTTTTATAAGCTCAAATGCTCGCCTCTGTTCTGTGATGCGCATTCATGACTCTCCTATTCAAACTCATACATCAAAATGAACAAATCTTTTTCCAGAGTCATCTCGTTTATTTCATTCGTTGAATGAACCAAATGACACGGAAAAAGACTTGTTCATTTTGATGAACAAGTTCGAACAGGAGAGTCACACAGAAAAGGGCAACGCAACCATTTGAGCTTACAAAACTTAAACTTTTTTTTTTAAATGAGCAATCATTTTGTTTGATAAGACCCTTATTCATCGTCTGAAATCATTTAAAGCCCTTTGAACAGTTTGCACTGAAACTGTCTTTTGAACCTTGAACCGTTTGGTTCCTATTGAATGGAGAAAAATCCTGGAATATTTTCATCAAAAACCTTAATTTCTTTTCGACTGAAGAAAGAATGACGTGGACATCTTGGATGACATGGGGGTGAGTAATAACTTTTGGGCCGGCTAGTTTCGATCCCTTAAAGTAGTTCAATTTTGAAAACTTTTGCTGATAACTTAAAACACGTTAAAATAGTATGATTGATTACAGTGGCTCAATCTTAAGTTTATCAAGCGATGAAAATACTTTTTGTGGGTAAAAAATAAACAAAAATAACTACTTTATTCAACTATTAATTTCCTTATCCGTGGGCCTCGATATTTCACGTAGTGAAACTTTTTTCTGCACACAAAAAGCATTCTCGTCGCTTGATAAACTTAAGATCGAGCAACCACAGAGACTTATTTTACATATTGTAAAACGGGCGATTCCCTGGAAGTTGCATGGAGTTGATTTACCAGCTCGATCCATTTCGATTTGACCATTAACGCTGACACTCCCATCACACACACACACACACCTAACCTATTGAGTCTGACACTCCCACACCAGACATGTTAAAGCAGCCTAACTTTACACTATTTACAATACAGATATGGCAAGAGTGTTTGCAAATTGCCTGCAAAACATTCTGCCAGGTCTAATATAAACACGCAACACAAAATAGGCTTACCATGGTGAATCAGGTTAAGACAAAAACACATATTGGAAAAAGGATTGATTATATTGACCCATTATTATTATTTTTTTTTAATGTGCTTAAATACAAGTTACATCCAGTTGGCTATATTTAAAAAAGAGAGAACTAAAAATATTAAGTTTTTTTTTTTTTCAAGCACCACTAATTAGGGATATAGCCTACACAAAGAAACATATTTCATCTTTATATTGTAATAAGGGGAAGTTCAAATCAATTCAATTTATTTGAAAAAAAAAAAAAATAAATCAGTCAACATTATTAATATGGAATTATTTTATGACCTGATTACCCTGAGCTCGATGTATCCCAGTGTCTTTCCTTCTGTCACATGTTTTGGCTGCTTCCACTTGCTCTTCCCAGAGCAGCTCTGGAGAAAAATAAAGAATGATGATATTTTTATTCTGCCGTCCTGCTTTTTGTATTCCTTTCTTTCTCAACTCTCTTCAGTGGATCTCCACACCTCTTCATTTGTCACTCCGCTTCCCTTTCTCTCTCTCTCTCTGGTCTAATTCTACTTTAATAAACCAAGCACTCATTTGTCATTGTATTGATGGCCCTGGCAAGCATCTGCCATTAAACAGAAGCTAATGCTCAATGTGTCCATGCTGCCAGGGGTCAGCGGGAGGTCAGCATGTCAACATCACATAAAGCGTTCTTCATTCATGTACTTCACTAACAAAATAACACTGGAGATGCTGATGAATATTAGTTGGGTTTCATTCACGTACTCTGAAGAAGCTATCCAATTCTATCTCGGGAACAAAAGTGAGGTCTTTGTACTTGGGCCAGTTAGTAACCACTAAAAACACCAAAACAACCACACAGAAAGTTTTACATGGACATTTTTCAGCAGGACTTACATTGAAACTTACCAGGAGCTGTCTTTGCAAATGTAAATAACAGAGCTGTATCTCCTCTGCATAGATGCCATGTGCCTTGCTTTTGCCAGGCGAAGAGTTTCAGCAACGGACAGCAGGGCGTCTCTGTCTCTGTGTGTATTTCAATCACTGGAAGAAAGAGCATGTTTAATAGGCAAGAGTGTTTATATACAAAAAGCAGAGAACAACACGAACTGAGTTCTTTGAAAGTTTGTGGTGTGTGCACCACTTAATATGTTTGTTGTGTGAGATCTGGGCTAAAACTCTTGTACTACAATAGACAGACTCAGTGCTGCGGACAGATGACCGAATAAACCCACTCTACAAACCTGTGTGTAATGCCCCTGCTCAGGTATACCGGTATCATGGGGAAAACTTTTGTTTAATTTGTATTTCCAGATCCAGTTCAGATCCACTATTTCCCATCCTTCAATTAATATACATTCATGGCTGGATCTTTTTATTATTTTTCAGATTATCTATATTAATTTCCTTGCAATTACATAGCTCTAAGATTATTAATACAAATGTGAAGGATGTTTTTCTGGTTTAAATGGAAAACAACATATTTATTAAAGAGTAACAGACCATCATGCCAAAAAGAAATAAACTTCTGATGAATATATTTGTTTTCATTTGACACTTTGGTTAACAGAAGAACATTATAGAATGGGGATGAACATGAGGTAGAATTTATTGCCATCACATACACATTTGACTGAAATACCAGAGAATGAAATACACTCCATACAGCAAAAACCAGATTAAGAGGTCATGAACTGCATTTTTTATGTTTCCTGGGTTGCACTTATAAAGTTAGTATAATTTTTAAAAGGGCATTCTTTTCAGATCTGAAACTTACAGGATATGACCTCTTAAAGGAAAAAGATCAAGGCAAATTTGATTTCTCAATTCATGACCTATTTAACTCACTGTGGGTTAGTTGGTGTGTTATAATTAAATGCTTATATACAGAGAGTACAGTAGTTTTTAAGCCAAATTTAATCATTTACATTTGCCGTAATTAGATTTATATGGAATCGTTGGTTTAACCCTTTCTAGGTCAACAAATATCATAATAAAAATAATACAACACTATATAAAATTCCCAAAACAAATATGATTTAAATGTATAAAAATACATTTTAGATTAAAAATTGTAAAAAAAAAAGAAATTACCACACATCTATACATTTATACAAACACACACTGATAAATACACAAAAAAATAAAGAGAGTCGAGGTGCTCCATTAAAGGAGTAGTTCACTTTTAAAAAAAAACTTTTGCTGATCATTTACTCATAAGGGTCTTATCAAGCGAAACGATCAGTCATTTAAAAAAAAGTATTATAAGATCAAATATAAGCTCGCCTTGCTCTGTTCTGTGTGACTCTCCTGTTCGAACTCGTTCATCAACATAAACAAATCTTCGTTGAATGAACCAAATGACTCGAAAAAATATTCGTTCATTTTAACGAACGAGTTCGAACAGGAGAGTCACGAACGTGCATTTGTGCTTATAAAACTTAAACTTTGTTGTTGTTTTTTTTAAATGAGCGATTGTTTCGCTTGATAAGACCCTTATTCATCGTCTGGTGTCGTTTAAAGCCCTTTGAACAGTTTGCACTGAAACTGTCTTTTGGACCTTGAACCATTTGGACCCCATTGAAGTCCATTACATGGAGAAAAATCCTGGAATGTTTTCATCAAAAACCTTAATTTCTTTTCGACTGAAGAAAGAAAGACATGGATATCTTGGATGAAATGGGGGTGAGTAAATTATCAGCAAAAGTTTTTTTTTTTTAAAGTGAACTACTCCTTTAATGGGCATAACATCTGTTTTATACATTACCTCTTCCACCGATGTCTCATTTCATTAAGTAACTGAAAATGGAAAGAGTAAGTTTCAAAAACGTATGAGGTAGTAGCTGTCATCATCATCATCCTCATCTGGTAAGCAAACTCAACACCCCCAGATGATCTAGTTTCTCTCGAGCTATGTTTGCCCATCCTTTATTAGCCAGTGGGTTTCTCGGGGAGGGATGCATGATCCCCTCCACCCTCACGGTGATCCCCGCTTCAGAAAGCACACGACGAGCTCGTTGCTCAGCGAGTTTACCCACTCCGATGACCATCGAGACGCCCAGAGCGGTGACCACCTGACAGAGAGCGCTATCACAACAGGACAGCAGGGCATCCCGCTCCGCAGCCGGGAGCTCAGGCGGGGTGAGGTTCTTGCCAGTCTCGCTCATGAAGATGAGAGGGCACAAGTTGTGCACAAAACAGTGTCGGAAGAACCTGTGAGGTTCACCGCAGAGCTCCTGGAAGAAGCCCCAGAAACGGGCGCCGCTCACTTCACTGTGAGGACAGTCGAGGCCCGTGATCCGTCGCTTCGGGTGTTCCTCTGCCGGGCGGCCGACCGATCCACTGATCTTCAACCAGTTACGAACTGCTTTCACCTCGCCGAACGGAACCTTGTTAAGGGATAAAGAGATCGAGATTGATTTGTTTGCTCCGGGAACTTGTTACACTAGCAAATGAGACCCTTACAAACGAGACCCTTTCTTAAAACCATGAGAAATGATTATAAAATCTCATACAAACAGGGTAAGAATCTTACAATAGTAACCAATAAATATAGCTGCAAGCAGCAATTATCGGGGCCAAACACAAACAACAGGTCATTTCATGCCAACATGCCTGGAATTATCAGACCAACTGCAACAGTGAGCAATTGAATACATTTTAAGATGAAAAAATCATAAGTACATTCACTAGTAATTTTATTTAATGGTTTATCACTTTCAACCAATAGGTGGCGCTGTGACCAAATTAATGTGGTGTGGTCAGAGAGGTGACAATGACACGTACAGTTTAGTGTCAATAGAGAGCTTAAGTCCCTCCCCTTCCGGTCGACCACCATGGGACCTTATTTCGGAAAAATATCGAATGGTAGTCGATGGCGAGAGACAACAAATATTTTGATCTCGTTTGAATTGTGCCCTGAATTACACATATGATGTTTGTCAATTTAAAGATACATTTCAAAGAAACAAAGAAAGTCGCAGTTTGATGTAAAAGCATTGAGGTATAAGACAGTGAAAATACGTAATTACAAAGACTACAAACCCCAAAGGCGCACATTTTCTCTCAATGAATGAAGCTAACTTTACTGAGGCTAATGTCTGTCATTGTTTCTATAGTCTTACGTTGTAATCGTAACGTTACGCCGTCCTACCTGAGTGTTTTGTACCAGACAGCACACACACGAGCAGCGGATCTCACTCGTTGTTTCTCTTCCCGGGAGATGTAGTTCATAGAGCGATTTTCACATAAAACTAAATGTTACTCTTCTGTTTTATGACAAACTGCGACGTTTTTGACTTTCAGAATTATCTTTTAAATTGATAAACATCATATGCGTAATTGAGGGCACAGTTCAGATGGAATAAAAAGATAAGTTGTCTCTCGCCATTGACTACCATTCATATTTTTTTCCGAAATAAGGTCACATGAGCCGGAAGCAGAGGGGCGGGACTTAGGCTCTCTATATGCCACAGCATTGCAAAGATCCAGCCTTTATGGAGTCTTTATGGCATCATGCCTCATCTTTGTTGCTGTGGTATACAGAAAATAATAATAAGAGAATAACAAAAACGCCAACGATTACTATAGGTGCCTACGCAGTATGCAGTATCTATTTTAAATGGGAGAATCCTAAAATCTCAAAAACTGCTTTCTGAAGTCACATTTAAATAACATACTTCAAATAAGCAACAAAATCTGACATGAACTGTCACATAAACATTTTTTCCCGTGCTCAAATAGCATTATAAAAAATTGTCTAAAAAAGACCTAGGATGGTCTTGCGTAGTTTGCTTTCTGGACGAGACAGCAAGTGTGAGTATTAGAAGTGCCCTTAGAATATCTACAGTTTTTTCAATAACTACAATAACTGTGCTATTAGGATAATGTCTTATGAGAACTCAAAAATGCAGATGCTGCTAATATTTGGTAAAATACATAATATGTAATATTTTTTTAAATATATAATTTTGGTGATCAATGGTGAGTTTTCAGGGATAAAATGATTGACTACAGGGAGACTTAAAAGAAACTAATGTAGAGAGTTGTACTCTTGCATTGAGACATTTGACTCCAACTAAAGCTTAGTTCAGAACTCTGCTATTCAGTTTAGCTTCACTTTATGTGAGGGTACCAAAATCATTTGTAATGATGTTCAGTGTTTTCTTTTAACAGTGTATGTTTATGCAATGTTGTACCTCTATTCTGTCTTTGGACCTGATTCTGTCTTTTCGTCAATAATTTAATTGATCGTTCATCAAAAACTGAACATTTTCAATTCCACACGTTGTTGTAAAGTAAGTTGTAAGACTACACGCCTTTAAAAGTAACTATTCAGAGCTCTGTCCCAGGTGTAAAGTACAGAGAGGGACACTTTTTCACATGTTGTGGTCTTGTCCTGACTGGGAAGGGGTCTTAGAGATAATAATTGGCACAGTTGTCGGTAGTAATATACTCAGAGGGCCCAGACTTATCTTGTTGGGGGACACTTCATTACTGGATGAATCTGAGGTTTGTTAGATTAGCTCTTTTAGCAGCAATAAAATGCATATCTTTGAGGTGGAAGAACTCTAAACCACCTGGACTACAGAAAAAATTGCATTTTGTTTGAAGAAACGTCAAGATCTGTTTGTAAAACACTTGGGCAGTTTCTTTTCTTATATGGGTATAACAACAACAACAGGACAAAAAACTAAATTTAATATGACTTTAAATGCTTTTTTCTTGTTTAATCTGTTTATGGTTTATTAGTGGTTAATGGTTTGGGGTGTGATATAGGGCTGTGATATGGAATCATTTTTCAATTTGTTTTTTGTCCTCTATTTTTTTTTTTTTTTTTTTTTTGAAGAAAAAACCCAATAAACACAATGTTAAAAAAAATTTAAATAAAGTAAACCTGTAAGACAATACATAAGATATTAATCTATGTCTGATAAGTAATGTCTGCATCCGAACAACACAGTGACCTTCAATGTATTGACAAAACTCAAAACTTTTATTTAAGTTATTTAACCGAACTGAATCAACACTGAACTTATTTGAGCTGAATAATGACACTAATGTTATTTTAGTGCCGCTTCACAGCTTTTTTTTGTGCATTATTGATTCTATTATTTTCTTAAGTGGCTTTAAAACAATCTGCAGTGTATAAAGTGTTATATAAATATAGGTGACTTGACTTGAAAAAAAAAAAAACAGACAATAAAAAAGAAGCATGGGATCAATGAGCAAATAACTGCAGAATTCTCATTTTTGGGTGAACCATACCTTATGTGTATGTAAGGCCGTGCTACCCATGTCTTCATTTCTATACCATATGCAAAGATAGATATTGTGAATTTAGAATAAAGAATGAAAGCGTTCTGACCCCGGTTTGCGCCATGCCGAACGGCCCTGGGTTCATGCCCAGAAAGAGCACGCTCTGCCCTGCCTGACAGAACGTCTCCACGTAGCATCGATGTGTGTCCCAGGCGTACTCCAGCGGGTTGTACGTGTATCGCACTGGTTTTCCAAACGACAGTGCCCGTAACCTTAGATTCAGCTCCAGTTCAGCCTGCAGGAACCTTGAAGCAACCGTAGAGCTGTTAAACCGCTGGTCAGGAGGACCGGTGGGATCTTTTCCCAGTAAACAGTCTCCCTGAGATGCTTCTCCATTTTCCAACCTACAAATGCAAAGAGAAAAATCACAACTGACTCAGTTTTAACAGACTGCTGGCATGATGGCTATTGCAAAAATGAACTTGATTGTTTTAATAAAAACATACCAATGAATGCTTGTTTCAAGAACTTTAATCAGATGGGAAATTAATTAAACATAACGTGTAACGACTATTATTGACACAGTACTGTATAGTTAATTTTGCAGTCAGCTGTGTTTATATCGGACTGAACTTATGTTCTACTGTATTGAATCTGATTTACCCTGCAACACATAACTAGGCTATTTGTATGCTCGTTAAATGTAATTATATTATGGGGAAGGCAAAATGACTGAACTGTATAATGCACACACATAATGTCTTATAGTAACTTACAGGTTCCACTACTTTAAATTAATCCCTCACACAAACTTCAATTGTTTGTTTAAGTATTACTGCTACCGTATAACTAATTTTAGACTTAAGTTAATTTCGTTATACGCTGCTTTCTGAGTTTATTTTGCTATAAAAAAAGCACGCCTCTTTGACGATTCGAGGCTCATACATTCTTTCTTCCATTCAAATACGGAGATTTCGTGAAAGCAAAACCACTTTATTCATTAGAGTAAAGTCTTACAAACACACATCTTATAACGGCGCTTATTAGAGCTTATTTTATCAGGTATTCTGGATTTTACCTCTCAATATCTGGCTGTGATTGCATTCTCTCAAAGGGGTTTCCGGCAACAAAAGCCATCCTGGGATCGTCTTGTTTATTGGTGGTTGGCAAACCAGCGTTTGGGGGCTTTACCGCCACCAACTGACCAGAGTGAGGAACCGCAATGCGGGAGGACTACCCTTTGTTTGTTTATTTATTTATTTATTTATTGAAAACATTATATAAACAAAGAAGGAAATAGTCACAATGTAGAAATAAAGAGAAGAAAAAACAAAAATGTACTTATGCTTTTAATATATATATAGGCCTAACTAACTAAATATATAACTAAATATATAACTTAATTGTTTTTAAATTCTTCTTATTAAATGAGTTAGAGATAGTTCCGAAGTGGTACTTCAGTAAGCAAAACATAAAAAAAAATCTATAGGCTACATTTACATTTTGTTAACAAAGAAAGATTATTTAGCTTTTGTGTAAATGCTCCTTTTTCTATTAAAAATTCCAAACAAAACATTTTCATAAGTAAAGAAAAATAAATGTTCTCAATAACAAATACCCTAGGGAAAAATCTTTCCACAATAATTTTAGAGTAATGGCCAAAACAAATGCAGTTTGTGGGTGCTGTTTACAAAAAGAAACGTTTGTGTTGAATATGTAAGAATTTTGTATCAAAACACCCAAAAACCACTTGCACAGTGTTATTTTTCTTTCAATTGTATACTTCCATTATCCTAAATGATTCCAAAAAATTGTAAATTCAGAGAAATTCACAATTTTAAACAGTGCCCGTTCCTGTTCACTTGTCGCCTGTCAATGATGTTATATCGACGTTATCCCTGGTTTCCGCTTGTACTGCCATAGTAACTATGGCGACAGACGTGGACAACTGCGTTACACATCTAGCGGCACGCTCACGCTGTTGTTGTTCCGTTCTAATGTTGATCTATGTCTCATACAGACAACAAACTAACACATAGAATAACATGATAACTTTAAACACACTCAAATGCAGTTTAGTGTGATAGTGTAACGTTAGACCCAAGTGAAACAGCGCTGCGTTACCTCACAAGCTTCATTCGTCTAATAAACTGACCAGTTTGAGCATTAATTCAGCACTTGTGTGTAGATTGGTAGAATTAAATGTCTTTTTTCCTTTATATCCGTGGGACTCGCGTGTCGTGCTGATATGTCTCTCATTAGCACTCGCGCCCTGCTTCATTCCACAGTCATGATAAAAACATCAATGTATTCACTCTTCCATAAACGTTAATAGATCGATCAGCATGAAGGCAAGTTCCATGATTCCGCTTATTCACTGCGTCATCAACCTGTGTCTACGCCTTTGATATTGTAAGAGGTTAGCGATCCCTGGCAAAGAAATAAATTACATATTTTAGCTTTAATATCTTTTTTGAATTTCTTTAAGAAGGTATTAACAGGTTATACATGATGGACAAATCAAAAGGACACTGACAAACAAAACGACCGACACAACAACTAGGGGCTAAATGATTAGATGTGATAAGAACTAACGAGGGTAACTATGGCGACAAACAAGGCAAAACCAGAAGTGAACAAAGAAACAATGGGTAACTAAAAATACACTTTAACATAAAAGTCCTACAAGACGCAAGACTCATACAGGGATCGTGACAGTCTCGGTTATACCAGATCAAATATTATTGAGGAGAAAAGTTGTGCTTGTATGGCAGAGACAGGCGAGGAGGACCTGCTTTTGAAATTTAGATCATTTAGTTGGTATTTTTTCAACGTTATAATTACAAAGCAAAAAAAATAAAAACTACCAAAAATATAATGTTGTAGACAGAGGTTGGATTTTATAAAAAGTGTTTGGCCCAATTCATTTTAAGAGTATTATTAAATGTACAAACATATTGAGTGGACCAATTACATAAGAATTTAGATCAACATTGACATTATGTATGTCATTTTTCCATTTAAATTAAATAACATTTTGTCAATACTTTTGATAATGTTGTTATCTACATCTTCCCCGGAGAAAAGTCTCTGCAAGACATAAATTAAATTGTCTTTAGGGAAATTAAATACACACGTATCATTTTATCATTAAATAAAATATCTTATTTAATTGGAATATTATTAATTGTGGTCAGGCTGCATTTAGCAGAAAACTCTTTAGAACTTAATTATAAATACTTAATAATATTTTCAAAGCCTATTGCAAAGCCTCATCTTTCATTCCTTGTTTTCTACCCAACAGATTTTTTAAAGACATGTCTTGGATTCCTTTTTCCTGCAATATTAGGAGCAATACGTATTTCATTTTTATACTCATAGCTACAATATTACTCCGAGGTAATGTATGGGATCTGTTACCACAACTTAAATGCATAGTTGCAAGTTAAAAATTAGAATTTATTGTTTTAATTAAACCGTTTGAGTTGCAAACATTATATTGTAGAGTTCTGTTGACGTAATAATGTTGATCATTACATCAACTTAATAACGTCCGTAATTTAAACTCAAATCTGCGTTGGCATTTTTTAAATTAGGTTGTAGTAACTTAATTTCTTTAAATGTTACTATTTGTTTAATGAACTACTTCTTTAATTGGCAAATCATTCTTAGAACATATATTTGTCATCTGGGATGAAATATACAAATGAGAAAAAGAAAGCCTTGATACAGAAGCAGAAACAGGACGATCGACATGTGATCCCCATTTATGATTTACAGTAATTTCATGTTGAGTCCCGCCCCTCTATCTCTGTTATTCCCCTGCTCATATACTTCTCAGTTCACCCTTCTCTCTCTCTCTCTCTCTTGTTCTTCCTCTTTTTCCCATCTCTCTCTCATTTCTGCACCTCTCATTCCTCACTGTCACCCTCCGACCTCAGGCAGGTTCAGATGGAGGTCAGTGTGTGTGTGTGTGTGTGTGTGTGTGTCTGAAGTGAGGCACATTGTCTTTAATTTTGAAAACTCCTGGTCTATATATCACAATTCATAAGACCACATGCATGAGCTGATACATATAGAATTTTAGATGCTGTAGCCTACTTTTTAGCAGAAAACACAGTGAATCCTGTGAGTCTTTCTCCTTTCATTTGAAACTTATATGCGCGCTCCCTCTCTTTCTTCTGATCAGTGTTGGTCATTCATGAGATTCTTTCTCTTGTAGTCATCTTGTTACTGGATTATGTTGTCAGGCACTCTTAAAAATAAAGGTTCTTTATTGGCATTTATGGTTCCAGAATATTTCCCTTCCACAAAATGTCTTTAGATTTTTAGAATTTTATTTTAGAAAGACTTCACCGCAAGGTTATTGAGGAAAATATCCATGAACACCTCCCTCTCTTCTCTTCTCTTCTCTTCTCTTCTCTTCTGAAACCCACTTTGTAAAAAAAAAAAAAAAAAAAACACTGTTTTGTGCATTTAGAGGATATCAATTCTTATTAGTGGGTATGTTTCATGTTTCCAGCTGTTTAAAAGCATCTGTGCTCCTCTGAAATCAATGTGACACTCTAAAGTCCCATGTTGCCACTTCATAACGTCCATTATTGAGTTGAATGGCCCCTCAATCCGATTTGGCAGCAATAAACTTGCCTAATGATTTTAAATGTCACATTTTCAATGTAAACAAGCCCACACAAATTCTGATTATTATGCTGTGTTAGAAGAGAATCGAGGGAATTGTCAGGAATCAATAGTCTCTGTGGTCTAATCTGCCTAGATCCACTCAAGCTTTACGATGGGGAAGGTCACAGGATTCACACTTTGGTTTTCTGGAAAAAAGTCAACTTTCTGTATTTTGTCACAGTCTGATATTGTTTGCACTTTTGTCTTGTCTAAATGTTACACTTATGAGCAAAAACAAGGAACCTAAGCTTTAATGGAATCAGCAGTCACCGCTAAACGATCCGCGTGACAATAAATCTGTCCAAAAATAGTTTAAAAGAGACAGCAAAGCAATGTGTGTCAAACCTGAGAAATGGACAAAAACGAGTCTAATGTTCAGATTAACACAGTCTCATCGTTATGCAAGACATTGGCTGTTACTACTTTTTACTTGAACGCTGTACGCGTGTTGGTAATTATAGCCTAAGCATAACTAAAAACAAACATGGAGGTCTCTTTCCCTTATGCCAGCATACTCTCCTCGTTTGTTTCAGGTGATTCCCCAGAGGTTGGAGATTAGCTGCTTCAACTTTCTCGTTAGCCTAGGCTATACTCCCGCCGAGCTCAATTTTTCTCTATACGGTTATGACGAGTCACGCACGGGCAAGTCCCGCGAAAACCTAACACCTAGCCGACACGATTTAACGATTTTCTTTTACACATGTTTTATCAGTATTTTGAATTATGCACTTCTTTGCATTGTGTTTTAGGTAATGACCTGCCAGTACTTTTTCTGTTATTTTAATGATTCATTCTAACCAACCAACCAAAAAATCCAGGAAAAAACCCCGCTAGATGTTGTAAATTGATTAACATTTGATCGAGTGAAATAAGTATCTGATCCCCAACCAACCAGCAAGACTTCTGCCTGATTTCACTGTGTTGAGGGGCTGATAGACTATCAAATCTTGGACGAGAACCTCCTTCCCTCAGCCAGATTAACATTTGAAGATGGTTCATGGATGGGTCCGTCTTTCAGCATGACATTGACCCAAACATTACCGCCAACAAATGAGTGGCTCAAGAAGAAGCACATTAAGCTCTTGGAGTGGCCACTGAGTACTGAAAATCTGTGGAGAGAGCCGAAACTTTGAGTTGCAAAGCGACAGCAAAGCAGCCTTGTTTAGAGAGGATCTTTTAAGAAGAGTGGACCAAAATCCCAGAGATGTGTGCAATGGTGACCAATGCACGAAACGTTGGGTCTCCACCAAGTGCCAACTAAATTAGCTATGTTTTGCTTGGGGATCAAATACTTATTTCACTCACTGAGATGCAAATCAATTTATAACCTTTATATAATGTGTTTTATTCTGGATTTTTTTGGTTGATATTTTGTCTCTATCCGTTAAAATAAACCTAACGTTACCATAAAAATTATAGACCCTTCATTTCTGTGCAAGCGGGCGAACATTCTCGAAATCAGCAGGGGATCATTAACGAATCATGTAGCTAAGATAAAAACACGTTTTAGAAGAATGATTGATACACATTGATGATGAAGGCTATTCATTTTGAACAAAAACTTAAACATACCTTTAAGTTCATCCTTATTTTCATGTGTTGCTGTTTGGTCAAAAAGAAATATGTTTGCCAACTATTTAACTTGACCATGCTATAACGTAAAATATGGAAATATTGTGTTAAAACATGGAGAGGAACATGAGCACAATGAACGGCAATCACGATCAAAGTAAAGTACAAGCTCAACAGCGTCACTTTGTGGATGACTGTTAAACTTTTTATTAGTAGGTTAAACATGAAGCCAAACTGACTTCACTCATTAAAAACGAGGAGGAGAACAAGAACAGTCATCTCATTTATAATAACTAATTCAATTGCATTACACTGCCATAAAGCCAATGGATATGAGTAATTATAATGCAATTAATATTAAATTAGAAATATATAATGATGATGCATTGGATTTACAACAAGATTTACATTGGTATTTAAAAAATACCCATTTAATTCTATTAAAAATGAAATCACACACACAGTGGATTACTGTAACTTCAAACAATTAGGATGAATAAGAAACCCAACAAAGTCCATATTGTTATTCCTAAGTTTAATCAAATATTATGCAACATATGATGCATGAGCAGCTGTAGATATATAACTCTAACTCTTGTTCTGACTCATACTGTTGGTAAGTTAAGCATAAAAGAATTGTGTTGTTTCTGGGTTGTTTTCGTCTGCAACTATAGGGAAAAACAGCCATATATTATATCTAAAATCCCCCCATTACTGCATGGCACCATGTTTCATTTTTTGGTTGATATTAAAGATTTAAGAATAGAGGTACACTGTAACAGATTTTTGAAATATTTCAGTTGGTGTGCAATGAATCTAAAATATATGAAAGTTTAATTTTTATCATTACATTAATGAAAATAATTAACTTTATCACAATATGCTAATTTTTTTAGAAGGACCTGTATTTTGTCAACATTAAATGTATTGTTGATATTACAATGTGTAATGGCTATGGCAACTTAAGGGGTTAATTAATTACAAGAGTTCAATAATATCAGAACATTTACATGCATGTGAATGCAAACACAAATATCCACAGTGTCACTGTGGGCCTGTGTGAGTGTGGCGTTGGTAACAGTGTGTCTTTAAATGAACAGTTTTAATCTTAGACAGCAGATGTGCATCAAAACTGATAACTGTCTGCTTAAATTCTTGTTATGAACACACACATTAACAGTGGACTTTACAATAATATGCATACCGTGCACTTGCCATGTCACATATACCCACAAACATTCACAAAAGCATCATCGAATCAGAGATGAATAGAGGACTAATTAGAAAGTTAAAACTTTAATCCACCACATTCAGTTCAGCACATACCATACGACTGACCGGCTCATAAATAATCTTCCACATGCAGTGCCGTGAGGTTCAGTTTGATCAGTATCTCTTACATGACCTCTGGGGCCTATAAATCATTATTTATATCCACAGAGTGCACTATGAGGCAATGACAACACATCTCAAAGAGGCATGGTGAGGTTAAATGAAATCGTGTGTTTCTGTAGTCCTCAGAAAACAGGCCACAAATGAACTGCAGTCTGAATGTGCAAACAAACAATGGCTTATATAGCCTACATTTTTGATTGTACAAAAATCGCAAATAGGCCTAAAGGACCAAAAGATGTTAGAGCATAGGGATATTTTACTCGGAGCAGTAAGCAAACACATAATGCCTTGTGATGTGAACACCTTATTTGCACACACACTTCTCCATAAGCTTTTTAAGCTTCTCCATAAGCTTTTTAAAAAATAAAAATAAATAAAAAGAAAAAAATCTCTGGCGCCACCGCGTGGAGATAACGATGCGTGAATTTAGTGTTTTGCCTCCAATAAATTTGCCATTATATTGGTTATTTTCAGAAGAGTTAGCAAAATGTTGATCATTGTTGCTTCTTTAATTTTCAAAAACAAGTGCAAGTAGACTGCCATTGAAAATATTTTAAAAGAACAATCCACAATGGAGATATTTTTTAGTCACTAATCTCTTTGGGAAATTTTGCTGTGTCAAAACACAGGCACTCAGTCACTAAATTGTGTAATACAATTAATTATTTATTTAAAATAATATCTTTAGCCTACCTATTAGTTACTGTAGCCTATTTGCATTTCATCTCCCTGTCTGGGGATTTTAAATCACATTTAATCTCAGTCTTTAACGTACCTTCTCCTCTTGAAGATGTTTCTGCATGTTTCCCTCATTGTCCAGTCACATCCCCCCATACAATATTCCTTTTCATTTTATATGGTCGCAGCACCTTTTTTATTTAAAATTCTAGATTATTTTCTAATAATTATTGGATATATAGTCTAATAGTCAAAAGGTGATGATACACGGGGCAACTTTTGGAGCAATGTTGCTGGGAAATGGTGGCGTCAACGGGAAACCAGATGAGACACGGGGCCCACATCCGTTTATTCAGATGGTAAAGTGCCCAAGCAACAATCGCTCGGGAAAATTGACAAGCAACATTGCTCAAAACGTGGTGTATCTCATCATCATCTTAATAATAACGTTATACCGCGTTCAAGTCCTCCTGGGAAATTCGTTTACGAGATGAGGACGTCGTGCTCTGTCGGCCTATTGGGCAAGTCCTGAGCAAGATGGCGGTATATAGGCCTACCTCCTTCTACTGGATACTGTCTATCATAGACATATGATATGACTGTCTATGCCTTCTTCACATATGCCTAAGACATGTTTTTAAACTCTACTTCTAGAAAATGAATAACAAAGAATGTGCAGTCAAGCAGCGCAATATGTGTTATAAAAGCCCGACAATTCTTTCTCACTGACATATCCCCAACTCGTGGCTCTTCCTGAGTTTCCCACTCGTACTTACAACTTTGTGGTGGCGTTATGCTGCGTTCACGCCATGTCTAAATTACTGTTAATAAAGCACATTTCCAAATTCTAATCGCGCTCGCGGTTCTTTGATGTCATACACCGCCCGCTTCGAAAACACCTTAAATCTGCAATGGTCAGGTGGTGGTAGAAGTTGTAGCTCAGAAAATTACAAGTTTACGTTGTAATCACACGTTCTATGTAAATACTGTCTTTCCGGCATGAGGACCATAATTTAAAGCAAAATACAAATTTCCACATTATGAAATGATACAAGACTGTATGCAGGGCAGTGGTGGAAATGGTGCAACCACACCAGTTGCCCCTTTAGGGAATTGATAAGAACCATAGACTGAATCTACCATCTACTTAACTTTGCTTCTAGCTATGGAAATTTCTAATTGAATAAAGCTTGTCTGTTGTCTAATGTGGTCATGTAATGCCCAGGAGAGCAATCAGGTTTAGTTTCAGCCTCATGTAAGAGCATGAGGAGAGCTAGACGGAAAAAAAAACAAACCATAGGGAAAATCCTAGAGGAATGTAAAACCACATTCATTCGCCCTGCTGAGAATGAGTCTGTCCAGGCGGCTGTTTTGCCCCATCTAGATTTGGACTAATTTCTCACCCAACAGGGCAGAAGAAATAGAAAATGCTTTGTCAAAACTCGAGGCCTCTGGCCAGACCACCATGATGGCATTCTTGCGTTAATGACCCGGAGAATATTCTTTTCTACTTCCACCTCTCCTAGTATGGGGAAGCTTATACCATGTGTAGCCTAACATTCATTATTCTATTTCTATCTGAACTCATAAAGCTTCTGCCAAAATCTGCAATGCATTAACAACTCTGAATTTGATTAAAACATATGTGATTGATAAATGGGTTGTGCTTTAATTTACAGTATATGCACATAGCAAATAAATTAACAAGTAATATAAAGGTAACTATGTGTCATAGTTAATTTAACAACATGGCAAGCAAGACTGGTTTCTTAACATTCAGGTCGACATGCATAAAACTAAAACAGAAAGCCATGAAAGCTTCCCGAACATGGCAGAGGTTTTAAAGCTTTAGAGTGAGATAGTGATATAACTAATAAAGTTGAGTGTTGAATTGCAGTAAATACTATTATATTAGTCTCGTTTTCAATTTCTTTCACAATTGTGTTTGATTTGAAACAGTTCATTTGTCTTTATTCAAAATGTATATTATTGTTCATATTTCTGGGACAACTCAGTACTTTTGTGGTTGAGTACACTATAAGTACATTGAAAGTGCATGTAAAGTAAAATAAAGCGCAATCATGTAACATGCTTTTAATTAAAAGCATAACATGCTTTTAATCTCAGTTGACATGCAGACATATACTGAAACATAATTATTCTGATACTGCATTAATAAATTCAACATCCCACACCGTAACGTTAACTTTTATTAAAAGACATTAAAAAAATGTAAAGCAACAATTAAAAAATAAAATTCTAATGCTGTCCTGCAGCGATTGTTTGGTTCCATGATTTGATAACCTGACGGGGAAAAGAAGAGAAAAACTCGTCAAAACTACCAAAAACACAAATGGCATACTTAAATTTAATTATTGACTCGTTATTGCCTGGTATTAAACATTCATATGCATTTAAAACCTGTGACATACTGTCACAAAGGAAAATTCCCCCAAAAAATGCATCAAAACTTGCGGTAAAAAGATAGCTTACCGTTTCAAATATTCTGTCCGTCCGACTCTGCAAACATGGGTAAAACCGCAGTTTCATAATAGGAATGTTAAAATGTTTGTGCAGTTGCTGTTTGCGACACACTGGAGATAAAGAAAAGAATAATTTGAATAACAACTTCAGATACCAAACGATGATAAATCGAATGAAATGAACTCACCTTCAAGATCACAGATCGTTTGCATTTGCTGTAACTGTGTCACAGGTATAAAATCCACCAGTTTATATCCCTGGAAAAAGAAGGAATCGACTTAAAACCCAAACAAGGAGACTAACAAACAGACATGTAGTCAAGCACAGAAAGGTTGAAGTGTCTCATGCACCACTGACACAAAAGACTACTTTTAGAACATAAAATTTAGAAACCGAACCTTACTTAAGACACAGTTGAAAATGTGGTCACTGTGATAGTTCGGCCGTCATGTTTTCACCACAACCACGAAAACAACCAAGCAACAAAATCTTTACACTGTTACCTCATTTTGATGAGCACAAATAATTCACATGAAAGAAAACTAAAATGCTCCTCTTACCTACCAGTCTGGCATGTTAAACACCTTACTTTGGTAGCTGTTTCTCGCTAGTCTTACAACAGCAATCATCTGTTCTCAATAAGACTTGCTGGCGATCCCAATAAGCTAGCCTCTCAGCTGGCTCATCCCAACGGCTAGCCTCTCTTCGATGAAGCGCTTCTCAACAGTCTCTTCTCTTTGGCTAGACTTTAAGCTGGCTCCTTCCTCCTCTGCTGGCACTTCTGACCGTTTACGTGCGAGATTGCTCTCGGGTGGCAATTCAGAGTTGCTAAAAATCCTCGTACGGATTTCATTCAGCACAGGAACTCGTACAGAGGAACATAGTTTGTCCAAAGGATGAACTACTTGCTACCCATATGTTGCACAATACAAAAAGACTAGAACCAGCGCTAGGCCCAATTATAAAAGTAAATGAGCAAGCTGATTACGCTAAATTAGGTAATGTACGCAATCTGATTACTGCTATTTCACATGGATGTTAAAACGATCCAGCATTATATTAAATAGTCAGCAACCAATGTCAGGTTTCAATGTGACTTTAGGGTAAATACTCTACGGAATCAGGGTCCGTTGCGTTTAACAAAATCATGCAACTGGGCGGGTACTGAAGAACATCATTTACCAAATCAAAACACTGACGAATGCAATTAAATAAAAAAAAACTGGAGCGGTTTATTTAATCTTGATTGGTGACTGTTTACATTAAAAAAAAAAAAAAAAAAAAAAAAAAAAAAAAAAAAGACAGACACCGTACTGGTTCAAGAGAAAAGCCAACACAATTAAACCCTGCATAAAACCTCATTGGAATGCTTTGCACTACATAGACAAAAAATAAAAAGAAAAAGGGAAAACTACAAACTAGCAAGTTTCTTCAAGGACAAGAGTACTTTTGAAACGTTCCTTTTTTGTTTCTTTTTTTTTTTTTTTACACTTTCAAAACCCCCAACCCCATTCCCACATGATTTTCCTCCCCTACTGAACACGTTCTCTTCGCGTGGCAGACGTTAATATCGCCACCACGCTGCTTGGCTGGGCAGATCTAGGTGTAAACCTGCTTGCTTCTCTCCTTTCCCTGTCATCTCTCTCTGGCTCTCCTCTAAGTACTGTGGCCTGTTGGACAATACGGAACATAAATTCAGTTACACTTTGCAACCTTGCTTTGTCTTTATCAAGAGCTGAACTGGAGGGGAATGAGTAGTAGTAGCACAGAAGCAAACCTTCAGGTCAGCTAAGACTGCATTGTTAGGACAATGAGGATGGGTTTGCATGTGCTGCAGCCAGAAGGTTTGGAGAGCAACTCAAAATCAACATTCGTCTTGTGATACTGGATCTTAGCTTAACAACATTTGAAGGTTTGCTGCTGGATCCCCTGCACTGAAAACTCAATGGTTTTACTAATTTACCGACCAATTGAAGAGTGATTAGGGGCTAACATTTGCATAGGTTACGCATCTTATGAGATGTTTGGACATGGATGAGCTAAAAAACTGATGGCAAACTTTAGAGAGCCCTTTTTGCATAAGCGGGCCGATTCTTACCCTGGTATTTAAAACCTTCGCCCGCCAGAGCTGCCTCCATAACCACCACTGGAGCCTCCTCCATAACCACCTATAAAAAGAAGCATGATCGAGCTAAGACAAAAAATTCAGTCATAATAGTGCCATAATTGCTGCTTTTGATAACATCCCAACTTCAAAAGAGCCTTAACAGGTTGCATCAGTGATTACAGACCGAAAAAAGCCCCAAACATAAATGATAATCACATTCATGTAAACTTTCCTGATGATCCGCTAGCTAGGGCTGAAACAATTAGTCGACAATGTCGAGAATAAAAAAATTGTCGACAAATATCTTTGTTGTCGAGTAGTCATTTGAACTCACTTGACCTAATGTAAGGGCGTACAATATTGCGATTTGACCGCTACGGCGCTTTGGCACTTCACAAATGCTATTGCGATAAAAGAAAAAAACAAATCCGAACTAGCAAGGTTTGGGAAAGTTTAAAACTTAAAACCAACAATGCTGTCGTGTGCAATACATGCAAGGCGGAACTTGCTTTTCACGGGAGCACAACATGCATGTTGGAGCACTTAAAGAGGACACATCCTGACACAAGAGGAGCCGGTGAGAATCGAGTGTTCTCCAGCTGGAGCTAACTAAATAGTGGTAACAAAACTCCCTTTATTAGATAATGCAATACTACTACTAATAATATTATGAATAATAATATAATTACAGTAATGTGATGATTTATTTAGCATTGAATAAAGCTTGATCAAGCTTAGGAGTTAGGGCTGTTTTTATTATTGTAACACTATTAGGTAATATAATCTTATCACTCATTGCCTGTATTTTGTTCCATAATGATGAAGACTTACAAAAGGAGATGTTAGGAAGAATATCATGGCAGTTACTTTTTCTTTTTCATACTGTAAATTAAAAGGTGAATGAGAGCATCTGTCAGCTCAATTGTCATGTAAAAAAAGACTGTAATTTTATATTTATAATAATGGTTTGCAGATTAATATTTACCCTTTTTTTGTGTCCTGAAGTAAATATCCCTTTTTCTGTTTCAGTTCTAAGAAAAGCAGTGGGTCTATTAAACAATGCTTAGAGAGCATTTGTGTGTGATTTGAGTTGGACTGAAATCTGAAAACTTAAAGAGAATGACCTGTTTAGTTGGCTCAAGTTCATTAAAACAACTATTTCAAAAGCAAAAAAAATCTTTTTTTATATTATAGTAATATGTATAATGAATTGAAAAAGGTGAATAACAGTTCCAAACTTACTGATGAGCCGGCAAAATAAACAACGATTAGTCGATTAATCGTTCTAATAATCGATTATCAAAATAATCGTTTGTTGCAGCCCTACCGCTAGCTGCACCATAAGCAGGACGTCAAAAAAAAAAAAAAAACGCGTCTCTGAAATCTGCACTCAAAAACAATTGGTTTCACCAACCACTTAAAAATAAAATAAATAGTGTTCCAACCAATCACCGACAGCGGGTGTTGGGAGGTTTTGCGCTTGTGCACGGCTGCAAGCGAAGTCGAAGCCAGCGTCTATCAACGAACCCATGTCGGTGACCAACCCACGTCTGCCTACAGAGACGCGTTTTTATTTGATGGCGTGCTTATGGGGCGGATCATTAGGAAAGATTAGATGGATTATGTTTTGGCCTTCTTTGGGCCTGTAATCGCTGATAGTCCAGTTCACACCAAGGACGATTGCGCTAATGATATAGCTCTAAAAATCATTCTCAATATTCAAGAATTGAAGAGTTCACACCACAGCTATAATGATAAAGGCACAGAGGAACAATATCGTTGGAATCACTTTCAGAGCGATTTTTTCCTGGTAATTAACAAAAAAAAAAATTGACAGCCAATCAGAATCCATCCTGCTGTAAAGAGCGCGAACATTTAAAGTGACAGACCAGCAGGCACTTAGAAAAAAAACAAAAGATATCGTCCGCTAGTGTGGGCGCTAATCTTTGTAGTTATCAATATGCTACATGTGATAAAAAGTGTCTTTTCCGTTTTAATCAGACTAGCGGTAATGACAATATGCGAGGAGCGACAGGAGATTCTCTTTTAGAAACGGTTTGTATTTCTGTGACGTCCCTGCTGGAACAACAACATACAAAGTATATGATAGTCTAAGGTATTCATTCAATTCTTTAAACATTAAATGACTATCATTTTGTGTGACCTTTATAGCCATAATCAAAGCCACAATGGATCATTCAACCCAGATATTGAAAATAAATGAAATGAAAGGAAACAAGAATGTTTAAACTGTAAACCAAAAGTGTTTTCTATGACAAACATCGTTTCAGTCAATCAGTATGTATTTTTAATAATGCGAATATCTTGAAACATTTGTGTATTTGTTTATGTGCGAGTGCAGTGCGTTTTCAGAAAGAGCTCCGCCCACACGCTCTTCTGATTGGCTGTGATATATGACTGATTTTGTCATGTCCTGTTGATGAGTCACATCTGGTGTAGACGGACAAATTGCTTGTCGCTGGAATTGTATCGCATCTGGTTAAGACACGGAGTTAGTGTAACAGTTTGAATTGAAATATAATATTATAATACCACACCCTGGAACTCCAGAGTTCTCGCGAGAGCACACGTTTAATTTGCTCAGCGAGTTACTTAGGCCTAAAAAAAAAAAAAGTTTGGTTCCGGTTGGTTGTCAGTTGAGGTCATGGGTCGGTAGGGATTTTTTTTTTTTTTTTTTTTTTTTTTTTTTTTTTTTTTTCTTTCAGTGGCAGCAAGGGATGGGTTGGAAATTATTCAGGGCTCGACATTAAAGGGATAGTCAAACCTAAAAATATCAAAATTGAAACTACTGTGGAAACAAAGACACCTACATCTTGGATGCCCTTGAGTTAAGCTAAAACAGGGTTCACCAATCTCGGTCCTGGAGGGCCACTGTCCCTGCAGAGTTTAGCTCCAACCCTGATCAAACACGCCTACCTGTGAGTTTCTACTGATCCTGAAGACCTTGATCAGCTTGCTCAGGTGTGTTTGATCAGGGCTGGAGCTAAACTCTGCAGGGACAGTGGCCCTCCAGGACCGAGATTGGTGAACCCTGAGCTAAAACATATCAAAAATTAATTTCAAAGTGAACTATCCCCTTAAGCCTTTTCACGTGCTTGTCCTCCGGACAAGTAAGTAAATCTGTCAATCACTTGTCCGAGTAAAAAAGTTGCTTGTCCGGATTTTTTAAATTTATTTATTTTTTATTCTGAAGGAATATTCTCATCAGTGTTCAATCAGCTTTGATATTTAAAAAGGCAAATTGTAATATCTGCACCTTTAAGGGCATCCCCTCCACCAATATTATTAAATGCCCTATAGTGTCTTATTATTCTAAATAATTTAATTTATTGATCAAATTTAGGAATTTAAAATGAAAGATGAAGCATACTGTTACCCTAGGTAGGGCTGATGAAATTAAATCATTTACACTGAAAAATTACAATTTCATAAAATAATGTTATGAAATTGATTTAAATGTGCAAATAAGAAATATTGGAAAGAATTAGGCCTATACTAGGCTACTTATAAACATAACACTAAACTGCCAATAGGTGGCGGCAGGCGGCCGTATAAATGAGTGAGTTATTGATTCATTAATTCAAAACGATTCGTTCAAACGGTTGATTCATTCAAGAATGAGACAGATGTTGATGTTTATGAATGGGTCATTGAATCCTTGACTCAACCGATTCGTTCAAAATGCTGAATCATTCAGTAATGAAAACAGGATGAGTTCCTGTGAGATGCGTCGTGGTTCTGCTGTGACTTTTCTTTGGAACTATTTTCGCTGCTAAAATGGAACAAAAACACCCAATATTGCTTAAACAGTAAGTGACTTAATCTTAACTGTTTATTGAACTGTTGTAGGAAATCAATGTCACTTTTTCAATCGTGATGGTATTCAGGAAAAATAACTGAGGCTGCTTAGTGCTTAACATATGTTAAAATATAAAAACTCCACATTTAGATTTTTTATAGGCAGAGTATGTTGTTAACTGTGTGTGTGTGCTCCGCTCATGTGTGTAGATTTCTCTGCGCGAGCGTCAACAGCGCAACCTTACAGTAGCTGCTGCCTGCTACATTTATTATCCACAATCGATCGCAACTTGCAATAAATGTAATAAAATCAGAATCATTCTCTCGGTTTAGTGATTCCCTAGTTATTTTTTTGTTTGTTATTGATGTTCTAATCAGGCTACTTGTCCGTTGGGGCGAGTAAAATTCTCTTTTACTTGTCCTTCAAAAATCTATTTGTCCTGGAAAAGCGGACAAGTTAGACGGGCTCTAGAGATACGAACCGCGGCAGGTTAGAGTGTTTTGGATTGCATAAAATAATGAAAGAAACGAACAAATACATGGCGAAAGAAGTGCTAGACAGCAGAAGATGGGATTGGGATCATGAATGGATCATGATAGGATGATTTTTTAATAAAACTAGGCGGATGGAGGAATTATGTGGTGTGTGCATGCCTATGAATGCATGTATTTGTATGTGTGCGAATACGAATAAAAATATCCTAAATTACAAAAAAAAGACTTGTATAATATGTATTATAGTTCAGTTTGACGAACGATATCTGCCTCGTTTGTTAATAGATTGCTGGAGGACAAGATGCATCTTACATCGCGTGCTATAAAAAGACGGAGCTGTACAAAAACGTAAATTAATAGTTCGCCTCAGAGTTTTTTATTTGTGTATTTATTTAATTTTTATTATTTCTTCCCCAAGCTCATAAAATAATTTTGGGTCGCACATAAATTGACAGGGTCGGTCGGAAACCGGAAACAAACAATTTTTTTTTTTACGCCTTAGGCATTGAGTAATGATGCTCATTAACTATGCCCTTGTATCTGAGCTGCACCAATCACATCAGTCCAGAGGCGAGATGACGACAGCGCTGCGATGTCGAAGTCATTAGTAAACATTGGAAGATGGCTATGAATGAACACCACTTGTTTGAAATGGCTTTGGCCGCTACAATGAACGAGTTAGACTTATCTAAAAGAGGAACAGAAGATGACGCCCGAATCATTCCTTTGCAAGAAGGACATTTTTGCCGTTTTGCCGACCGGATAAGCAAGAGTGTAATCTACCAGTTAGCACCGTTGGTAACGTTAGCTAAGCATATGGGGCTTTTTTTTTATTATTGTTGCGATTGGTCGTAGTGTTTTCCAATTGCATGCATTGAGATTTTCAAATGCATGCTTGGTGCCGCCCCTCGAGTTGGCCGATTTTCATTACTCAATGCCAAACCCTTAATCTTTCAGATTTGGATCTGGATTTCCAGGCTAATAATACAATGCACAACACTGCAATATTCACTCACCACCATATGGGCCGCTGCCACCGCCGCCACCACCGCTCCTTCCACCACCACCACCTCCGTAGTTTCCTCCCTTCATCGGGCCGTAGTTAGAGGAAGATTGGTTGTTGTAGTTGCCAAAGTCATTATAGTCGTTGCCGCCACCACCACCGCCACCTCCAAAGTTGCCTGTGAAAATTCAGTGATATTTGCTACAGAAGCAGAAGGGTCCCGTATATAGAACCATTTTGACAATATATACTTAGTTTTAACATTTTATGACTTACTGGTGCTCTTTGCGTTTGACGTTTTTTATTTATTAAAATTAAACGAATGTCCTATATTTTACTTTGATAATATTTTTTTAATAATTTGTATTTTATGGTACTTATTTATATTTGCACTGTATTTATAATCCCTCTATTCAGGTTTTGAGCATAGAACTGAAAATGTTATTTCCAACGTAAATCTTGAATGCTTTAGAGCAGTGTTTCCCAACCCTGTTCCTGGCGGCACACCAACACTGCGTGTTTTCTTTGTCTCCCTAATCAAACACACCCGATTCAACCCATCAGCTCATTAACCCACCTGATTATGAGCTGATGGGTTGAATCAGGTGTGTTTGATAAGGGAGACAAAGAATAAACGCAGTGTTGGTGTGCCGCCAGGAACAGGGTTGGGAAACACTGCTTTAGAGCATAGACTCAAGTCTGATTTCTTTTTAATGATGACACTTGGCACATTATTGCTGAAGTTAAAAAAAGTTTAAAAAAATACAGAATCTAACATTTATTGTTATGAAAAATGCACAAAAATACTATTTTCAATTTTATATGAAATACATATAAATTCAACAATCATGTTTTACTCTAAATCTGCATTAAAAATCAAAGCCATAAATCTAAACAAATTGAGGTCCAAATTTGAGTTAAAAAATAAGCTTTCAGTAAGATTCTATTTGGCGGCAGTACCAAAAATTTTCACTAGATGAAATTAATCTCCCATTCATTTCCACTGCAGTCATTTTTTACCACAAGGAGCGCAAGTGTGACTCATTTTCATGAGCATTTAACCTTTTTGAATCATTTCCATAATTTTTTGTGTTCACACAACAAGTGCCTTTACCAAGTTTTGTACCATTCCGATGAATTAAAAATAAATAAATAAAATCTGAGGAGCACCAGATGGTTAAAACAAAAAAACAAAAATGAGAACACGAAGGGCTAACAAGATAACTGACCTCCTCCAAAGTTGCCTCCTCCACCACCATTGTTGTAGTTATCATATCCGCCGCCGCCACCGTATCCTCCACCTTGGTTTCCATAACCGCCGCCTCCACCACCTCCTCCTCCATAACCACGGTTTCCACCACCGTAATTCGGCCCGCCTCCACCATAGCCGCCTGATAGATGGTGGATAAATCAAACATTATTATGGAAACAATGTTTAACAGTCAAGTGTATAAAAATAAAAAATGTAACCCTATTGATTTACCATTCCCTCCGTAGCCGTTGTATCCGCCATCATTTCCACCGTAACCTCCTCCACCACCTCCTCTTCCTCCTCCACCACCTCCACCTCCTCCTCCATATCCACCTACAAATGAAAAACATCTCAAAATTTAAAAAAACTCATAAAGAACAGCGTAAACCAGTAGTTTTCATGCAGTTGGGTCAGAGTACCATCGGAGTTGTCCTTACAACCCAAACAACCTTCTTCCACAATTATTCCATGAAATAATTAAAAAAAACGTGAAATGTAGGACTAATTGGGGTTGTCACGATAACCGTAATACTGTCATACTAACGAACCAAGTGCAGAGGAATGCAAGCAGCCGCGATGTTCATGATTTTTCCTTTTTTGTGCTATGCCCTTGCCTTGTTTTACACTTCATGCATGTGTATTGAGTTAATAACGAATTCAAGTGACGAATGTAATTTTCTCTTCCAGCGGGCTTCTTTCTACCTTGTAGATTTGCACTAAACAAGCCTAAACGGACAGTGAGTGAGGCAAGCAGTGCTGATACTGGTCAAATATCAGCAGTCTTTAGTGTTTTTCCACACCTGCCTCATTTAGGCTATGTTTACACAAAAAGGATCTGAAGAGAAAACGCAAAATTTGAGTTGCTTTACCACTTTTAATTTTGTGTTTAGACCAGGGTTATGAGTGGGTGCATATGGTGACGCAAAAGTGTGAAATTCGATGTAGTACGCACTCCAGGCTGCTAGTTGGCCATGTGAACAGAGCTGAGGTACTTTTAACATGTAATCTGCACGCATGCAAATCATTAAAGCACTGTGGATCTCTGTGGAAAAAAAACAGCGCATATACTCATTCACATGAATCGCAGCCTTTACATGAATCGCACAATAGCACAATGCTCCATTATGATTTTAAATGGTTAATACATCACATAGCTTTAGAAAACAATGTAATAGACTCTATGCACGATCGCTTCCAGGTTTGTCTCAGCACGCCCAATTACTTCCGGTGCTGCGTCAGAAGCCGGTTTTGCATTATTAGGTGCAGATAGTGTCAAATTACACTTGCTGTTTACAAAAACTTCCGTCGGTTAACGTGAATGATGTTAACACTGAGGCAGTTAGCGGTCACACAAAAAAGTAAAAAAAGAGAAGGGCTTTAAATTATATATTTTGAGCTACATCAACAACTTTGAGGGTGAGTGTTCTCTGATTTCGTATGAAATCGAACAAGCGAATCAGTTTCTAAAATAGTGGTCTCCGTTTCTGAGAAAGTGAATTTTTTTTCTTTGCCTGCAGAACACGCTTGCGGAAGTAAAGAAGCTGGCGGAGATTCTTTCTGACACACATCAGCAGGGTTCATGCATAGAGCGTATAAAGCGGTTAATGATTCTCGTCCATCGAACGAACCACTTCTGGTATTTTGCAGGTCACTCGACACGAGTAAATTGTAATCAAGGATATTTTAAAATAGAGCACTCAACTTAAATCGAGGAATCGTTGCAGCCCTACATACAAACTATCTAGTATATGACAACCAGGGATACAATTAACCTGCGCAGATGTCTCTCCATAGTATGACTTACAAAACGACTAAGTTTCCGCTAGAAAAAAAATGGTGCCGGTCAAAGTGACGGACATTTTGATCATTTGCCTGTCAAATATCGCCTCTTAGTGGCCTGTTCACATATCGTGTCTTTTGCGCGCTCAAGTTTGTTATTTCAAACGTATGCGCACTCATAATGGAAATTTTTTCCAAACGCGTCCACACCGCATCTAGATAAAAACATCTCGGTGTGGATTGAGGTAGGTCTGCTATTTTTTATTTAACGAAGAATCTTAGTCTAATGGAAAAAAATTGCTGGTTTTGCCCTACTGGATACATTTTGTTAAAATCATGGAGATTTACATTCGCATCTAATCTTAGCTGACGCTTTTATCCAAAGTGTTTACAATTGCTATACATGTCAGAGGTCGCACGCCCCTGGAGCAACTAGGGGTTAAAAGTCTTGCTCAGGGACACATTGGTGTCTCACAGTGGATTCGAACCCGGGTCTCTACCCGGTCCGAGGAGATGGAGAAATGCAATCCTCCATAGTCGCAGGCTTACAGGATCGATAAGAGGAGCGGTGTCCGTAGACTCAATGGTTGCAAAATGGCAGATAATCCTTCTGATCAGTCGGTGTATTTTCGCTTTATACATTTTTGGCTTATTCTCAACTTCAGATTGTGTTAGGAGGGCTATTAAACCATTTTAATCAGACAATTTGACCGGAGAGATTAAATTGTCGGACATTTAATTTTTTTCCCGGCCAATGTACAGTAATTACCGGCCAACAAACAAAATAAATAAAATCCTGCACGTTAATTCTGACCAATCGAAGAACAGTTTAGGAAATACCTTCAAAGACACATCTGGCCAATGAGTGATGTGGATGTTGTCACGAAACTGCATTTTGGTTCGTTTCACCAACGGATTCAGGCCAGAGCAATCAAGTGTGGTGTGAAAAGGAACTAAAACGGCTGAAAATGACTAACTGTCAGGATTCTGTTCTGCTATCCAGACCCTTATTTTTGCATTCTGTTCCCCCGCTCTGTTTAGTTTAGCTTTCATTGGTTTCTGATTATGTTCTTGTTCATTGCTAGAGTTGTGTATTAGTTTCACGTATGTCTAGTTTACTTTCCTTTGCTCTACGCTTGTTTATATAGACCTTGTTTATGCATTATATGGTTTGCATTATTGTGCTTCGTGTTCAGAAAATTAATAAAGCCTGTTTTGTTTTTGACTCTGTCTTCGTGCCTTCTGACCACATCGTAATACTTATTTGCATAGCACATACACACACACAAAAAAAAAGGCAATTTCTTTCACTGCTAGAGCACTAGGATCTAATTATTCATATTTGATGATGTATGCAATTGTATTTTAAGAACGTGTGAGTAAGTTAAATTTCATGTTTACTTCAGAAACTCTGCTATAGAGCACTACAACGATAAAAAAATAAAAACATATGCAAAACGGTACCTCCTCCATATCCACCACCTCCTCTTCCAAAGTTTCCACCGCCACCACCCCCTCGCCCACCTGATGGGTTTTATGAAAGATTTTAATAGTCAGAACAAAACATCACAGGACTACGCGACAGCTAAAATGATTGACTCTGAGGTAATTTTACGGCATATCATTTCCAGTAAGCAATTCTCACCTCGTGGAGTCATGGAGACTCTGTTCATCTCCTCTCTGGAGAGAGCTTTCCTGACTTCACAGTTGTGTCCATTCACTGTATGGTACTTCTGAACTGTGGATCAAAGGAAGAAAAAAAATTGACACTGTTTTAAAAGAAATATATTTATATACAGTAGTCAAAGTGGATCAAGAACGGGCCTAAGACAAGAACAGGTATTGTTCACAATGCATGTATAACTTTGATGAATGGTTTTGATTCTCTTCAAATAGAGAGACACTGCTGTATCAGGGCTCGAGACTAACGGCGTCCTATCGTCCTGGGGACGATAGAAAATGTGTTTTTTGTATGCGTGTTCACAGGGCTCGAATTTCGGCGCGGGTATTGCGCATAATTCTAATCATTCCCGCAGGTCTCCTAATTATAATGCGGGATATTCCCGCAATCGTAATCCACATAGATTATAAAATGCCAGACGCAATTTCACAAACAGCGTCAGTGTTTAGCGGCGCCGTGTCTTCTCTTCTCTCAAACTGTTGTGGAAGGCAAGCATCAGTCACTGCTGCGATAATACACACTCGCGTTCAGGAGTGGGACATGACGGGATATGCACGTGAACAATCGGGCTAGCAGTGCATCCTGAATGAAGTTTACCATTTGCACGTCTTTTTTAAGTCTTACCAGTTTAAACATTCAGGCGATTTTAAACTGATCAGTGCTCGCGCGCTCTCTGGGATGACTATGCGCACATAGAAAATCCACCTCAAGAACAGCTGGCCAGTAACAAAAGTTATTTTTCACGGATTATATTGCATTTAACATGCAAAACTATGTCAATTTCGGTCTTCGTGAGTATAATAGTCTAAATATAGTCGGTTTTGTCTTTAATAAGCATAAAACGCATGCCAGCATAATGAACACAGAATCCGTGCCATAGCTCTTAAAGAGACAGCAACCATATGTCTCGGTCATTAATTTTGTCGTGAAAACAACAAGTTTAAGGAATTAAAGTTAAAGGAATCAGGATTGATAGCCTATGTAGACCTATTTAATTTATTCTGGACTAAAATAATATCCAGTGTTATTTTCCATTTGATTACTTTATTCAGTTTCTGTCTATGAAAACTTCAAAAACTTTTCTCTTTATTTTTCATTATTTGTATTTTTATTGTATTTATTTTTGCAACTTTTTTCAATTTAATTAAAAAATTTAAATCTAGCGTTGTGTTGTGTAAATTCTTAACAACATTTCCCCATTGTAAAAATGCAATGAGTGCAAACATTCAGGCAAGATAAACAATAATTTTGTTTGGAAAAAAATAAGGTATTTTTTTAAGTCACAGTAGTTAAATCTGTATCTGTATTGCATGTTCAAACTTTAAAATCATTCATATTAACTGCTTAATAGATTTTTTTTCTCTGCAAGTATGTAGGTTTGGAAATTTTAGAGAAATTCTAAATTAATGCATTACAGTTGAACTAAACCCATTATATTTTAGTCATCTGAATTGTTTTAGTTAACTAACAGCTATGGATGATAACAGCAGGTACAGAAACAAAAGTTTTATTTTGGGACGGCTGACATTCACTTTAGGACGGTTCAAATTGTCATTCAGGACGGTTCCAGGACAGAGGTGAAAAAAGTTAGTCTGGAGCCCTGTGCTGTATATAAAACTGCTGACAGTCAAATAAACAGCAGTCACTTACTGACAATCCTGTCAACGGAGTCGTGGTCGTCAAACGTTATGAAGGCGAAGCCCCTCCTCTTATCACTGTTCTTCTCTGTCATGATGTTCACTTCTTCAATTTTACCGAACTGGCAGAAATACTCGCGCAGGTGCTCCTCATCTGTGTCTTCTTTGATTCCACCCACAAAAATCTTTTTAACGGTGGAGTGAGCGCCTGGTCTGCTCGAGTCCTGTAATCAGGGAAATTAGAGTCCTGACATCAATTATTCGAATACAAATGTAAGATAAAAATATTGTTATTAATATACAAGAGAATTCTTTTTAAATAGACATTTTAAAAATTGTTAGTGGTAGTGTTTTTTTATTTGATTTTATAAAAACTGGGAAAATGTATATTTCACAAAATGCAAAAGTAAGAGAGAACCAATTAAATATTAATAGCTGATTATGTTGTAGTCAATGTATTGAGAACAAGAATTTAGCCTTTTTTTCAAAATAATTATCAGATCAATTATTTACCAAGTTTAGTTTTTGTTTTCGCTCATATTTAAAATAAAGAACCTAAATTATTCTCCTCATATTGGATGGTTTTATCCAAACTAATATCCCCCTCTGGCCACTACTGTGTGTGTGTACATATGTATGTGAGAGAGACGCATACTAATTTGTTACACTGTTAATTTGTACATTTAAATTTAAGTTATGTTATAATATTTTATTATTTTGATGTCTTTATAATTATTATAAGTATTCAAAGCTTTGGAAATATTGAATTTGAAAGAGAGAGATTTCTAGTGGTAAATACCAGACTGTGGTTTAATTTTATTTTATATAAGCTGGAATACTGGTTGTGTAAGTGAGATTTGTCAGAATAAGCAACCTACTTCTCTAGAAACCGCCCTCTTGGGTTCAACAGCTCTTCCGTCGACTTTGTGCGGACGAGCGTCCATCGCTGCATCCACCTCACCCACTGAACTATAGGTCACGAACCCGAAACCCCTCGACCTCTTTGTGTTGGGGTCCCTCATCACCTGCGAGTAGAGAAGGGTTACGGAGTTGGTTTCAGTGCATGCTTTCGGTCATTAGCATGTGAATGCATTGCAGATGGACTCACCACACAGTCTGTAAGAGTTCCCCATTGCTCAAAATGGGCCCTTAGACTCTCATCTGTCGTCTCGAAACTGAGACCCCCGATAAAGAGTTTTCGGAGCTGCTCAGGCTCACGGGGGGGTTGCTGAGAGAAACAAACCCATTAAAAGTAAATATATTAAATGACAACTCTACAAACAGCTCTACGTTTGTAATTTACCTAATCAAACAGAAGCAGCATATATATTTAATCAGGCATCTGCGCGTTTTCCAATTACACAATCCTAACGAACACTATAAAACAAGTTTCTTTAAAGAAAAGAGGCAAATTGAACCAGCTTGTTTATTCATTCACATCGAAACTGCAACTGTTGGTGCGCGCGGCCGATGTTGTGTAAAAATATTTTCGATCTGTTGTGCACGAGCTCATCGCGCGGCCTACCGCGGCAAAACAAATAACATGTATTTTCAAAACACCGACGGTAAAATAGATACACACAAACAGAACATGAGTATCGATAAAGCCCAAATGAATGCAGAATGACTGTTTGGAACAATTCGAAATAAACGAAATGTGCTACAGCTCGTGTATCGTTACGAGCCGCTGCTGCGAACAAAGAAATGAGACGAAGCCGCGGGCGTTTAATCATACACAATCGTCTTCCTAAATAAATAAATTTTCTCTTCGGCATTTTGCTTTTTAACAACTACAGGAAACTTTGCAGTTTTGCAGTTATAATGTAATCTATAAGCTACAAGCATAATATATTGGCTTTTTTTTTTTACCTCTTTGGACATGGCGGTCTCCCGGTGACTGACAGCAGACCTCGCGCAAGTCTCGCAGAAAATGAGCGTGCGCGTACCCGGTCACTTGGGCCCTTACGTCGTGAGGTCACTGCGCATCGGCGGGACCACGCCCGCTTCCTTCTTTCGTGAGAGAAAATGGGGAATAGTATGTTCACATTTTGAATTGTCTATATTTTGTAAAATATTTTATTTACAAATGTAAAGTTTTAAGAATTGCACCCAGTTTAATATATATTGAAAGAGCAGCCCAATATGCCGATGCCTTAAAAATGTGCCTATGAGAACCAAGAAATTAATTGATTTGTTTAACCTGTATGATTTTGTTTATGTAATGCCAATTGTTATATCTCAGTCTGTGAAGTCTTAAAGTTTCATTTATGTTAATGTTGGAATGCAAAAAAAAAAAAAGAAAGAAAGAAACATGGATAAGCTATATTAGTGTCATCATAGAGCTGTAAACAGGGCCTCCACGAGAGGTGATTACGTACAACATTTGGACAATATGTATTGTCAATGAAGGGGTCAGAGATCTGGAACAAGTGACCGGCTGCCGTGAGAGAATGTCCGACTCACCCCCAAGAACCAACTCAAACAATGACTCAAGACACATCAAATTTGTGACCACTAAAGCGGTCTTTGTTGTATTTTATGTGTATGGGTTTGTTTTATGTGTATGGGTTTGCTCACTGTTGTATTGTTGTGTATATATACATATCCAGATCCAAGACTTTTTACTGCATTAAATTGCACTTTAACATATTTAAAATGTACTTGATGTACATAGAATAGCACTTTACTGTGTATGTGTACAGTATTTGTGTGTCTGCTGTACTATGCCCTGTCTGCTAACTGTGGTGTCTTTTATAATATGTTGTTGAAATTTGTATCGTCTTTTAAATTGTGTTGTATCGTATTTAATTTCAATGTTTAGCTGTGTTATACTGTTATGACCTGACGGGGGACTGCAGTTCATTAATATGCACTGTCCCTCTTAAATAAATAAATAATTAAAATTAAATAATTAAACTTGTTTACGTTTTTGGGGGTTATTTTACATATAGGGCGTGAGAGTTACACAAATGTCAGTTTCTTTATTCAGGCGATTCAAGAGCAAGCATTTAAGTAATTTCATAGGCAAAAGACAAACCTTAACTTTATTATTTGTAATATTTCACAATAATTTGCATTGTGCACAATAGAGAATACATTAATAAATATTCAGTTCAATTTTGACTTTAATTTGACTCAAGATTTTCAAGTTCACGGACATAGAATGGATAATGGATAATGAAGTGTGCATATATATATATATATATATATATATATCTCCTCTGTAGTAGTCCCATTAGAACAAGTGTTAGCAACACACTTTTCGAGACAAATCAAAAGCTTTAGAAAAACCAGACTGATGTATTTTATGTTGTAGAATAAAACATGAACGTGAGCTTTTGCTTAACTTCATCACATAGCTTACCTAATTTCAGCCATTTAACAAACAAATCAACAAAACATTTATTTTATTTATTTTTTTATATTGACTTAAGGACAATAGAACTTAAGTGAACTTATCAAAATGTTGAACAAATGCATCACACGCAATATGAGTAACACAATCAATTACTTTTTAAAGTAACTTGTACAGTAATGCATTACTTTTTCAAATAAATAAGGCAATTTACTTTTTCTCAAATGTCAGAAAAAGTTTTTTTTCCTCACTGATTTGATGAGTGAAATCACGAGTCGTTGTGTGTAAACATGCCTATTGCTAAATGTGAGCATTTAATTATCTTACTTGCACAAATACATTCTGTATTTCTCAAAATGAATAAAAACAGTGAAATGCAAACTCTGAATATTACAATATAAACCTGCAATAATTAACTACTTTAATCTCATTTTAATTTGATGCTGACCTTCGACGATCCAATTCAATAGGCTGATAAGCAAAAATACTTTAGATAAAAATCACATTTGTGTTTTTACTCACACACACACACACACACACACATATATATAGGCAGTAACACAATGTTGTAAAGCATTACTTTTAAAAGTAACTTTCCCCAACACTGCAAGTTATTAAGAAAGATGCAGAATTATGAATTTGCAGTCGGTCAACAGCAAAATCTAATCTAAACATCTGCTTGTTTTTGTACACTAAGCATGTGGTTAATAGACAAAACCACAAATGCTGTGTAAGCTTTTGAGCTTATAATATATTTATTAAAGTGTTTTGGTTGTAAAAAACACAACAGTTCACACAAATACACAGTTTTAAAGGTTAGACGGCCATGTATTTATTATAGAAATGAACAACGAAGGGGCCCTAAGATAAATGCATTGGGATTTGCTGTAAATGATAATGCTCAGTTGAAATTGAACAGTAACATCCTGTGACATGTAATTTATCTAAATGGAAATGCTTGAGTCAACATAGGCCTAATATGACAGTAAATGACAGAGGTCTTCTTTTGGGCTTCTCATTTAGTAAGAGGGACTGATTTCCTCCTGACAGCATGTGTTGCTGTAACCAGTTCATCACTGAAGACTTAGGATCGAGTTTGCCGTAAAAAACACATTTAAAAAACACCCTCTTTTGAAAAAATACATTTCAATTGTACCACGTAATCGTCCACTGCAATCGATGATTTCTGTTTAAGGCTATCTTGTAATTGTTTTTATACATTTCATTTATTATTTTAAAGTGGTGAGAAAGATTTTTTAATTCATAAAGTTAAATTGTCCCACTATTTTAATGTTTTCTTGCTAAAAATAAACCATGGCAATATCACATTTTTTAAAGAAAATATCTGATGGGAATTTTATTTCTGCCAGAACAATCTTTAAAAGTGAATGCTTGGAAAGTAAAATAGGAAAACCGTGTACTTTATGTAGTATTTTATTTATGCATGAAGAAAGCCCCTCTCTCTCATTTCCACACAAACAGTTCACTGGATCACTGTCTGAAGCTTTTAAAGAAACAAATAACAAAACCGGTCCTTCTTTTGCATTCAGGAAATTTATGGAAAAACCTTCAGATGAAGAAAACAAATCCAGGAAAGTTTTTACATCAGATTCTGCAATATCATGCAAGAAAGAAGTCAAGTAATTCTTTCTTCTTCCATCAAAAGAACTCCTGAAAACATTTTGAAGGTAAAACTTCTATTGCTTCTTTCTTTTCAAATTGGACTCATGGATATCCAAGTATGCAAACTGTAATATCGTTTCCAACGCTTCAGAGAGAGGCTTTATCTAGTAACTACAGGCTAATTATGTGTGTGTGTGTGTGTGCATGTGTATAAACATACATACATACATACATGTTGTATCCTTAGTGCCCTGCAGATAACAGATTAGATCATATTTACTTTTTCAATAAAAAAATTTAATTTAAAAAAATTTTTAATAAAAAAAAAATATTTTCTTAAAAAGCTGCACAAGATTTTTAGGTTCTTTAAAAAAAAACGTGTTGCCTTGAGCATCCGTGGATGTTGCCACTTTATATAATAAATAATAGGATTATTTGTGTAAATTCAATTATTTTGTTGGGATATGCAGATATTTTGTGTAAAATAATATATGCACTTAACAGTATGCAATATGCAACACACACACACACACACACAAACTGTATATATGTCTATGTAGTTTATCATTTCACACACGTATCTCTCCAGTGTTTTCAAAAATTATATTAGCGTAGAAAGGTCCTTAAAATACACAAAGTTTGTTGCTATAGAACTAAGAGTTTTAACAAATTCAGTTATATAAACATACATGTAACATTATAAAGAAAAGGGGGAAAAATCAGTCATTACACAGAAATCTTTTGTCAATAAACAGCAGACATTCCTCTGAAGATATATTGTTTTCAGTTACCATATAGCCAGAAAGCATTGAAATGCCCAATTCAAACCCTAGTTTGTCCATCGGCCCAATAAAAACAAACAAAAATAAAATAAAATACAGACGAGACTCTCGTCAAACAGTAGATATCATGTTAATGATAAGATGAGAAGTTAATAAAAGGACAAATACAATATCGTTTGGTACAACAATTACATCAGATCTCTGCCATTTTCCTCTATTAGTGGCCCACAGGTATGAAGACATCGCATTAAACTGAACCTGTGCATCCGACAACACTGCTATATCACACTGGAAACCTCCGCTTCATCGTCCTCCACCTCAGAAAAGATCAAATCAGTTTATCATCAACAAAACAACACCGCTGTGCTTCAACACAAGGCAATATAATGTTAAAAAGACTTAAAGAAAACAAAAGGCAGTGTATCTGTCCTCGTGTCAAGATTTCAGAAAAATAATATGTATATAATTACTATTTCAAAACCAAGATGTAAAAAAAAAAAAAAAGTACAAAACAAAATAACCAAGCACATCCTAAGGCCACAAGATCGTATATGTTGCACATATAAATCTGTACATAATATTGTGGGTCTTTTGGACGTTTTCATCACGTGTAATGTATGTATTAACAGTGTAGTCAATACTTAATGAATCTCACAAGAGCTCTGCCATATACCACTCTAAAATCAGCAAAAAATATTGAGCATTTAGAAAATTAAGCCTATTTTTAAGACCAATAGTTTATTTTGCACTGTGACATTTCAACCCTTTAATTGTCATTACATAATGCACCAATTTTAGAGTTCTGTAATAATGTATTACCATTTGAAATATAAGTATATTTAAAATAATGTTTCAATGCAAAATAATGTAACATTGAAAAACTTAATGGTCTTAAAAAAAGACCTAATTTTCTTTACGCAAAATATACTTGGTGATTTTGAGGGACCAAAGACCCATGCACGGCCTGGAGAGGTTCTGTGAGATTATCCCAGTCATTAAGGGAGTGATGTCACTTCCTGTGAGCAGAACTCAACTTATAGAGAACAACCCAGCTGTTACACATAGTAATATACACATCTTTCAAATTCTTACATAGTTACAATACCAGAGCAAACATTTATCATTGAGAAAAAGCCTGTGAATGCTTAATGAATTCAAATACGGAAGCGCACTGTGCACTTCCACATGGTCACACACGGGTACAATGTTACAAACAAATCTTGCGATGGTTGTAGGACATTACCCGAGTCCTCAGGACAGTAGGTTACGAACCCTCAGCAGGCCTATACATCACATACGATGCGGATTTTAACCACACAATGCTGTTGAACTTACATAAAGTGTGTATCAATAGGTGTCAGTCAATAGATGATGGGTTGTACCTTTGCACAAATCTCGTTTTTTTTTTTTTTGGTTAGTCACATGAAATTCCCATGTTAGGTGTGTTTTTTGTTCCTCGCGTCTTAAAAGTACCATAAAACCCCCTTCTAACCCCATATTATATTACCAAAAAGTATAAAACAACCCTCAATGATCAAAAGAGAGCCTTTTGTTTTGTTTCTCACTAAAGCAACAAAAGACGGGAGTTTCCCTCGTCCTCTCTGTGGCGCATCTCTCTGTGAGCGGCGGGTCCGAGTGCCGGTGGCGTCGAGAGAGAGGTCTGGGTGTGCCGTCTTCTCAGGGCTTGAGTGTGGAGAGTATAGCGTCAGACGGCGAGCCGGCCCGGGGCGGGATGCAGGGGACTCCACGTGGACGGGGGGGCTTGGGGAGGCTCCTGGGAGAAAGAGCACGGCTGGGCCTCGACCTTTGCCACGCCGCGACCCTGACACAATCGCCGGTGCCTCAACAGTCTGTCCGTCCGTGAGAAGTTCTAAAGGTGAAAAACAGAAGTTTTGACTTTGTTATATTGGTTCACCCAAATAATAATTCTTCCTTGTGCTCATTCACACTTGGTTCGATTGATTGAAATCATTGCACACAAATGATTATGGTTCCTTGTAGAGTTGTCAAAGAGTACAGACTTCGGTGTTACGATAGCAGTAGCGGGTGGAGGCCCAAGTGACAGAGGAAGCCGTTGGTCTGGTTCAAGACTTGTTTTTTTGTTTTGTTTGTCACACAATTTGTGGGAAAACTTTAAAATGCAACAAAACAAAAACAGCACCAATCACATGGTCAAATAAACGATCTCCACAAGACAGACTCTGACCTGTACATGCAGTCACACAACACAACTAGCATTTCTCTGCAGTACTAAATTTCTGGAGCACATATAGGCCCGACTCCTCCCTCCCCCCGGGGATATACCACTTGTAAAGGTAAATAAGATTCACATAAATCACATATACAAATAATAATTAACACTACTAAATACAAAAACTCATATCTGCAGATACACATCACAGCATAAATACACCCATAAATAATAAAACAGACAAATAACTCATAAAACGTTTAATTTATACAGTTATGATGGATGGAACCCTCGTTGACGTCACACACACAGATGCGTCACCAAGATGGCGCGAACACCAGGTATAAATAAACCAAGCAAATTTAAACCAACTAATAGTGGTGGGGTGATTTCTTACACAAAACAGCAATCCTATAACGCTATCACGCTACACAAACAGGCAGTGTTAGCATGACGCCAGTGTATGTGCGTAATGTGCGTGTGTATATGGGTAGTTGACGTGACGTGGCTTTTTCACCATCACAGAAGATAAAAAACAATTTATTTCACATTTTCATCATTTAGAATACTGTAAATGGTTAAGCATTTTCTTAGTTTACATGAATTTGTTGTTTTAAAACCAGAGTTATTTTTTATTTCTGTACAATTTTGAACCAAATCTCAAAATCGTCCTATGGAAAACACCCCATGTATAAAGCGTGATCTTACCTGCTGGCAGCGCTCACACTGGTAAGGCTTTTCTCCACTGTGAACACGCTTGTGTCTCTCCAGATGGTACCTCTGAATGAACCGCATGTCACACATGTCACATGCAAACGGCTTCTCTCCTGTCAGAGGAAAACGGTCTTCATTAAAGTGCCCCACACCTTCATTCTCACAGCATGCCACAACAACACACGACAGAGACTCTGAAACACTGATTGTCATGTAAGGATCGAGACTGCGATTGTCATAAGGGTTTCCATGAAGCTTTAAATACAGAGTATATCCATGCTTAGAAATAAAGTAGATGACTTCATACAAACTCGAGTTTGTAGAGTGTGTTTAATATGGAATGAAAACTGCTTGATTGTAAAGTGGCACACTGGGGTTTTGGTTTTAAAGATCAGAAACCTGCTTTGAGACTTGGTTTAATGCTTTCTGTTTGGAGAATAAATACGATTGAGCATTAAAAATGTTTAAAAAGAAACAGCTAGCGTCATTTTGTCTCTGTTTTTCCACCCCTTAAAGGAGTAGTTCACATTTAAAAAAACTCTTGCTGATAATTGACTCACCCCCACGTCATCCAAGATGTCCATGTCTTTCTTTCTTCAGTCGAAAAGAAATTAAGGTTTTTGATGAAAACATTCCAGGATTTTTCTCCATATAATGGACTTCAATGGGAACCAAGCGGTTCAAGGTCCAAAAGGCAGTTTTAGTGCAAACTGCAAACTGTTAAAAGGGCTTTAAAGGATTCCAGACTATGAATAAGGGTCTTATCAAGTGAAACGATCGATCATTTAAAAAAAAAAATCTTTTTTTTAATTATAAAAAAAGTTTTATAAGCTCAAATGGTCGCCTTGCTCTGATCTGTGATGCGTGTTCGTGACTCTCCTGTTCGAACTCGTTCATCAAAATGAATGAATCTTTTTTCGAATCATTTGGTTAATTCAACGAATGAAATGAACGAATTGACTTTGAAAAAGATTTGTTCATTTTGATGAACGAGTTCGAACAGGAGAGTCACGAACGCGCATCACAGAACAGAGCAAGGCGAGCATTTGAGCTAATAAAACTTAAACTTTGTTATTTATTTTTTAAATGAGCGATCGTTTCGCTTGATAAGACCCTTGTTCATCGTCTGGAATCGTTTAAAGCCCTTTGAACAGTTTGCACTGAAACTGTCTTTTAGACCTTGAACCGTTTGGTTCCCAGTAAAGTCCATTATATGGAGAAAAATCCTGGAATGTTTTCATCAAAAACCTTAATTTCTTTTCGACTGAAGAAAGAAAGACATGGACATCTTTGGATGACATAGGGGTGAGTAAATTATCAGCAAAAGTTTTTTTTAAAAGTGAACTACTCCTTTAAGGGGTAGTTCACACCAAAAATTAAAATTCTGTCATTAATTATTCGCCCTCATGTCGTTCCAAACCCGTAAGACTTTTTTCCATCTTCAGAACACAAATGAAGATCTTTTTGATGTAATCTGAGAGCTTTCCGTCCCTCCATTTACAGAATATTAATCACGAAATGCGCGTTTGTTGCATTTTCATTAAAACGATCTTCATGTGTTCCGAAGATGAACGAAAGTCTTACGGGTTTGGAACGACTTGAGAGAGTAATTAATGACCGAATTTTCAGTTTTGGGTGAACTATCCCTTTAGGACAGACGAAAAAAAACAAAAAAACACGGAGAAACAAGGCAAGAGCAACTACATAGATATTGATGCCAGCAAGTAAGTCAGAAATAACTCGCAAAACTTGCCCCCCAAGTGCAGGTAAAAAATGTTTTTAAATGTCTTCATGTTAATGCAAATATTATATGATGCAGGATATGGTTAATATTTCAAAAGTAAGAGTTCCTATTCAAACTAATGTTAAAGTCATTGTTATCGCATTGTTTCTTTTCCCCTAAACACTCCAAACACACAAAATAGACAAACTCCAATCCAGGAATACTTAGTAAATTGGGTTACAAAGAAAGGACACATACCAGTGTGAGTGAGGCTGTGTCTTTCCAAGTGGTAACGTTGGAAAAACCGCATGTCGCACATCGAACAAGCATATGGCTTCACCCCTAAACGTAGAGTCAATTTTTAGTGAATGTCTTTACAAAACATTCAAAGCACAAGTTTTAAAAATGTAGAACATGCTATTGATTTCTTGATCTGCATGCTGATATTCAGAGGCTGCATCCTTCGAGAGGCGAACGCGTCACAGCGGCGTGACGAAGGCCGTCCCATTTCAATGGCTCTTTCGAATGAGGCCTACACACGCGTCCTTCGTGTCCCGGCCCACTGAGGACAGAACTCATCTATCCCAAGATGCATTGCACGCCAGTGACGACTGGATTTATTTTATTTTTTTTTTGAGAAAATGCTAAAAAAATGTTTAATGAATCTGAATTACTTTTTTTTTTTAAATGAACGATTCAATGACTCGCTCAAAGACTGAATCAGCGTTTTTTGAACGAATCTCTTGAATAAATGATTTAATGACAAATACATTTTTAATAGTCACTTGATGCCACCTGGTGGCGTAACAATTTAATTGATTCAATCGTTATTTGAAGGGTCGGGAATTGCTCTATTTTTAGCTTTTGTAGATAACAGTGTTTATATCTGAACTACTGTATACATTTTTATCTTATCTATGATATTCTGAATTGTTGTAACACAGAATGACTGATAATGTGAAGCTGTTTCACATCTAAACCTGACAACTGTTCTCTCTGGATCAGCAACAGAGCAAACACAGATCTGAATGTTTCGGTGTGATTTTGTCAAAATTGTGCGGGAGTTTAAATAGCGATTAATCGTGCAGCTCTAGGTTGTGAACCATGTTTTGTTTACAGACAGTTGAATATAAAAAGTCAAAGAAACAACCGTTACTGGCACAGCTTTTAGGCGGCAAGAACAATCCTCCGTTAGCTTCGAGATTCGTGCACATTTCGAAGGATGCAGCCTCTGAACGGGGACACGACTATAATGTCCATTTCACTCATTTCAGTTTGCATTTGGATAGTTTTAAATGGAAAGAAATTTTTCTAAGCAATATAGTAAAAAAGATGTTTCTGGGGCTTCTTTATAATCACTTTATGAGGGACGTGTCAAAATGATATTCTGTAGTAATCAAACTTAAGCCACAAAGGTTCACCTCAATCTCAGAAAAATAAAACTAAAAAGATACATTTATGCTTATCTCATTTCAAAATCAATTTAAGTATTTATTCAGGTCATAGTAATGGGGTGGGATAGTTGTTCTCAGTACCATAGTGTGAAGTAAGAAATAAAATAGTGCCTAAAGTAGCAGCACTGCAGGTGAAACTCGAAAAATTTGAATATCGTGCAAAAGTTCATTGAAAAGGTGAAGCTAATATATTATATAGAATCATTACATGCAAAGTGAGATATTCCAAGCCTTTATTTGTTATAATTTTGATGATTATGGCTTACAGCTATCTTTTCACAATCTTTTCATTTTGAATTTGGGGTTTTCATAAGCTGTGAATCATAATCATCAAAATCATAACAAATAAAGGCTTGGAAAATCTCACTTTGCATGTAATGAGTCTATATAATATATTAGTTTCACCTTTTAAGTTGAATAACTGAAATAAATGAACTTTTTCGAGTTTCACCTGTATTTGTTCAATTATTAAATGTCACCGACTCTGATTTTAAAATCTGAAAATGGTTGCTGCGCAAACCGAATTGAAAGTCATTTAACATGCAGAAAACGAACTTTAAGTACAAAAAGACAGGGGTTTGAGATGACACATACCCGTGTGAGTGAGGCTGTGTCTCTGCAGGTGGTAACGCTGAAAAAACCGCATGTCGCACATCGAGCAAGCATACGGCTTCACCCCTGAATGCACAGAGCAACAGTTCAGGCATGCCTTTCTATCAATATAGCATTTATGGGTAAAAAAAAATACTGCTCATAGCAAGTGCATCAGCAGAACTTAATTTTGCTTTAATTAGATGTATTAATCATGTACAATATTGATTTTATATTTAGCATAAAAATGTTTGTGTGCCACAAAGTATTAGTTGTTAACCACAGCTGTTGATAATCACCTCCTCTTTAACATTTCCAGTAAAACAGATATACTTTATAATGTCTTCTTTAACAAACATAGTTTGGTAACACTTTAGTTTAGGGCCCAATTCTCACTATTAACTAATTAGCTTGCATATTAATAGGATATTGGCTGGTTATTAGTACTTATAAAGCACATAGTGATGTCATTGTGTGCATGACCATAATCATAAACTTGACAACTACCTTACCAACTATTAATAATCAGCAAATTAGAAGTTTATTAAAGGAGTAGTTCACTTTAAAAAAAAAAAAAAAAACCTTTTGCAGATAATTTACTCACCCCCATGTCATCCAAGATGTCCATGTCTTTCTTTCTTCAGTCGAAAAGAAATTAAGGTTTTTGAAGAAAAGATTTTCTCCATATAATGGACTTCAATGGGAACCAAACAGTTCAAGGTCTAAATGAGAGTTTCAGAGCAGCTTCAAAGGGCTTTAAACGACACCAGACGATGAATAAGGGTCTTATCTAGCGAAACGATCAGTCATTTCAAGAATAAATAACAAAGTTTAACTATTATGAGCACAAATGCTCGCCTTTCTCTGTTTCGTGTGACTCTCCTGTTCGAACTCGTTCATCAAAATGAACAAATCTTTGTTCGTTGAAAGAACCAAATGACTCAAAAAAAGATTTGTTCATTTTGATGACAGGAGTGTCTCGAACGTGCATCACAGAACAGAGCAAGGCGAGCATTTGTGCTTATAAAACTTAAACTTTGTTATTTATTTTTGAATTGACCGATCGTGTCGCTTGATAAGACCCTTATTCATCGTCTGAAATCATTTAAAGCCCTTTGAACAGTTTGCACTGAAACAGTCATTTGGACCCCATTGAAGTCCATTATATGGAGAAAATCCTGGAATGTTTTCATCAAAAACCTTAATTTATTTTCGACTGAAGAAAGAAAGACATGGACATCTTGAATGACATGGGGGTGAGTCAATTATCAGCAAAAGTTTTTTTTTTTAAGTCAACTACTCCTTTAAGGTAAAAATAAATAATAGTGAATATGTGCTTCCCAAACTAAAGTGAAAAAAAGAGGCGGCATTATCACCAGCATGGACTGTTTCTTTTATTTCATGCCTGCGGAATACATATTTTAAGAAGCTAGGAAAAGACAAACTCGAGTTTGTTGTAGTTTTAACAGATTGTGTCTCTCTCGGTAACATACTGAGAGCTTTGAGAGGCAATTCATGATAATATATAAACAGAGATTTCTCCTACCCGTATGGGTGAGGCTGTGTCTCTGTAGATGGTAACGTTGGAAAAAACGCATGTCACACATGGTGCAAGCATAAGGCTTCACCCCTGAATGCACAGAGTAGCAGTGTGTTAACCTCACCGCTACATGTGAACTAAAACCAAGCACTCATGAACATCGCTCAACATATACAATGCAAAAAAATACAAATAATAATTCACTACAGTCTCATCAGCCAAACACAATGCTAAGAGCAGCTGACAAACTGAACATCTACTAGACAATAGAAATGTGGAAATAACTGCTAAAAACTAGGGCTGTGAAACGATTAATCGCGATTAATCGCATCCAAAATAAAAGTTTGTGTTTACATAATATATGTGTGTGTGGCGTGTATAATTATTTTGTATACATAAATACACACACATGCATGTATATATTTTAGGAATATTAGCATGTATATACATTTATACAAAATTAATATTATACATAAATATTTGATATATTAATAACACATTTTTCTTAAATATATACATGCATATGTGTGTATTTATATATACAAAATAATTATACACACCACACACGCATATATTATGTAAACATTAATCGTTTCACAGCCCTACTGAAAACTCTGGGTTAAAGTGTCAACTGTGAGCTTGTAGTTTTAGGCATAGAAAAATATTCATACTTAAAGCTTAAACTATAAATCAGACGACCATACGTACGTTCACAAGTCTCGAGATCCAGCGGAAGGGCGACCTCTAACCCGACGTTTGACGTAGTTCCTTCTCTTATTGAAATCCTCCGACATTTGACTTAAAAAATTACGTTTTAGGCTTCATATTACTGACCGGCGTTTTGTTTTGCTCTATCTATACGGCAGTTCGTTAATTCTCACCTAAGGTTACGCTGCGTCATACGTCAGGGTCAGAGGTCACCATTCCAGAGGTTACTTTTATGATGGATGGATGCATTTTTGTAAGAGCCTTCAAAAACTACAAACTATCAAATGTCATTACAAAGCTGGGAAGAGCCGGGATATTATTTAATATAACTTCGATTGTGTTCGGCTAAAAGAAGTCACACCAAGAATGGCTTGAGAGTGAGTAAAGTATGAGATAACTTTCATTTTTGAGTGAACTATTTCTTTAATCTGATTTTTGTGCATTGACTGTAAACGTCCCTGTGCAAGAGAGCATTGGAGTTAGCTAAAGCAGGGCTGTACAGTGTTTACTATTAATACATTATTTAAATTTTATTTTCACAGAATACTTCATTTATTTGCATATACGCAATATATTCAATGCAAGATTTCTTCCTCTAAAATGACCTCATTCACTTTAATTCAAGTCTTTTGAGTCTTTCAAGCCTTTAATCTACAGAAGCAATACGTAGGTGTATGTGAATATGGACGTGAAACAGAATGGTGATTATTTACATATCAATAATAATCAAAATGTTGTTACTGAAAAAAATTCAACTACAGAAATAATGTCAAGCCTAGCTGACAGTGTGCACTTTAACCCAAGAGCACATTAGTTTAATATAAATAAATATATTTTTACAATTCGTCAATGCTCCAGTTCTCCTTTCTGAAGTTAACGTACTGATTAATACTGAAATTGCATACTTCCAATTTTCTGTTACAGTAGCTCAGATATTATCTAAGGGGGGGAAGACAGAAAGACACATACCCGTGTGAGTGAGGCTGTGTCTCTGCAGATGGTAACGGTGGAAAAAACGCATGTCACACATGGAACAAGCATACGGCTTCACCCCTGAATGACCAAAGCAAAATATTAACCAAGCGCATCATCTAAACATCCATCTAAGAATCAAAGATAACAGCCTAATGTTACAGTCTGACCCTGTTATGTTAGTACAACATACTAACAGTTAGTTAGTTAGTATGTTGTACTAACATAGTTAGTACAAGTTAGTTCTAAGCAAGAGTTTCACAAAGAGTCCAGTTAAAGGTACAATATGTAGGATTTTTGCAGGCCAATTAGGCCAATGCTATACATTTTGTTTAGTTGATTACTTACAATATCCCAAATATTTCCAACTATTTGTAAATCGTGAGACAATTGCGATTTTTAACCAAGGAAATGGGGCGTGTGAGCAGGGGTGAGGAGTCGCCAGTCAATGACGTCATATCCACGTTACCCCCGGTTTCCGCCAGGTTTGACCTCGTACTGCAATAGTAACCATGGCGACAGACGTGGACAACTGGGTCGGTTACGCCCGTTATGCGAGCTCAACAGCGTGAGCGTCCCTAGCAGGGTTTAGTTCAAACATTATGGACCATGGCAAGCAGACTTTGAGACAAAAAGAGGACTAGAACGAAGATCAACATCTTTCGAGACGCCGAGAGCTCTCACTTCGACTTGACAGAAACGCGAGTGTTACATGTTACTTGAGCAAATAGGTGAGCAAATCGATGTATATAAAACGAATCAATGTTATATAGTTCAGCATGATGAAAAGTTAGAATATGATCTGTATGTTTAGTCTCATAGAGCCAACAAACAACCTAAGTTAACTAACAACATTCAACACACTCAAATGCCGTTTAGTGCGATAGTGAAACTGTTAGAGCGAGTGAAGCAGCGCTGCGTTACCTCAAGTTTAATTCCTTTAATAAACTGACCTGTGTGAGTTATTCAGCGTGTCGTTCGGTAGAATTAAATGTCCTTATTCCTTTATATCCGCGGGACTCGCGTTCATAGCTGTCAACCCTCCCGTTTTTTCCGGGTTTCTCACGTATTTTAGCTCTTTTCCCGCTGTCTTCCCGTTTGAGTATTTTCCCGTAAAATATACCGTATTTTTACTCTCTGATTGTGTGAGACGTACGGGCTCGGACAGATTCGGCTTGAAGTCGTTTATCCTCGGATGCGGTGCCGCGCGCGCTGGCCGGAGACACACTGGCTGCGTGGTGGGTCCGTTTTTATTGCACGCTGCCTGCGTGACACGCGCGTCTCCAGAAAACGCGTGCATGCTAGAAATAGAACTGACGCCTATTTTTCACGCGACAGGCAGGCGTGTATCTTTGCCTGGAATTTCTTTGCGTTTCCAGGCAAAAAAATAAATAAAAAATAGGAAACAATGTTTAGGCTAGCTGAATGTAATTTTGTACTCGAATACATATTAATACATTACATTTTGATGTTTGAAAGTCTAGGTTTTTACATAAATTCAGATATCAATGTAATCTAAACAAATAATAATTATTATAAATAGATTTTCAAATATATGAATAAAATATATTTTCTTTTTTTCCATTTGTTTCTTAAGCTCTTAACAATGTGATTACATGAAGAAGAAAAAAAAACTTGAAAAAAAAAACGTTCTGGGCCTCAGGAGGATATAAAGATAGTGTGTCTTCTGAGTGATGGTCCACCATCAGGCTAAATAGGCTCTTTAAAGCTACACAAAATGTGTAAATGTAATTAAAATAAACACAGCCCACTTCCCTATTTTGCGGATTTTGGAAGATGTGTGATAGGCTAAATGTTGAAATTGTTGTCCAAATGCTAGAGCAACACATGCTAATCCAAATGTAGATTTTTTTCCCTTTAAATGACACTGTCTCTTTCTCTCTCACACATAGGCTAGTTATGAACACCTTAGACTTTTAAGGATTGTGCTTTATTTTTAAAGTTTGTGGGTGAGAATCGTGCAAAAAAAAAAATCCCTTATTTTGGGGATGGATTCCGGGAAAACTCCCTTATTATCAATGTTCAATGTTGACAGCTATGCTCGCGTTGCGTGTGGCGCTGGTATACGTCTAGCAATCGCGCCCTGCCTCATACTACAGTCATGTTAAAAACATCACTGTATTCACTCATCCATAAAAGATCCATCAGCTTGACGACAAGATCCATAATTCCGCTTAATATACGTCATTAATATACTACGCCTTTGTTATTGTAAGAGGTTAGCGACCCCTGGAGGCGAAACAATCTTGCATATTGTACCTTTAAACATTAACTCTCCAACAAAGTGCATTAAGGTCAAAATTGGAAATTCATATTTTCATAATGACAGCCAAATACAGAAATCTCTCCCATCATTAATTGACTGTAGCTGTACTTCATCCTCTAAAACAACTGAAAATGTTCTTTCAAAATATTGCAGCACAAAGCGAGCACTGCTGACTATTGCCTATATATGATTCCCTGAAAACCTTTTTGTTCTCTCACAAAGTGACTAAATAAAGATAATTTGCATGAGTAATAGCTTCATTGTCTGAAAGATTAGCATCTTCCAAATAACAAGTACAAAATATATTCTATTCTTAGCCTAAGTCAGACATGAACTACTGTAATTTTCTCAAACTTGAAATTAAGAAATTCTTCCTTCATGTAAAAGCCCATGACTGATGCTCTATGGGTGTATTGAAGGAAATGACTGCTCCTCTTACAAAAATCTCAAACATATAAATGGCAAAAGCTCATAATTTTGAACATTCATTTATGTTCATTTGCTCAACATGCTGAAGAAAACCAGCAAAGGGATACAAAGAGACGACACATACCCGTATGGGTGATGGTGTGTCTCTGGAGATGGTAGCGTTGGAAAAACCTCATATCACACATTGTGCAAGCAAATGGCTTCACCCCTAGATGCAGAGTACTAGTATTAGAGAGCGCTTGCAGATATCAGCATCAACGAAGTAAATTCATGATCAAAAATGACAGTAAATTAACAAAAAAAAGCCACACACAGACACAAAAAAAAAATACGTCTAATCCTCCATGTCTAAAACATATGAAAAGAGCAACTAAAGTCTCCATGCAAACTGGGTCCTGAATCATGTGTCTATACTTGTCCCTTTAAAAACAGTGTTTATTACAGTAGGCTCATTCTCAGGAAATGGTGCCATTTGTACCCCATGAATGAACAACAAAAATATTTGGGAAAAGTACTAATGTGGTAAAAACTATATATACTGTATATATATATATAAAGGGTTGTTAAGTTGATGGTTCCAACATTTACAGTACAGAGTAAATTTGGCACGCTGTGTTCAAACGCTCTTGTGTTTTTTATAATTGTAGAGCATTGTAGCCAATCATATCTGCCAAGCGTGGCCAATGACCAGAGGTGCTCATAAATCTGCTTAATCTAATCTGCTTAAACGCTGAAAACGTGAGTCACATAAACAAAGTGTAAACACCATGTAAATAAGATAAGAGAAGAGATAAGATAAAATAAGATAAGAGATACAATTAAAGGAGTAGTTCACTTTTAAAAAAACTTTTTCTGATAATTTACTCATCTTGGATGACATGGGGTTGAGTAAATTATCAGCATTTTTTTTTTAAAGTGAACTACTCCTTTAAGAGAGCTTTTTATTATAGCAGGAGTTGCAACGAGAAGGATGAATTCAGTGAGCTTTCTGGACTTAAAATCGTATTTAAAATGTGCGACTGAATTGGAAACTACGATGATTGACAGGGATGAGACAAAAAGGGACACCGTTTCTTAAAGTACTTCATTTAAAAGTACAGAAAACCATCGGTAGGGTTGGGAATCGGAAAATTTGGGGAAACAATCGGGTTGGGAAAATTTCCTGAGGCCCGGTTCTGCCTAACGATTCCAATTAAAAAAATCTAATAAAATATAGCGTTATGGAATAGGGCTGGGTGGGTATCATATGAATTTCAACAATTCCACTTATCGATTACTAATTTCAATTGCAAAACGTAGATATTCACTTTTATTTTAAGTCTTATTGCAAAACATTTAATTGTATCTGAATACAATGAACAAAAGTAAATAGGCTAAAAACACTTACACAAGAAATGTTTGCCTGTGGTTTAAAAAACAACAAATAAAAAAATAAGCTACCTAAACAAATACGATTGAAAAATAAACGGTGTTAAACAAGATATTCAGGTTCAGAAACGAATCAAATGTAAAATAACATTAATCAAACAACAAAACACAAAGAAAATTCACTTGTTCTTGACTGAATATCTAAATTTGTAAAGTTATTGTAAAGACGGCAGCAGGAATATTAGGCTGCTGTCACTTTAAGAGCTCCACGCATCCATTCAAGCGCAAGACAACTCGTTTTTCGTGCTGCAAGTAGGGCTGTCGCGGTTATGGAATTTCCCTTGCGGTAATGTTGAGTGGTTCAATAGGACGATATGCGGTATTACCGCCATTTATTTATTTATCTAATTTATATGTATTTGTTGCTATATAAATAAAGTTTACGATGTAGACAAAAACGAGGACATTTTCAGTAACCAATGTAACCGAAACTAAACACCATCTACAGTATATGCGCATTGAAAGACTTTCACTCAGCGCGTATATTGTTATGACAACGGACTTTGAGCGAGTCATTGAACCGTTCATTCAACAAACACGTTTAAAAAAGCTGATTCATTAAAAGAGATGTGAAGAAACAAATTGTTAATTATTTTTAACTTTTCAAGGCTCAGCTGCGCAGCAATGTGTCGCATGGGCAACGCTGAAGCTGATGCTTCACATAGAGACCAATATAGCATTGATTCAATGCGTGACTCACTGATTTTATTTCCCCGCGGCATCCTTGTGCTGTGGGATGCTGACCAGCGCTGCTGCTGACGCGCATTTATGGGAAAATACCATAAATGAAGAGAACGTTAATTATGATGCGACAAATATTTCGCTTCCCTTTGACACGTCAAGCTTTTCACGACTTCAAAGACAGACGCAGGTAATTGCACGAGCTCTCTCTCATTCACTGTCTGTGTGAAGCCTGTAGGCTCACCATGATAAACAGTCTTGTTATCATCATGAACTTGTTTAACATTCAATACACATGCATTAAGTTAAAAACAAGAAGGGTATAGCCTTATAAAAAAAAAAACGTGAATATCGCGGTTGCTGCGGTTACGGGCAATCCTCTGCGGTTGACTTGTCAGAAGCGCGGTACTACAATATTGCGGTTACAATATTGCGGTTACAAAAGTCTTTTGCTCTTGAATGGTTTAAATCACATTAAAATGCACACACAGGAACCGATAAGCGGAATTGAAATGTGTGATACTTATCGAATCACCGGTTCTTGGAACTTTGGAAGCGGTTCTCGATATCAGTCCCTTGGTGTGTGTGTGTGTGTGTGTATATTCAGAATACACTATATATTCAGAATTTGTTGACGCATTTCTGATTGAAACAAAGTCAGGGCAGGACATGTCAAAGAGCTTGTTTCTTTTTACAGCCAATTGCATTTTGTTTACATCAAAATCACTGATCTGGATTGTTGGAAAAGAACACTGTACATTTTGAATGCTTAAATGAGTGTTTTTTGATTCTACTGTGATTTATGCTGCCTTCATGTGCTTTCAGAATGTCAAAATCATAATAAATACAAGTTTTCGACTCTGAAGTTACATATACGCCCCGTGAAGTAATTATGACTGGGAAAATAAATTAGTATTTTGATGTACATTCAATTCCACACAAAAAAGAGCATGTTTTTCCAAGAGAAGACTGACCAGTGTTTCTCTCTCTCTCTCTCACACACACACGCACACTGATTTAACATGCATTACAGTGTCAAAATATGACTTCCTAAATGCATATGCTACAACAAACCTGGGGTTCTCCATGTTTCCTATTTTATCAGAAAATAAAAGCACTTGAACATGATTATGACTTCCTAAGTGCCATCTAAATTATTACTCCAATTTCCCATATGAAGGCAGCATTATTTCAAGGCATAAAGAAACTAAGGACAGGTTCAAACTTGGCAAATTTGGTTCGATAAATATGAACTCTGGTGTGATTGCTCGGTTCATTTGAATAAGTGTGAGCGCTGCCATCTGAACGCCGAGTCTCGATCCGCTTCCCAACGAAAATACCATCATAGAAACGCACATACATAGAGCGCATTTAGTCCAACACACCACATTGTTTTTGATGTTCACTAAATTCCACAGCAAAATATGTCATAAGTGCTCTTTCTGTTTTGCATCTTTATGTTTGGTGCTAAAAATAATAGTGTGAACGCAAACCAGGGCTAAATGCATCAAGAGAACCAAACTAAAAGTTTGAACACACCTTGGGTGAAAATACCAGTCATCTTTTCAAATTATAAGCATAAGGATTCTAATTTCACTGTGACGGGACAGAAATAACAGCCCTTTAGGGTTAGAAACAATAAATAATAAATCACACTGTAAAATAATTAATTGCTCTGAGTAGGACTAACTTAAATTAAACTAATTAGCTCAGTCAAATTAACTTTTATGAGTATTTAGCACTTTCTTTTTCTTTCAAGTTCACAGAACTGATTTATTGTAAGTAAACTGAACTGAGTTTTAAGTAATTTGATGAACTTGGGCTGGGATTTCTATTTCCCAGCATGCTTTGCCCATAGCACCCGAAAGGAAGAGTAAATGCTAAAATTAAGAGTTATATAATGTTTGTTTTTTTTGTGCAAGATTAATGTTAAGTGGGAGATTTAGTAGTGAATAGTGATTCATTTTTTTGTAATGCACTTTTGACTTTCTGTTAACGTGGGTGCATGCTTAATGCATGCTTAATGGTTTATACGATTGTTAGCATGTAAACAAGTTAGAAAGTTAACATTTCCTGATTTAGCTTGTTACAGCTAGCTAAGTTTATGTTCATACAACTAGCTAAGTTCATAATGTTCACAAAGTGACATGAAATGTCATACATTTGTCTTAATTTCAAATTAAAGGACCATACACACCAGGATGAATATCGGCACGCGGTATTCACCAACGTTTTTCAGCGTGTTTTTTGTGTTCACACCCAAGCGATTTTCACTGACGATGAGCCGAGTGAACCTGCAAATTCATTCCCTGACATTAGATGGTGCTTAATGTAAAACAGAAATAGTCCTATGCATCTTCCTCGTCTTATTTCTTGACGGCAGTATAGATACTACTTGCCGTATATCTTCATCGCCGTTACGTATGAAGACTTCAGATGCAAAAGCCTCTAAGTGCCATTTGAAATTTTCTTCTAAAATTAACATTTTTATCAAGCTTGTATATTTAAGTTCAGTAATTTCACTTAAATGGCAATGAAGATTACCTATTAATTGTCATTTAAGTGAAATTACTGAACTTAAATATACAAGCTTGATAAAAATGGCCATTCTAGAACAAAATTTCAAATGGCACTTAAGGCCAATTTATACTTCTGCATAGGGTGCGCGCAGTAGGTACGGCGTAGCATACGCACAGACGCGTCCCATACCGCGTACCCTTCGCCGTCGCCTGACGCGCACCTCCTCAAAAATGTAACTACACGTCGCGACGACGCGGAACGCAAGATCGGTGATTGGTTGGCTTGGTAGCATCGCATTTCCTCCTACGCATTTCCGCACGTACCTTCTCACGCATTTCCACCACTGTCTATGATTTCCACAAGTTTCATCTCCTCCGAAGTCTTCTCTCATTTCTGCCTTTCAGTTTTAGTAATTTCACTAAAGTGAACTGTTTTTCCACCTTAATAAGCTCCAACTCCAACATGATCAGCTCTCTTTCACTCGTAGTAACCTAGCCGCGAGGAATCTAAACACAGTGGAACATTAAAACTCTCCGCCGCCAACTAGCGTTTCGGAGCAGTACTGCAGAGCAACCAAGACCTGAACGCAGAAGTATAAATGCTCACAACGGCGTCGCCTACGTGCGTAGCCAACGCCGTACACTACGGCGTACCCTCGACGCAGAAGTATAAATTGGCCTTTAGAGGCTTTTGCATCTGAACTCTTCGTATGTGTGCTCGGCAAGACCGTTTTTATACTGCCAAAGGCGTAGCTCGCATGGTGAGCTGAAACCTGAGTACGTCACGAAGTGCGGAACATCCAATAGGAAAATTCAACTGCAGTAGCCACCGTTCAACCTGAAGAGGGCAGCACTAAGACGTTTTTACACCATATATTGTAGAAATAAAACACTTTATACACAAGTCAAAAAAACTTACTCGAATCAATGACTGCTATTAAAGGGGTCATGAACTGGCTTTTTAAATGTTATTATATTGTTGTCTGAGGTCAACTTATAACGTTCGCTTGGTTTTTGCATTCAAAAACATCAAAATGAACAAGTAATAGGCTATTTTGTACCCTGGTTGTGAAAACAGTCGGTTTTTATGGGCGTGTCGCACTGAAGACTTGGAAGTAAACACCCACTGCTGCGAGTGGAGAACAGTTTTGCATATTATAATGAGTTTAACTCACCCATCGGTGTACGTGGGGGAAAACGTCCTATGTTGTCAAATGGCAACCGGATTCGCCCATACATGTTCAACCCAGAGTCCGTGTGTTGCACAATATTCCTGTCAGATCCAATATAGACGGCACAGCACCGTTCTTTACTCTTAATCGGTCTGCAAATCCAGTCTTGTTGACAAAACAATCCTCAGTGAAATGAAGCGAACAGACGACGATGTTTTACCTCATCAGCTGGAACGTCATTAAAAATAAAGTTTCTCCATGCAGTCCTATTGGAATCCAGAGGAAGCTTATGCAGCGACTGTCTTGCACAACCAGGCGCTGCACAATATTCTGTATTGCTCGGTAGCGATCCAGTTTGTCATCACGAGGTAAGCATGTACATGTATGATACTTATGTGTGTAATGCGCGAATCGGTGGGCGGGGCTAAACCTGCCGTGGTGAAGCAGGCGTTGATCATCTTCTGCGGGGGTGGTGTTTTATCCTCTTTGTCGTCATAGTTCCCCACTTTTAAAAACGAGTCGTTTTTAGAGGCTGTGTCAATAAAAGCTTTTATTGGACTAACAAGGACGTTTGATTTCTCAGTTCATCACCCCTTTAATAAAGATCCATTCTTACAGATCATTAACTAAAAAAAGTTGGTTTAGTGTTTAGTTACACTACACAACACTTTAAGACGTGGCGTTTTTGGCGCACTTTTTATAGTCACGAAGCGTTAAACGTCGCCGAATATCGCGTGCGGGAAATTCATCCCGGTGTGAACAGGCCTTGAGAACAATGAAAATGTACAAGTACAAAATACAAATCTGCCAGTTCTGCTTAAACTTTGATGTTCTTAACGTAAAACTGAGGCATTTTTTTTTGTGTGTGTGTGTGTTTTGCCAACTTATTATAGTTTAGTTTTGCTAAACTAGAATTTCTTTGTTGGTTCAACAGAAACCTCTTTAAATAAAAGTATTTTTAAAAATGCTGTGTTGGGAAATGGCACAGTTCTCTGAGAATGGGCCAGCGATTTCAAGACATGATGACACATACCCGTGTGGGTGAGACTATGTCGTTGGAGATGACAACGCTGAAAAAACCTCATGGGGCACATTGTGCACGCAAATGGCTTGACCCCTAAATAAACAAAGTAACAGTTTAAGGGGACAAGTACTAGTAAATAAAACTCATGCGACATTGAAAATTTAAATTTACTCCTTTGGGGTACGCCATAATGCACACGGAGAACCATGTGTTTGCTATGTCTGTGGTGCAGGCTGAGGACCAAAGTGTTTAATGTGCTTAAATGTGCATTGCCCCCTTGGACTCGTACCCGTATGGGTGAGGCTGTGTCTCTGCAGATGGTAACGCTGAAAAAACCTCATGTCACACATGGAACAAGCAAACGGCTTCACCCCTAAACACAGAGTACCGGAGTGTTACGCTTTGATGAATAAAAACTTTCAGTATGCCCAACACCCCAATGCATTGTCTGTAACTATGGCCAAACTCGAGTTTGTTGCAGCCAAACTTATACTTGTAAACTTTTTTATAAACTATAGAAAGTAATATGTAAAAAGCATTGCTGCCAACTTTTTAGTAACATGAAGGATGTTCCCCTCTGCTTACAATATTGTAGAACGTTTCAAACAGGTCAAAAAAATTCACATGGGGATTTGGTCTTAATATATTGACATAAACACTGTTAATTAAGTTGGCAACAGTGCTAAGCTGTGCATCGGTGTAGTCAGGTAGAACAATTCAAAAGGGTAAGGAGAGACGGCTCATACCCGTGTGAGTGAGGCTGTGTCTCTGTAGATGGTAACGTTGGAAAAAACGCCTGTCACACATGGAGCAAGCATACGGCTTCACCCCTGAATGCACAGAGCAAATCATGTGTCAGATTTAAACCATGCATATGCATCACATTTATGTCAATATAGGAGATAGACATTACTGGAGTCGCATGCGTCACAAGAACGGAGCGCAATAGATGCTTGCAAGCACATAGAAAGCGCATGAAAGATGGTTACACAGCTTAATGTGGCGCTGCTGACCCTTAATAAGTGAAATAGGATATTCAACAAGAAAAGATAATATCCAAGAGAAAAAATATTGATTTTGTTACACACCAGGATGGATGTTGGCTTGATTCAAGTGGATGAATGATTGGAAGTAGGGGAGGCAATAAGACCAACATTTTACAATTTAATTTCATGCTATTTCACCGGACATTTTCGGCAGAAATGGTTTGAGGGCCGAAATCAGTGACTGAAACAATACGCTGTGACAGTGTTCAGCGACTACGCACACAACAGTTAAACATGAAACTATAAACTATAGATTGACAAACTAATTTCTCGAATTTAATTAGTAATGATTAGGGTTGGGTATCGAGAATCGAGTATCGATTGGAACCGGGACCAACTTTTCGTTTTTCCCGGAATCGTTCAAAAGTTAAAATTTCGATTCCTAGTTTCGATATTTACAGTCCGCCGAGCGGAAGAAGAAACCGCTGAACAACACCAACGAAGAAGCGTCTACCGGAAGTGTTGGCATAACCGCGCGAGTCGAACATGAGTAGCTTACGTCGGCGGTCCAAAGTGTGGCTTCACTTTTCTAAAAATAACGAAATCTCGGCAAAATGCAAAATTTGTGACAAAAGGAGTATTTCCTTCCGAAAGACCGTTGGTTAGCAAGGTTAGCTAAACTTTTTTGACCCTGCCTCTTAAAAGAATCGGAATTGAGAATCGTTAGGAACCGGAATCGAAACAAGGAATCGGAATCGTTCAAATTCAAACGATACCCAACCCTAGTAATGATATGGTTTCTAAAATCTAAAGCACACATGAACTGATCATCTCATCTCCTCATTAATACTAGGGTGAACATCAGAAGGCATGTTGAAATATACATTACAACTTACTGAAATGAATCCAGTCTCATGTAATTGCTCAATCAGTGTTTCAACAGAGGAAAGACTTTAATAAAACAGCTTGTAGGATTTACATTGGGAGTAGTTCACTTTAACCCTCAGGTGCTCTTCGTTTCGGAGTCACACTTGTTATCTTCCCTTCAAAAGTGACCGGACACCTAAAAATGAAACTTTCTCCATCCCAGTAAAACCAATGCAATTTATTTTTGTTCTATAATATTTATTCTTTTTAATTTAGTATTTCGAGACAATTTAAATGAATGTATTAATATTTATGCAATATTTATGGTTTATTTTTGCCATGAAAAAATATATATTATTTTCTATATATATATATATTTTTTTTTTTTTTTCAAAAAAATATTAATGCAGTATTTTAGTTTAATATAGAGTCTAGGCCTTCAGAAAAAAAAAATTTGAAGAAAATTAGCACCATCTGGTTACAGTATAGAGAAAAAGACTAGATAAGAAAAATAGAAAAAGAAAAGATAATTTACTCACACCCATGCCATCCAAGATGTCCATGTCTTTCTTTCTTCAGTCAAAAAGAAATTAAGGTTTTTGATGAAAACATTCCAGGATTTTTCTACATATAATGGACTTCAATGGGAACCAAATGCGAACCAAAAACCAAAATGAACAAATCTTTTCCCGAGTCAACTCGTTCATTTCGTTCGTTGAATGAACCAAATGACTCGAAAAAAAGATTTCTTCATTTTGATAGACGAGTTTGAACAGGAGAGTCTCGAACGTGCGTCACAGAACAGGGCGAGCATTTGAGCTTTTAAAACTTCAACTTTGTTATTTATTTTTGAAATGAGCGATCGTTTCGCTTGATAAGACCCTTATTCATCGTCTGGAATCGTTTAAAGCCCTTTGAACAGTTTGCACTGAAACTGTCTTTTCGACCTTGAACCGTTTGGTTCCCATTGAAGTCCATTATACGGAGAAAAATCCTGGAATGTTTTCATCAAAAACCTTAATTTCTTTTCGACTGAAGAAAGAAAGACACGGATATCTTGGATGACATGGGGGTGAGTAAATTATCAGCAAAAGTTTTTTAAAAGTGAACTACTCCTTTAACCTTACATTTACCTCAATAAAGCTATTCAATGTCCATAAACTCATTAGGTAGCTAGAAAATAATAACTCTAGAGAAGAGCATTTTGATAAATATATGCACTGTATTGCATAGTGACGTCTTCATTATTTAACGATCTGCCTTAAGATTTTCTTCTAGAAACAAGCTGTGTTGTATTATTTTTTTATGTTATCACTGTAAAGCTGCTTTGATGCAATGTGTATTGTAAAAAGCGCTATATAAATAAATGTGACTTGACTAATGTATGTTAGAATAAATCTTAAAATTATTGCAGTTTATTGTCATCTAAATGTTTATATATTATATTACCAACAAACTGGAGTAAAAACAATTATGTTATTAAACAGTTCCTTATGTGCAATTTAAACATTTTTAAACAACTTAGTTTTAGCTATTTAGGTGTTGATTAAATAAGTTCGATTAATTAACCTAGTACCAATTTATTATTTGTTTTCAGCCAAATGCATCCTGAATTTTGGGTTTCGGCCTTGAAATTTCTTTGTTGTTTTTGTTATTTTTTCTTTATTATTAAAAATTTAAAAGAAAGAGGCAAGATCCAAACAACAGGATCAAAACAAAACACAAAATGACAAACTGTGCTTTAAAGAGTTGTTTTGATTGAACTATTTTTAAGTTTTTCACTCGTTTTTACAGGCAGAATTGACAATTTTGTGTGTATTTGACCATTCAAGCTCAATTAGTCACGAAACTCAATTCGGTACTCGCGCAAACTCACTCCAACACTTTTTTTGATTGACACTTATATTATTGCAATATATCTCATCATATTGCCCAATCCTAGCACTTTCTTCATGTTTATGTGTACATGAAACTTGAGTTAGCCACGTCCACGAATATTTGCATACCGCAGTATACACAAAAAAGATAGTTCTCTTGCGGCATCTTATACCATCACGACGATACATACAAAATTCCAATTCAAATTTGGTCAAGACTCTTCTCATCGACTAACATTTGGTCGACTATTAAGGGGAAGCCACTAATTTCTAATTGGTGTTGTCAAAAGTAGCGACTTCGTTACCAAGTCAATACCAGCATTTCGAGCACTGTTGAATGGATTCTTAAACAACTCTGATTGGCCATTGTGTTCACACACTCAATATATATGGCTGTGATTGACTACAATGATCAACGCTTTAAAAATGTTGTAAACAGACGGACTTCAAGGAGTAGTTCACTTTGTCTTTCTTTCTTCAGTCGAAAAGAAATTAAGGTTTTTGATGAAAACATTCCAGGATGATTTTTCTCCATATAATGAACTTCAATGGGAACCAAACGGTTCAAGGTCCAAAAAGACAGTTTCAGTGCAAACTGTTCAAATGGCTTTAAACGATTCCAGACGATGAATAAGGTTCTTATCAAGCGAAACGATCGCTCATTCATAAATAAAAAAAACAAAGTTTAAGTTTTAGAAGCTCAAATGTTCGCCTTGCTCTGTTCTGTGATGCGCGTTCGTGACTCCTGTTCGAACTCGTTTATCAAAATGAGCGAATCTTTTTTCGTGTCATTTGGTTCATTCAACGAACGAAATGAACGAGTTGACTCAGGAAGAGATTTGTTCATTCGTTCAAGATTCGTTTGCACTGAAACCTTGAACCGTTTGGTTCCCATTGAAAACCATTATATGGAGAAAAATCCTGGAACGTTTTCATCAAAAACCTTAATTTCTTTTCAACTGAAGAAAGAAAGACATGGACATCTTGGATGACATGGGGGTGAGTAAATTATCAGCAAAAGTTTTTTTTTTTTTTTAAACTGAACTACTCCTTTCACCAAGCCCTTACACAGATCCACAGGGTAGCGTTTGAAAGCAGCCGTCTATAAGACCCCGTTTACACCTGGTATTAAAATGCGATCTGTATCCAGATAAGTTATCCGGATAATAAAAAACGCATGTTAATGCAAGGTGTAAACGCGTTGTGATCGGATCGTGATCGGATCTGCCTGACCACATCTGGAGGTAGTCTGGCTCGCATTGTGTCCGGATCTTTACTAGGTGTAAACGCAATCTGGTTGTTGAAACCACATATGTATATTTTACTCCTCCCAAAAATGCTAAAAAATAAACGAGTGAGAGCGTGTTATATAGGCTATATGTCATATTATAGCCTAGTCAGATGCGACACGCGACACGCATCACCGCAGATGAGCAGCTGAGCGTCTATTCAACGTGCAAACATCGCAAATAAAAATGAAAGTAAGTCACAGACGCAGTTAACACATCTTCAAGTAAAGAAACGAAATTATCTTACCAGGCCTGTTGCCACTCTCTCTTATTGATGTCTCTGATTTGGAAATTAGCTGATGATCAATAAAATGCCGCTCAGATCTGTTGCTTTTGGTGGCGTGCAATCCAATAAATCTGCATATAACGCAGGTGGTGAAGATCGGATTTATATCCGTTTTGCAAAAACACATTTATGAGGCCAGGTGTAAATGCAATCAGTACTTATTATCCGGATAACTTATCTGGATACAGATCGCATTTTAATACCAGGTGTAAACGGGGTCTAAGTGGATCCCTAAAATATACAGATGCTTACTTTCAAAAGCTCCCATGTGTATAAGCGCTTGATGAAGAGTGTCAAAGACATCTATTTACAACATGTCTTTAAAGCGTTGATCATTGTAGCCAATCAGAGTCATATACTGTATGTTGAGCATCATGAATACAGTGGCCAATCAGAGGTGTTTAAGGAATCCGTTCAACAGCGCTCAAAATGTTAGAGGGAAATGCTGGTATCGTCACATTTTTTTCAATTTCAGTGTGAATTTGGTGCCGAAGTCGGTACTTTTGACAACACTAGTAGAAATGCACATTCATCTCTAATGGTGGAGTTTGGGAGGGAAATAGGAAAGATGTCATTTTTAAACAATATGTTGAAGGGAGCCATACCTTGAGTGTACCTTCAGTACTTAACTCTAGGCACGTTTCCATTACGGATTTGCGCAAAACTTGCGAACTTAAAGAACTCGTATTCTGTCCAAACATACCACGTCAACTATGTCAGGTGACCTGTAAATATGCAAAAACTGTTTCCATTGCAGTTTTTCAAAATATTTATTTTTCAAATTGCCTGAAAAACGTTTTTGCGATAAATGGGAGTTTTTGCAAAACTGATTGGCGTTTATGTGGATTTCAATTTGCATAATTTGAAGGGAAAAACCCAACCGTAATCACACACATTTGTTCATGAAAATGAGCTGTTAGAACAATGGTCGCCCTTTGGAAAATCGAGGTGAAATAGAAAAGTGTCTTTTGTGAAGATTAAATATGAAGCATGAACTTGTGATTGCCTCACAGACAAAGCAGAGCATGCTAAAAGAGCAACAGAAGCAGCAAGGCTCGTGTGCAGGGATTCTCAGCGAAAGCAGAAAGCTGTGAAACTGCAGAGCGAGCGTAACACTGCACGGCTCAAAAATGCCCGTGAAACAAACAAAAGCAATGCAGACAGCAGCAGCACATGGGTAAGAGATGACTTGTACCCGTATGAATGAGGCTGTGTCGCTGAAGGTGGTATCTTTGGAAAAATCTCATGTCACACATGGTGCAAGCATATGGTTTGACGCCTAAACGCAGAACAAAATGTCAATAAGCTGTCTGCATTACATTAAATGAGAAATTACTCAAAAGTACAGCAATTTTGCTAACTAGAAACATCATATTTGCAAAGCACTAGGTTCCGTTTTAATGGATGTCCATACAACTTTTCTAAAAGCGTACTGAAATGTATTCCTGCCATTACCTTAAATGTACTGGGCTGGGTCAACTTTCTAACGTCTCAAATGCTTAAAAAACAAATTTACTATGTGTTGTGAATAGCTTAAGTGTAAAATACTTTCAAATGTACTTGGCGTGAAAGCAAAACCTTAATCTTAAAAAGAAACAAGGTTTTGTTCTGTGTAGACGTCTATGATCTGTGACTGTTTAAATACATGCGTATCCATTCTGGGTTTATATCACTGAAATGACTAATGAGAGCAGCTTACAGGGTTTTTATAATGTAGACCAAAAACAACATCATGTGATTTAGGTGCAAGACTAAAAGATAAAACTATTGCATTTCATGTTTAAATGAGTAAAAGCAAATACTGAAGGATTATTTTTGAAATAACATCCAATGTAATGATGACACATACCAGTGTGAGTGAGGCTGTGCCTCTCCAAGTGGTAACGTTGGAAAAACCGCATGTCACACATGGAACAAGCATATGGCTTCACCCCTAAACGCACAGAGTGGCAAATTCAATGTTCGTCTACACAGAAGCAAAACCCTGCTCATAACAAATCTTAAGCTTAATACACCCGCAAGGGCTTCGCTGATCTTTGCTTTAATGCCTACTTCAGAATAATGCTCAAAAGTCAAGTTTCGCACAGTGTTCATTAAACTTTGCTCAATGAAAATGTGTATGATCATCACTGGTACAGACGACGGTTAAAAAAAATAATAATAATCACATCAAATGTACAGGGAACAGACTTGGCATAAAAAAACTGCACTACAGAACTTTAGCATCTTTTTCATATGGAGGTTTGTCTCTATTAATCTCAAAATTATGACTTTCACAATTGCAAGATTATATATACACACACACACATTTAATTATTTCTATTATTATTACTATTCTTTATTTATTTACTATGTATTTGAATGCATGTGCTAAGCGTTTTATGTGAGGCTCAAACCAATTGCCCCACGGGGATTAATAAAGCTCTAAACTAAACTAAAACACACACACACACACATCACAATTCTGAGAAATATAGTCAGAATTGTGAGATAAAAAGTTCCAATTACCTTTTTAATTGCTAGACTCTCTCACAGTAACAGGTTTTTATCTTACAATTGAGAAGAAAAAGTTTCGAATTACGTAGAGCTGCACGATTCTGGATAAATTGAGAATCACAATTTTTTTGTTTGAAAAATAAAGATATTTTGAACAGACAACTAAATAAAATAAAATGTAAATTACAAATATTAGTTGCTGCAGTCTATTTAAAACATATGAAGAGTTCAGATGCAAAAGCCTCTAAGTGCCATTTGAAATTTTCTTCTAAAATGATCATTTTTATCAAGCTTGTATATTTAAGTTCAGTAATTTCACTTAAATGGCAATGAGATTACCTATTAATTGTCATTTAAGTGAAATTACTGAACTTAAATATAGTGATATAAGTGATATATAAGTGATTTAATTTTTGATAGCTGACTTAGACATCAGTGTTTATATCTGAACTATGAACTTTTATTCAAGCACTTGTAATATTTTGCATTATTGTAAGAGAAATAACAATACTGTGTGGTTGAAAAGACACCTAAACGTGACAACTGTTCTCTCTGGATCAGCGGCAGGACAAACACAGATCTGAACGTTTCTGTGATCGTACTTGTCAAAGGTTTAATGGACACAGATGAATCGTTGTCATTTAGAAATAAGACGGCGTAGGTGTTTGAATTGAGATCGCCATCTTTTAACGATTAATCGTGCAGCTTTAGAGATACAAACTTTCAATTGCAAATTATAATCTCGCAATTCTGTTAAAAAGGTCTGATGTGTGACTTAAGTCACAATTATGTTTTTTACATTTTTATTTAGTAGCAGAAACCATACTTTCACCATCTGTGGCAGTAAAATGAAATCACTTGCACAGTAGTTATTTTACATCAGCTGTGTTTCGTCACATTTGAACACTTATTTGTTATGTATTTTCTCAATAATGGAACCTTCTGTAGTGCAGCTTTAAGAAAACCGTCTCTCTCTTCTGGTATTTGGACATTTGGGTATTTTATGCATAAAACACAAAAGTCCAAAAATTCATTGTTCACATACAAATGTACATTATTTACTTCTGTCAAATCACCAATGTTGAAGTTAACATGCACAGATAAAAGACAGGACGGAGATGCAAAGTGGAAGAAGTCGTACCAGTGTGAGTGAGGCTGTGTCGCTCCAAGTGGTAACGCTGAATAAATCTCATGTCACACACGGCACACGCAAACGGCTTTTCTCCTGTGAGAAAAACAACAGAACGTTTTGACATATCATGATACAAGTGTGAAAATGTGGATGTCAACGAGGTAGAATGTGGATATGCTGTTACTGTAAATATATTCCCAGTCCATAAAGCAGTGATATTCATACCAGTGTGGATGAGAATGTGTCTCTTCAGGTGGTATCCACTCCTGAAGGCCCCGTAGCAGTGATCACAGATAAAGTTCTTTTGGACTTTTGAAAGTGGACAATTTCCATTTTCATCCACAACCGCCTGCAAGGAAAATTAATGGAAGACATATTTAATGCACTGATCACTCTCTTCCATGTAGTTACCGTATAAATTGTTTCTTTAAAAAAAAAAGCATTACTAAAATAGAAGTTTTGAGTAAGTACCCAAAAGTGTTGCTAATTATACTCTAGCCTTTTTTTTAAAAGTATATGTGCATCTCTACTACAAAGTTATAATTATATTTATTGCTTTAAGAATCTATATCACTGACAGTTATATGATTATCCAAGGAGGGAGAAAACAATAGCAAAACAGACAATTACACTTCAACGTAGCCCTCAATCGGGTCATGGGGTCTATACGACCCCAATTGACTTTTACTTAATAAAAAAAAAAAAAGGTTCCCTTCATCTCAGTGGAATAAGATTTTGTGACTTTTCATACTTTATCTATCTATACACACACAAAAAACTGGGCTTGATTCGGTTGTTCTGAAGGTATGTAAAAAAAAAATTATATGACCAATATGGCAATATGACCCCACATTGAAATGAATGGGAAATGTGAAAAAAACTAAATATATTCTCTTCATGTGTCAAAAAAAAAAAATCCGGCGTAAATCTGAACATTTTTACACAGAAATGAAGGCCTAGTACTAGAGCATAAATGCAATGCATCATAAAAAAATGAATATTTCATATGCAAGCTAATGGTGTAGTTGAGGAATTGTGTGGTATATGGATAAAAAAAGTACTTTATATCTCCAAAAACACAGCATTAATGAATAGATGAGAAGTAAACAAAAAGAAAAAAGGTTATATTATTTGTTTGATTAAAAATTTATATTTTTTGTACAATTACTCAATCAATTGTTGGGGTCGTATAGACCCCGAAGCCCAGAAGTGTAAACGAGAAGCAAAGACCATTTGAAGGGTTAATGCATAAGAGTTATTTCCAGAAAGAAATACAATATTATTTTTGGACAAAAAAATTCCCTAAAAGATCAAAAATGTCTGGTTTTAATATCCTTGTGGGGATTATTCTTGTCCCCACAGTGTAGGGAATACCTGAACCACACACACAGTACATTTTCATGTTTAGACTAACCATTCCTTTTAATGAATACACAAAAACTCAACTAACAAAAAACTCCAAACATAGGGAACCTAAACGTAATGTAACAAACTTCACAAGAAGCAGATCTGCTTTATTCCTAAAACATCAGAGCCCTTTAAATCACAGTAGATACTGCAGCCATGAAAACACACAATAACCGGTATTGTGCTTCAGCGTTCCCCTCCCTTACAGACGCCCCACCCCCCCCCTGACCCAAACCAGCCATCTCCTCCCCCACAACAACGCAAACACACCATTACCACACAGGGTCAGACCGTCCAAATGCTCGCAATGTCAAATCCAGTACAAATACGTTCTATAATACTCGAACTACACTGCAAAACTCAGAAAGCAGAGCATTCGAGTAAACCTTGTGTGATTTGTGGCCGACTGGCAATGCATTCACAGGACTGTGACACACTACACTACACTACACACCACCCCCACACACACACTGACCTTCCCCTCCTGCCCGTCCTGCTCTCTCACTTTTGAGGGTGTTCCCGACTTCCTGTTCTTTTTCTTCAGCTGCATGTCTTCATTGGGTCTCATTTCCTTCTCGTCCAGCATTCGTGGAGCTGTAAAATCACCCTCCTTCCGCAGGAGCTACGGACACACAAACACATATATTACAAACCTTTGAGGAATTAACTCTGTGTAAAATTTCAGAAATAAACCATAACATTCTGCTAAGACCCTGAATGAGTGCATCTAAAAGTTTATTTTGTGCCAATAATCACATTAGTTGTTTGTAGAGGTCATCAGGCCTCAGGCTGTAACTGGATAGATGATGCATAACATGCCCATGGATCAATATTTTAAGTATTGAATCCATATCTTTGGCACTGAAACTGATCACCATATATTTTAAGAAAAATCATAACTTTTAAACAACAATATAAAAGTGCAATATTCCCTGTAGTCTTTCAAACAATTAAAGATGAGCTTATTAAATATGTTTGTGTAATGATTAGAGAAATATACTGATATAATTATTAGCAAAACGCTAGTTTCAAAAAAAATTTAGAATGTCAAATTCCTGGACAAAAGAATAAAACATACAGAAATTTGCTGAATTTGAAGATGCTTATGTATTTTACACACTTTTTAATCAAAACTTACAGAGCCCCACAAATTTCATGCAAAAAAAAAAATATATATATTTATACTATATATGTTGAAAAAAAATTGTCAAACAGTAATACTGTGAAATATTATGACAATTTAAAATGACTGGTTTCTATTTTAATATATTTTAAAATGTAATTTGAAAGCTGAATTTTCAACATCATTACTGTTGCTGATTACACATCAGTTTTCAGTGTCACGTGATCCTTCAGAAATCATTCTAATATGCTGATTTTATGCTCAAAAAACAAATTATTATTTTCATTGTTGAAAACAATCGTGTAACATTTTTCCCTAAAAAATTCTATGATGAATAGAAAGTTCAAAAGAACAGCATTTATTTAAAATATAATCTTTTCTAACATTATAAATGTCTTTACTGTAACTTTTGATCAATTTAACTCATCCTTGATGAATAAAAGTATTTTCTAATTTCTTTCCCCCAAAAATAAAAAAAATTAAAATTGAAGACTGGAGTAATGATGCTGTAAATTCAGCTTTGATCACAGGAATAAATTACACTTCACAATAGATTCACATAGAAATAATATTTCACAATATTACTATTTGTTTTTTATCAAATAATTGCAGCCTTGGTGAGCAGAAGAGACTTCTTTTAAAAACCGATCTAAAACTTTTGACCGGTAGTGTATATACTGTATATGAGAGAACAGTGACACACAGCCAGTTTTCAGTGAATTATTCATTCCAAGCTCTGTCATATTTTCAAGATTAATAATAGTGAACATATTTTAAGAGATGTGCATTATGGAATATTTTTTTATATTAATTTTAAGAAATTAATATTAAGAAATGTGCATTATGGAATAAAAAAAACTATAAGTTTATATTTATATCAGTGAGTCTCAAGTATTATGTCAGTAGATAGTTTACTACTGGTATTTAAAATACATTTATTTCACACTAGGTATGAACTCCTTCTATCATTTGATTTATTGTACTTTTCAAACCAACTCCTTTTTTGGAAAGACACCTAAATTTACCGTGAAAAATACTAGCAGAAATAAGCAGTTTTGTGCTAGACATAACAGAAAATGTCTAATTATGAGACGATTAAGTGATATTTCAATCTATCGCGAGTTAACATGAAGTTTTTAAGCTTTTACAGATGGCACAAAATAACCTATTTGCAGCTGTACACTAATCTGAAGGGGTCTCCTAACCAGTGGAGGACAGGTCATGCCCGCTGGTAAGAGCATGTGCCCTTGCGCCGCGCGGTCCTGTACGCTCTGGGCGGACCCGTGTCCTGTAGCCGGACCCAGCGGAGACATCATTTTCTTAGGAGCTGCCATGGAACTGGCCTGCATCAGAGCCATGCTGGACAACACCGCTTCACAACCTAACAGCCCTGCCTTAGGAAAACAACATCAAGACAGAACCAAGAATATAAGACCAGCTGTTGTTGGAAGCGTTTACTTTATGTAGCACTATTTTATTTATTTATAAGGTCATTTATATAGGCACAGTACAACAAAAAAAAACACGATTCCAGTCGAAAACTAGAAAATATGTATTGCACATCGAGAGTATAGCATCTCGGGTGCCTAGAAAGGCTTTTCTAAAACAATAAAAGCTACTAATCAAACAATAAAGCTCATTTTATACACATACATACATAATCTGTACCTATTTCAAGGATGCTTCCAACCCTGGGATGAATAACTACTTAAAACTACATTTAAATATGCGTGCAGTTCTTTATTCTAAATCACCGCTTTACCTTCAATGTAAAAGACTTCATTTCACGTACTGCTTTAAAGGGTTAGTTCACCCAAAAATGAAAATTAAGTCATTAATTACTCACCCCCATGCTGTACCAACCCCGTAAGACCTTCGTTCGTCTTCGGAACACAAATGAAGATATTTTTGATTAAATTTGAGAGCTGTATAACTACCACATTGGCTCCTAAGGGACTGCCTCTTGACGGCCCAGAAAGTCAATGAAGAAAATGTTTAAATATCCCAAGTGACTACCGTGGCTCAACTATATGTTTATCAAGCGACGCGAATACTTTTTGTGCGAAAAAACAAACAAAAATAACGAGTTTATTCGACTATTTCTTTTCTTCCTTGTAGGCCAGAACGAGACTTCCTTAGATTTCCACGACGCATGCGCGAGATTTGCTAACTGAAGTAGTTGAAGGAGATCGCAAATCTCGCGCATGCGTCGTGGAAATCTAAGGAAGTCTCGTTCTGGCCTACAAGGAAGAAAAGAAATAGTCGAATAAACTCGTTATTTTTGTTTGTTTTTTCGCACAAAAAGTATTCGCGTCGCTTGATAAACATATAGTTGAGCCACGGTAGTCACTTGGGATATTTAAACATTTTCTTCATTGACTTTCTGGGCCGTCAAGAGGCAGTCCCTTAGGAGCCAATGTGGTAGTTATACAGCTCTCAAATTTAATCAAAAATATCTTCATTTGTGTTCCGAAGACGAACGAAGGTCTTACGGGGTTGGTACAGCATGGGGGTGAGTAATTAATGACTTAATTTTCATTTTTGGGTGAACTAACCCTTTAAACTCATTTGACAACATGATTAACACTAAGGGATTTGGAACTTGAATTAAAGTGAAACGCACATGCACGTCCTGTATGAAACGCGAAGAGAACTAACCCATTTCATGTGGTCCCGGACCGCGCTGCCGGGTAAGTGTGACATGGTGGCAGACAGCGGTTGAGAGACAGGCGAGATGTGGAGATGAGACGTCAGTTCGGACCAAGTGTCACACAAGTCTCACCGGACTCTATCATGGGGCAGCAATGTCTTTTCTTTGTGGTGACAAAGATGAATTAGAGTAGAAACATGAGACATTCACAAAGAAAAAACAGCAAGCGCTCGAAGACTGATCAGAGTGGGTAACAGTAATTACAGGCTCTCATCCACTGAAGGCAGCACTTAAACCAGGACTGCTTCGGAGAAAGGGAGTTTTCTTTGCTAGGTCTAATGCCCAAACATGCTGGATGAAAGCCTGATGCATTTTGGATAGAATACTGGAAACACTTCAGGAGTTGTGAATTGGTTGAATTCTACAGGATTTCTGGGAGATGTGCGTGTCGTGTTCTTAAACGGTCTGCCTGGAAACAAAGCCGTCGTGAAGCCAAACCCCCTCATGGAAAAAGAAAGCCCTTGTGTTTATATCTGTGACAATCAGCACTAGTGTTGTCAAAAAACTCGGTACTTCGGTACCAAGTCGGTACTAAAAAAAAAAAAATGTTACGGTACCAGCTTTTCTAGGTACCGAGTACCAGGTTAATCCAGTTCTGTTCTAGACGCGATGTCTGAAACGTGCACAGTTGCGTCCTCTTCATAACGCTGATATGCTCTCTCTCTCTGAATCCACTTGTTGACATGAAAGGAGGAAAGAGCCACATATGGAAATATTTTGGATTAGGCTAATGTCACGTTGCCATAAGAGGCCGATTACATGCAAATTCGCAATTTCAAATATAGGCGCGATTCAAGCGCGCTCATAATAAAAACTCGTTGGCGTTGCATAGCAACGACAGACGCCGCGTGAGAGCAAGCGCTTTGAAAAGAATAAGCATGCGCAAAAATATAATTAAAAAACACGCGCGACATGTGAACGGCCTCTAAAGTGCTTTCGGGGTAGTTTTACGAGTACATGAGCACAGTAGTATCCAACCGACACCAGAGTAGGCTACTGGTATTAGTATTGTCATTTAATGTCAATGCCAGTTCTAGGTGTATTCTTGCCTTTATAACTCAGCAGGTTTAAAAAGCTTTTAAAAAGTCTTTTTAAAATTAAATATGAATGCAGTTTTAGATGAAATAAAAGGACAGTCAAGTCAAATAAAACATGTTTTATGGTAATGCTACAAAGATACCATTCATCAACATTACTTAGTTATCAACACATTGAGTGAACAATATATTTTTACAACATTAATTAATCTTTGAAAATGTTATTTATTACAAACACCTGATTGTTCATGTTTGTTCACTTAATTCATTGTGCATTAAATAAATAATGGATTAAAACTTTACAAACAACTTTAAAAATGTGTTAGTGTATACTATTGTTTATTTTAGGTCATTTTATCTAATCCTTTTCTAAAGTGTTTATAATACAAATGTACAGTTTCCATACTTGTAACCGTGATAAACACTTAAATATATGTAAATTTAAACTAAGCTTTGGTACCGAAATTGGTACCGAGAACCGTGAATTTTTACTGGTATTGGTACCGAATACTGAAATTTTGGTACCGTGACAACACTAATCAGCACTTATCAGTAGTTTTTTTTCACTTATCAAGCCGCTTTTCCAGTTTATGACGTTTTTTTTTTTTTTTTGATCAGGTGTTCAAAGCATTTTCTACTGGTTGAGAGAGGAATTACTGCAATAAATTGACTTAGGATGGTCTATTTTACAGTCATTAGTGAATATTTTAGAATAGAATAGAGCCCAGTATAACCGAAAATTGTTATTTCTTAACATTAATAACATTCTTATAACCAGAAAATAACATTAAAATACAACATTTATTTACAAGTTTCCGAGGGGCGCTCCTGTAAAAAATAAAGTGGGTGAAACTTCCGGTGAGGCGGCGGAAGTAGCATTCCAATGGTATTTTGTGTGTTAGTTAGCGAAGAGGCTAGCTGTTTTTCGGAGAATTATTTTACTATTTAAAGACGCAAATCTTAATGAGAGATGTCGTTACGGAGCTCAGGGACAACATGTGCTGTTCGCGGCTTGAGGTTGTGTTCCCACATCGTTAGCTAGTTTGGATCGCTATAACTTGAATGACTGTCAACTGTTGAATGAACGAGTGTCAAGCATGTCAAGTCGCGCTTTGTTTACTTCGAACCGGAAGACGCGCCCACTTTTGACGCAAGGCCTAGTAAACTTGGGGATATAACGGGAGAATTGAACCTTCTAATGATGTTTGAATGATGTTCTTATAGCCGAGCAAGAACGTTAATACAACGTTTACGAGAACTGAACGTTCTTATAACGTTTTGAATAACGTTCTTCTTATGACCAAGAAATAGCGTTAATACGTCTAAAAAAAATGGACGTTTTGAAACATCCTAGAACATTCAGAAATAACGTTTATAAATGTATAACTTAATGGAAACGTTATGAAAAAGTTCTTATAACCTAATATTGTTATCTAAGGAAGAGGAGAGATTCGCGATTGCACTGAACATGTTTTAAGTGCAGGATTCTCTCAGCGAGCCCAGAGAAAATAGACCTATTCTTACAGGAGCAGCACGTTTGAGCTTCAAAAAGAACCAATGAGGTTCATTCTCATCTTTCGCAGCACGTTTGAGCTTCAAAAAGAACCAATGAGGCTCATTCTAGTGTTTCGCAGCACATTTGAGCTTCTGCAAGAACCAATGAAATTAATTCTCGTGTTTCGCAGCAGTTTTGAGCTTCAGCAAGAACCAATGAGGCTCATTCTCATGTTTTGCAGCACGTTTGAGCTTCTGCGAGAACCAGGGAGGATAGTTCTCGTGCATCAATCAGGTTCAGTTTAGTTTCTGTTTGCCAATTATTGTTTATTTGTGAATAAAAGCTTAAATCAAATCTGCTCATAATATAAAGGGACTGAGACTCTTCAGAAAAGATGCGTAGACTGTCCAGTGTCCACGGACTGGGACAGATTAACTAAATTCTTACGGATTTGGAATGACATGAGGGTGAGTAACTAATGACAGAATTTTTTTTATTTTTAGGAGAACTATCCCTTTTAAAGAGTCCTTGTGAGCACACTCTTCGTGATTAGAGGTGTCAAGCCCCTTCAAAAAGGGGGGGCATGTGTAAATCAAAGGATTGAGATCAATATTTTTCAACCCTGCTCATTAATCTGACACATCTAATTCAGGTCATGAAGTATGGAGATGATCGAGTATTCAGCTAATGGTAGAGAGCCAGAAAGTGAGGTGCAGTGGGAAAACATACACCGACTATATCAATTGCCACATGCATAACAATTTCATTATGCGTTTAAAAAAAGCAAACACCGAAGACATCCATGCATGTTGTAGCATAATGCATGAGAACAGATGAAAGAACACACACACACACACACACGCATTTGAAAAGCATCAGCGCGCTGATGTTCGCACTAAAAACTCCCCCGCAAACAAACAATCCTCATCTAACACGATTAGTCCTTACATTTTCGTGAGATTTTTTCACCCGAACCCCTCTAAACATGTCACCGCACGCCTCGTATCAGTCATGTGTGCTTTAGTTCGAGCTGGAGTTTATTTTAAACGCGTTCATGTGTGATAATGTGTTTCGTGTACATATGGCTCTCTATAATCCAATCTCTGTCTCCCGAGGCCTGTAAAAGCGCACGAGACCACATCATCCCGAGAGATAAAACAACAACAGTAATCATTTGTATTGAAGCGATACACTAAGTGCTTATGAATCTTACCTTAATACTGCTCAATTTCGCTCTTTTATTCCAGCCCAGGTCAGTTTACAAACACAGGAAACGCCACCGGAAAAGCTCCACGAGAACGCGCATACTGGCTGCAACGTCACTAGTGTTCATGAGCGAAATAACAACACATCAGCAGCAGCAAAATGTGTTATTGGATTTTAAAAAAATGTGGGAACATGTAGCCAGTATAAAGTATAAAGAGGTTGTTCTATATTCAGCCTGGATAATGGTGTACATGAAGATGTAGCTTTTCATGATAATTAGCCTAATTAGATGTGGAAAGATGTCCGCTGGGCTGGCAAGTTGACCCAGCACTTTTTTGTCCAAAAAATTTGGTACGAAATTATCAACGCCACACATTAAATGAATGGCTATTTGATCATTTAGTCATCGATCTGAATTTCATCCTTTAGTCAGTCAAATCAGTTTAAACATGAAAACATAACACTTCAAAATCAAACTAGTTTCAACACTGAATCTCCTACTACACATATTTAACAATCAAAATGTGTATTGGTCAATCTCAACTTTATCTATTTTTTTTCCCCCTAAGATTTCTAAGCAGAAGATGGACGCATACAGTTTACCGAAACTCATACCATTTAAAAATCAATGTCAATTAATTCCTTTGTTTTTCTCCACAATATTTTTTATTTATTTTAAAGATATTGTAGGTTATATGTTCAAATAATTGATATTTGTGACACACAAAAAAATAAAAAAAATCACTACCTGATATATTAAGCCAATTTTTCATATTAAAGAAGATCAAAACCTCAAGTTTATCAGTTTTTTTTAGTTTTTCATTTTAACCAAACATGGATGGACCAAAAAAAAACTGATAAAATAGTCGGTTAACTTTATTTTATTTATTTATTTATTTTTATTTTTTTAAAGGAAATTAAGTAACAGGAATGAACATTGGGTAACAGGAATGAACACTAGGTAACACGAATGAATGAACATTGGGTAACAGGAATGAGGGTCCATTTATGTGTGAGAGAGAGTGTCTGTACTGTATGTGTATGTATATCTGTGTTAAAGTGATTTACCATGTTCTAGTAGTAGGCCTACAGAGAAGGAGGTGGACAGAGAAAGAAGGAGAGAGAGGAAGGGAGAAAGGGGGAAGTTAAGACAAAATGGGGCTGGGGGGGCTAGGAAGGTTGTGCACTTTACATCATATATTTATATTTACCAATCCTAACGCTGCCTAAACACAAACCATTAATGTTTAGTAAAAACATCTTACATCCAGAGGGTGGCAGTATAGTGCGAGTCAACTGCCATTTTCCCCAAACTTAATTTGATTGTGCTCAATCTGCTTAAATATATGTATAATTTAAGTCTACTTAATCCGCTTGTGTTGGATTACATGATTGATTTGTGTTGCATTAACTGAAACTGGACGGTGCTTGTTCCCAGCATGCTTTGCATATGGTTGAATTAAGAGAGAATAAATGTTCAAATTAAGTGTTATTTTATGTTGTTTTTTTTTTTGAGAAATTTAGAAAAAGGGGAGGCTTGATAGTGTGTAATCGTGTTTAATGTAAAATTACATTGGAATTATTAGAACCATTTAAATTACAGTGGGTTACCATTGTGGAGAAGAGTAGAGCATTTTGTTTGGCTGTCGACTGATTTAATAATTTTCAACTGATTTGTTTGAAAGACCATGTTAATCTACCAATATGTTCTGCTGTTAGCAAATAGCTAGTTATAACCTATTAATTAAATTATGTGTCACTAAAGTAAATGAAATGTTAATGGATGAATGAATATATATTCCTGACACCTGCATAGTATGGATATAAAATCACACACACACACACACAAGAGATTTCTGAAGGATTTTATTCATTATATTCAATTATATTCATTTTCATGAATTTTTATACAATGTCTGGGGACAGAAATGTCACCCATTCGGTGTCATTTATAAAAGAAAAAAAAAAAACACTGATTCGTTCGATCACCCTGATCCAGATACACACTTTTTCAGATTACCAAAAATGGATTACTAGTGCTCAACGGAACATGGTGATGGAAAAAATATGAGATTTAAGATGAAAAAAATCAAGGCTTTTGCATTCTCTCAGAAAAAGAGTGTTTGCTCGAAAATAATTTTTGAATGGTCTCTAATGAATCTCTAATGATTTTGATAATGTAGTTACCAAACAAATACTTTAAATTAAACATATATATATATATATATATTAAATTTACAGCTGTTTGGAGATTATTTTATGCCACCAAAATCTCTTTTTTTTACTTTACTATATAGGCTCCCGGAAGGTTTAATAGCCTAATGTCTACTTGTTAAACTAAACAAGAGCAAAATAAAAAATAAAAAAACTATGTTTACATGATACAAATGTTGTATTTTTTATTTATTTATTTTGGACCAGTTTTTTTAAGTTTTAAAGTTAAAGTGCATATTTTTTGCTGTTCTATGTAGTTTTTATTAATGTTTTGAAAAACTGGGAAAAAAAAAAGTTTTTAAAAGTTTTATAATTTTTTTGTTCCTGAAACAACCCTTCTGCTGGGATCTGCATAATTCAGATTTTTTTTTTTTAATAAAAAATAATAAATCTTACTAAAAAACTACAACACAAACTGATGATTTGATCCAGATCAAAACCAAGATTGGATTTTGAGATCTAATCTGATTTCAGAATCCCTTTTTTCTTTTGAACCACCCATTTTCAAGATTTGATCCAATCCTCCAATCCCGATATCTGAAATCCAAACAGATTATGATTTAACAACTGGGCCCTATTGATTGGGTTCTCTGTCATCTTGCCTCTGTGTGGTTTTCCGACCAGATCCACATCATCCACCCGTGCGGGCCGCTTCATCATCCACCACTGGTCCTATGTTGAAGCTTTCCTTGCCCATTTTCGATTTGTAAATAAGTCTTTATTGTCTCTGTCAAGGTAAGCCCTCCAATTCAGAGTGTCCTCTACAATTTCACAAACTGCTGCAAAAAGCTATTTCCACAACTCCCTTGAAGCAACAGCATAGAATGAACTATCATCTACTTGTCTGCAAAACTGTTGGTCGTATTTGTCATGAATCCGGTCCATACACTTCTGGTCAATCACCACCAGAGGTCACCCACTCACAGCATGAACTCTTGCACTTCACTATAATCCCCATAGTTCACTGCATTATGGGCTATATGCACGCATAAGTTCCGCATTTGAAGTAAGGATGCTCGTCCATTTCCGGTTGTGTAGATTAAAGCGGAGGAAAACCGGAGAAAACAGGATTATGGCAGAGTCTTCAATATTTACTGTCCTCCCGTCTTTGAAACGAAACGTACATACGTTTAGATGTAATTTTATATATAGTTATGTTTATTTAATATAATTTTAAAAAGAAGCATAAACACAACGAGGGGTGTCTGTTTTATCTGTTTTTGTGACTAACGTTTCTTTAGTATAACCATGGAGTATAAAATTCAATATAAATTCTCGGTATTGCATTGTACTCTACGATCGGCAGAAGTTATCGAGCATCCTTAATCCTTCACCGGAAATACCGCCGTGCATAGAGCCCATTGACTCACACAATTGATTCCACTAATCACGCTCACACCTGAAAACTATCATATCTCACACTCTTTATAAGCCTTGGACTTTCTCTCTTTGATGCCGAGTATTGTATTGTGTTTAGCACTCCCCTAGTGTTAGCGTCTCTACAGAGCCAATTCATTGCTACTGACCTTGCCTTGCCTTGCCTTGCCTTGCCTTCTGGATTCACCCTTGGTATTTAGATCTCGTCTATTTTTCTGATATTCAGTTTATGAATCCTTGTCCTGCCTTATCGTGACTGTGGAGGCCGTCTGTAAATCCTCGTTTTGCCCTGTAACCGACTCTTCACGTCACGTCTGCCCGTCCAACCGATCCTTCACGTCACGTCTGCCCACCCTGAGCCTCTTTACGTCTCATCTTCCGAGCCTGAGCCGCCCTCTTCATGTCAAGCCTGCCGTTGAACTCTTTCTATCATGAACTCAGAAGCTATGATTGCACTCTATGTCTGTCCCGTTTCAACCAAAGAGCGTGATTATGAACTGTTTTCCCGCCTGCTGCCCCGGCTCTGGTGGTCATCTGCCCCGCCGTGGAGATCTTTGTCTCCATCCTGTCCCCTGTTCCACATTCGCTCCATTACTTCACCCTTACTCGAGCTCTTTGGACTCACTTTGTACCTTGTTTGGGTTTATGCTGTTTACATGGATTATCTCTCTTTGCCTTTCCCCTGTTGGATATTGTTCGCCAATCATCTACCCAGGCTTGCCCTAAGGATTACTCTGACCTAAGACCATGTTTTGGAATAAAGCCTTGCATATGGACCTGCACGTCTCTCGTCTTGTTCGCCCCTTTAGAATATTATCAAAGGTGATAATATAATCATAAATAACATAACATAACATAATAATCAAAGGCGATTCAAAGGTGACTGTGGTTTCGCCATTTGACCAGTTCTCCGACAAGTCAAAAGGCCAGTGTTGTCAAAATCCGCAGCCAGCATCCTTTAGCTACAAGGCACAGTTCTTTCTTGCATGTCTCACTTTGTGCCACTTTAGTTGAGAGCCCTTAGAGTGATCAACATGTCAAAATCCCTTGTGTTTATGTATCTGGATGTCTTCAGTCCACCCATCTTCCTCCACACTGACCACTGGGTTGTGCCATTGAGCTTCTGCCGGGACCTCCTTTACCTAGTCTAGTGTCTGAAACACACACTTCCCTACAGTGCTCACAAGTTTACATACACCTTGCAGAATATTTAAGATATTAATTGTAGGGACCATTTTCATGCAGTTATATATTTGTCCACTGGGTGGCGTTCTAAAACAGTATATTAGAAGACAACAGGTGTGTATTGGTAGTGGAAGCACACAGTTTTTGACCATGCTGACCGTGCAAGAATGATCATGCTGACTGTGGTTATTGGATTATATTGTGTTGGACTGAGTTTAATGCTTTACTGGGTTCAAGGAACAATATGGACTGTTAACAATGTGTGTGCTATATCCATGGACGTCATAATTTTAGGCTGTGAACCTGAAAGAATGAAACACCACAGGAAGCTCATTGGAAGCTCTGTTTACTTTATTCAATGGTCCACAGTAAGATTGCAACTTACAACTGTGCTCATGGAGTTTGTATTTGTCAAATACTTGTTCACTCCTGTTACCAATACCAATGGCTTAGTGGAAAGCCATAAGAGGTATTTTTGCTTTAACAAAGTGATTTTTTTTCCCCATCAGAAGGATAAACTATAAGGCTTTAAGCAACTAAGAAACCAACAGTAAAAGAAAAAAAAAATTGGGGAATTAACACATTTCTGTTGGCCTATTCAAAATACGTGAGAAATGGCCGAACACTCAGACCCGAAGACTCAGGAGGAGACTCAGTATGGTACGCGTTTGTGCGTATGCTACGCCGTACCTACTGCGCGCTCCCTACGCAGAAGTATAAATTGGCCTTAAACATACACGCAATTTTCAAGTCAAGTGGTGTGTTATACACATTTTGAGTTATCCGCGTGTATCCGCGTTTATGCGTGTATGTCTACGCCATTAATGTCCAAATGATTCCGTGTGTATGTATACGCCGTTAAATGTCCGAGCGAAACGAAGCAAAGTGTAGATCTACATCTGGGGAGCGATATTTTTTTTCCTAGGATGGTCGGGGAAGAAAGCCTGGCATACCAGACCTACACCAAGATGTTAGGTCTGGAAACTCTTCATTGACGGGGCTCAATCCGAGGGGCGGGATAAACAGTTGTCTTTCAAATTCTCTCTGCACGCAATTGGATAGCGCTAGAGCCAATCAGAGCAACGAAGAAGGTGACGTACTCAGCGGAGCAAGTTGATATATTAAACTTTTACCGTATCCAGTCCAGCTGTCAACATTGAACATTGAAAATAAGGGAGATTTCCCGGAATACATCCTCAAAATAAGGGATTTTTTTTTTATTTTTTACACGACCCACAAACTTTAAAAATAAAACACTATCATTAAAAGTCTAAAGAGTTTATAACTAGCCTACATATGTGTGAGAGAGAAAGAGACAGTAGTGTGTCATTAAAAAAATAAGATCATAGAGAATGTTTAAATACTAATATCAGCTTACGAGGGAAACGGAGGCGGAGTGGTGGAGATGATCAGAGCGCGCGCTGACACGGAGTAAAGCCTTTATCCTCAACGACAAGTTCATCGTTTCACTACAGCTTTTTTGTAACAGCGCGCGCGGCGCCGGCCGCATTCGAGGATGAACAACTTCAAACCGACTATGTCCGAGCTTGCTCTGACCGTCGCAACTCTGGCGTCATTTTGTTACGCCCGCCCACCGACTCTATACACGATGTGATTGGCCCTTCCAGAGTTGGGGTTTTCCTGCTAAAGCGTCTCTGGAGAGTTGCTAGACCACACTTTGCTGCAAAATAATTTTTGCTGCCGCTAGGATGCGTCTAGATTTCTAGGCTAAGGGGAAGACTCATAAATGCTATTAATCCCAGTAAACAGTGACACTGACAGTTTAAGGACAAGTTGGGTAGGTCATATATTTATACAGTAATAATGTAATAAAGTAATTACATTACTTCCTACAATGGAAGTCAATGAGACCAGAAACTGTCTGGTTACTGATATTCTTCTAAATATCAGAAAAATGGCTGAATGGATTCGAAAACTGTAAAACTAAACCGTTTATCTCTGGGGGAGTGGTAAAATGAGCAAAAAAAAAAAAGTGGAGTATCCCTTTATGACCATGATAGGCTATAGCACGTTATTTTGGCAAGAAAAATGAGCGAGTATTTTCCTAATTATGTGTAGGCCTAGTATATTACATATTTATTATATTTTTTTACTTATATCATTAAAAACAGTTGTTATTATTATGATAAAAACGCATTGCATTTAATTTAAAAATAATAATTATTATATTTTTACATTTGACGGTGGGTCTCTCTTCCAAGCAATTTACTAGCGCTGCCATATGAACACTTCGGCTTTTGCCACCCGGAAGAACGTACTGTCGTGATGTCATGGTGAATTGTCGTTTATTAGAGAGACTTACTAAATGAGTCCCCAGGACCAGGACTGAAAACCACTGCAAGAAACCACTCGCATCCGAGTCCAACGTGAACCAACCAGTGTATCATGTTACTGGTTTTTACAGTCAAACTGTAATGTGCATTTCAGGACCCCTACAGCACAGTTTACTGCAGTCTTTTACCTTCCAAAACACACATACAGACAAATGATGAGGAGTAAACTTTATATTTGTCTTGGCAGTGTACATTCACAATAAACAAAAGTCCACAAGTTTTGCATTGTTACATTGCTATATTTAATTTTCATGCAAACAGATTGCAACATATGTACAAGTGTTTGTCCTGTAGAAGTGTAATAACATTTAAATAAATCATTTGATACAATGCACCTATTGTTTACATTTATGTGTTTACATTTTACAAAAAAAAAATACTTTATTTATACTTTAACTCCATCTATAATGACATTGTTTAACCTTCTTACATATGAACCCATTAAACCAACCCAAACCTTGACCTAAGGTTACCTGTATCACACCCATAGCAGCACAAGTGTTTTGCAATAAGTACATTGTACCAAACAATTATCATCATTATTTATGCAAGTAGCCTACATGATATGCCTAATACAAAGTGCGGCAGATTCTTCCATCAAGGAAAAAACAGTAATATATTTATTTAAAGAAATAAAATTCTGTCAAAGGCACTGTAAAAAAAAAAATGTCTAACCTCCCAAATAAACATTTTCTAGGGACTGGTCACATCTAAATTTTTCAATTGGCCCAAGAGAAATTCTGCAAATTGATAAAATTATATTTAAGGAGTTCAGATGCAAAAGCCTCTAAGTGCCATTTGAAATTTTCTCCTAATGATTATTTTTATCAAGCTTGTATATTTAAGTTCAGTAATTTCACTTAAATGACAATTAATAGGTAATCTTCATTGCAATTTAAGTGAAATTACTGAACCTAAATATACAGGCTTGATAAAAATGATCATTCTAGAAGAAAATTTCAAATGGCACTTAGAGGCTTTTGCATCTGAACTCTTCATTTGTAGAATTTCATTTGGGCCAATTGAAAAATTCAGTTCATTTTGAGTTGGGGAGGTTAGAGTTTTTAGATTTACAGTTTACAAATATCTGATACAAAAAGAGGAATCCTTTTTTTAAAAAAAAGTAACAAAATAAAAATGATACACAGCATCATGATAAAATAAAGTAGATATATCTGACTATAGATACGCTTCTAAATAAACATATGTGCACATACACATTCAGCATCTTCTTAAATACAGCACTCAATGTGTCTTTAGAGTACACTCAAACCACAGTGCTGACTCTTAGAAAAATAAGACTTTCAAATATAAAAAATCTGTACCTTATGACCAACTATATAGAACTTTGTATTGCAGTATTTCTAAATTCATTGAATCCTTATTATAAGCCACATGATGCCGGACTTTTCCTGAATTAACATTTTCTTTAGACTGTCTCTGTGTCTTTTATATTGAATGGTTCTCCTGAAAAACACAATGAACACACATCCGGTCAAGACTTCATTAGTGTTTGTTTCACAGAAGTACAAGATGAAGAGCAGAATGCTTGTTTACCTGCAGAGCTTTCATCTGATTCACCAGATTTACTGATTCTGATAAAGCAGACTGACACGATCACAGCCAGCATGAAGACAGCGACTACCACAAATGAGCAACCATACCTGAGGATTGGTTCAAATTAAAACCTTTACCATATAGTTCAGTTTTCACAAAGCAAAGAGATTAAAAACAGAAGATAAACTCACAAGGTTATCTGTGGCCGTTGTCCTAGGCGGAGAAGTGTTGGATGTGTAGTAACCATCGTAGTAACAGGCTCGTCTGCTATAGGAAATTAGAGAAAGAAAAGAGAAAGAAAATGGAAACTAAAATAAATGACAAAAATAAAATGCAACTGCAAGGCAAGCAGCAGGTAAAAGGGAAAGTATATGAAAAGGGAAAAAAAAACATGTGAGGTACAAAGGAAGGAATATCTTTAATCTAAGAAATATGATAAAACCACAGTAAATGAAATATAATGGCTGAATGAAATGATACAATATGGCAGCAGTTAGAACAACGCATCACGGGTTTACTCTACAAATGACATCAATACTTTTGTTCCCCCGAGGAATTTTTTTTGTACTCTTGTAAAGGTTTTGCATAAAACTATGAAGATGTTATGATTCAAGTGGGAGGAAAATCTATATTTCAGTGCTTTCGACCAAATTCAGAGTTTCTTGGGAACACAAAAGTTTTTAAAAATATTTTTTTCCTCCCATCTCATGTTTTCATCGAGCCCGATCTCATGAAAGTTTGTATCTATAGCACGAATGTCATTTCTCGTGGCATTTATACGCCAAAAACAGTTTTTGCGTGTATATGGTACACGTTTTTCGTGTGCAATACGCGTATAATATGAACGAACTAACCACCCCCTACCCCCTAAACCTACCCCAGGGTTTTTTAGTGCGTAAATGACATTCGTGGTATAGATATGCATCTTCATGAGACTGTGTTGCCACGACGTCCATTTACGCGCTTTGTAAATTTGCAAACCAATTTGTACTAAAGAAACATTTTAAAAAAAATGTAGTATTATTCTCACCATTGGCACACTGTGTGTCTGCGAACTGCGTGCATTTGGAAACAGTGATCTGTCCAGTTTCTGTAGGTTGAGAAAAAGGATTGTATTCTCAGAATTGCAGAATTGAAATGAACAGCCTCAGTCATGTAAACAGGGGTGAAACAGTTTTTACATACCTTCACATCTGCGGCATATTCTACAGTCCACAGTGTAGTCTCCGGCTCTTTTGGAGCAGTTCTTGGCAACATACCAACCTGTAGATTTGCATCGAATGATTATTTAGTGAATAACAGTGGTCACTGCAATATATTCAGATGTGTTATTATTTAGTCCGTGGAGCTCACCTTCAGGGCAGTTAGGGCAGCACAGCGAATCTGGAAGTTGGAAATGGTTCTTTGGGCATGTTTCGACACATAGAGTACTGAGCACCCCCACAAATATCACCTAGAGTTATGAGAAAACTCTCAAATTACATGTCTAAATCTGGGATAAGAAACAGTTCAAGGCAAAAAAAAAAAAAAAAGGAAAGCAAAAACTACTTTGAATGTAGAAAACATGAACAAAATCCCTTTTAGTCATTCAGTGAAAACATCATATTTCACATGCTTGGTAATGGTTACTTTATCATATAGTTTCAACTTTTTCACTGTAGTTAAAATGTTTAGCTCGCAGATGAAACAGTGCTAACACTTACCAAAATGTGTTTGCTGTCTGTTTGCTTCATTGTAAGTTGTAGGCAAGTAGAAACAAGTGTTTCTCACCAGTGCCTTCTGTAAATCCTTTATACTCGACTCTCTGCTTTTAACCAGCCTGAAACAATGACGCATTGAAGGTGTGGCCTCTAGGAGATCCTGTAAACCACTTTTATTACCATTGGTCTTTCATATGAAGGTAATCTATGTCAGAGATTAACCGTGTTTAACTGAAAGGTATGCGAGCAGGCGTGTCATCTCATTTGTATGTTTTATGTAGTATGTACATACACTTTCTGGCATCACTTTAGTAGGTCCACCTTGTGGATGAAAAGAGCAAACTCGACCCTGTGCAGAGGATCTTTTATCTTGGTATAGAGCTGGACTCAGTCCACCAGATAGCACACCTCACAGAGGACTGTGTTCGGTCAGTATTGAACTGCTTGAATACCAATAAGAGCAGGACTGAAACCTTTTCAGAGGCTACTGGGGCATATGGCATCCGCAGCCACAGTAACGCCACTGTGTTTGATTTAAATGAGACTGCTTCAGCCAGTGTTGTACTCGAGACCAGCTCACTCGAGTCCGAGTCGAGACCGAGACCATAGAGGATCGAGTCCGAGACCATAGAGGATCGAGTCCAAGTCGAGACCGAGACCATAGAGGATCGAGTCCAAGTCGAGACCGAGACCATAGAGGATCGAGTCCAAGTCGAGACCGAGACCAAGTCGAGTCCGAGTCGAGACCGAGACCAAAGAGAGTCGAGCCCGAGTCGAGACCGAGACCAAAGAGAGTCGAGTCCAAGTCGAGACCGAGACCAAAGAGGGTCGAGTCCAAGTCGAGACCGAGACCAAAGAGGATCGAGTCCAAGTCGAGACCGAGACCAAAGAGGGTCGAGTCCGAGTCAAGACCGAGACCAAAGAGGATCGAGTCCGAGTCAAGACCGAGACCAAAGAGGATCGAGTCCAAGTCGAGACCGAGACCAAAGAGGATCGAGTCCGAGTCGAGACCGAGACCAAAGAGAGTCGAGTCCGAGTCGAGACCGAGACCAAAGAGAGTCGAGTCCAAGTCGAGACCGAGACCAAAGAGGGTCGAGTCCGAGTCGAGACCGAGACCAAAGAGAGTCGAGCCCGAGTCGAGACCGAGACCAAAGAGAGTCGAGTCCGAGTCGAGACCGAGACCAAAGAGGATCGAGTCCAAGTCGAGACCGAGACCAAAGAGGATCGAGTCCGAGTCGAGACCGAGACCAAAGAGAGTCGAGTCTGAGTCGAGACCGAGACCATAGAGGATCGAGTCCAAGTCGAGACCGAGACCAAAGAGGATCGAGTCCAAGTCGAGACCGAGACCAAAGAGGGTCGAGTCCGAGTCAAGACCGAGACCAAAGAGAGTCGAGTCCGAGTCGAGACCGAGACCAAAGAGGATCGAGTCCAAGTCGAGACCGAGACCAAAGAGGATCGAGTCCAAGTCGAGACCGAGACCAAAGAGGATCGAGTCCAAGTCGAGACCGAGACCAACAGCGTAGTCTCACCCCAAAAATTCATATAACTGACGTTTTGGGACGTCTTTTGACCATACGTCAATATTCGCCTTTTTAGGGCCCCCTTAAACGTCGGTAGATGAGGTTATGGGATCCTAACTCTACCCCAGACCTAAACCTAACCCTAAACCTAACTGACGTTAAAGGTAAAGCGTCAGTTGTATGACGGCCCGGGATCGCCATCTAGCGACGTTTAAGGGGGCCCTAAAAAGGCGAATATTGACGTATGGTCAAAAGACGTCCCAAAACGTCAGTTATATGACTTTTTGGAATGAGAATGTGTTGAGACCAAAGAGAGCAGTGGCGGATTTAGCAAATTGGGGGCCCAACGCGAAGGTAGTATGGGGTCCCCCATCCTATCTTTAAAAGAGAACGAAAAAAGTTTTTAAAAAATGTTAAAAATAAACCATTAAATGACACTTTCTGGAGAGTTTTGTGCAAAGAAATATTCTTATATTTCTGTAATTTGCACAGATCAAAACAAATATGCTGACTGAATAGATTGCTAGTTGAGAAACACTGCTTTAATTAATGTTTTTATGATGACTTTGCGAAAGCTTAACTAAACAGCATGAGACGTCTTCCAGCTGGCCAGTAAGTTATTTGGCAAATTTCATTCATACAGATCTGTATATTATGCTATAGTTTTTGATAGTGTTATACATTTCTTCCAGATAATCACGATGATCACAGCACCGCTTGGGTAGCTGTAGCTTTGCTTCATTTTTACTCTGTCTACTACTCTGTACACTCTGCCTGTCACTTCTTTTTCTCCGTCAGTTTTTGGCTCATTACAGCCTTGTCACTTTCGCACGCAGAAAGTCAAGTGAGATAATGGAATAGTCCAATGCAGTGAGTTGAGGTGGGGGGGGGCCTTCTCTCTGCGACACTAATGATTTTATGCATTTTTTAGAAATATATAATTTGCGAAAAGGAAAAAAAAACAAACAAACAACTTAAGGATAATTGAATGGGACATTTTGGGGGCCCCTAGGCAGCTCGGGCCCCAAGGCAGTTGCCACCCTTTGCCTAATGGTTAAGTCCACCCCTGAAAGAGAGTCGAGTCCGAGTCGAGACCGAGACCAATGAGGGTCGAGTCCGAGTCGAGATCGAGACCAAAGAGGACAGCCTGTGGCCCTGGGAGAGTGGAGAATCCATCCCCCAGCGGATCTGGTACCACTTCGGGGCCGCACAGATAGATCTGTTTGCCTCTCCTAAATTTGTACCATTGCCAGTTGTTTAATTCCCTGACCGAGGGGACCCTCAACATGGATGCACTGGCTGGCCCCGGGGCCTACACAAGTATATGTTTCCCCCAGTGAGCCTTCTCACACAGACACTGTGCAAAGGAGCAGGTATTGGTAGTTGCCCCTTATTCGCCCAACTGGACCTGGTTCGACGAACTGATGCACCTCTCGACAGCCTTTCCGTGGCCCATTCCTTTGATAAAGGACCTGCTTTCTCAGGGACAGTGTAACGTATGGCACCCGTATCCAGACCTCTGGAAACTCCATGTCTGGTCCCTGGACGGAAGGTGATCTACAAGCTATCGTAGACGCCATCACTTCTGCGAGAGCACCCTCTTACGCTCTACAGTAAAACCTGTTCGTTGGGTGGTGTTCTTCTCACCGAGAAGACCCCGAAGATGTTCGATTGATACTGTGCTTTCCTTTTTGAAAGAAGGGTTGGAGCGAAGGCTGTCTCCCTCCACCCTCAAAGTGTATGTAGCCTCTATTGCCGCCGCACATCACGATGCGGTTGACGTAAAATCTAAAAATGACTATGAAATGACTAGAAATGTGAAATAATTTGCGGTAAGCGAATTTAATGAGCATCGGTGCACCCTGGTGTTTGTGGTGCACTGTGTGATTTTTCAGGGAGCAAACGTTCCAGTGCACAAGAGGGATTTTGCAATTTGAGAAAGCCCTTAAAATGGACGTCTCCCTGATCAGTGCCCTGATTACTGAACTAGGGAGCCGATTGAGACTCACCCCATGTCCACAAATAAATTCAATTGAGAATAAACTAAATTCATTGAGTTGGTGCCATGTGATTGTTGATTAGATATTTGCGTTAATGAGCTATTGTACAGGTGTAACTAATAAAGTGGCCAGGGAGTGTATATTAAATCATTGAAGTGAATTTGCTTGCTACAGGGATCTAGTCTGATATGATTCGAGCCTCTAAGGCCTGGTTTTACATAGGGCTTAGATTAAGCCAGAAGCTTAGTTTAATTAGCTTTAATAACGTGCCTTAGAAAAAAAACATTTCTGGTGTGCATCTTGAGACAAAATGTCACTGACATGTTTTAAGATCCGTGCAAGTTGCTTTCAGTTAAAAGAGCACACAAATGGATGTTAGTAGTTTAAGCCTTGGAACCAGGGTAAGTATTATTTTTGGGCATTTCTTTAAATTCAGATTAAATTAGAAAGTTTCTCAATTTCTTTTGTTTTAGCAGTTTCTGGTCCCATGTTTAAAGTTAGAAACCTAAAAGAAGTTACTGGACTATTGAGATTGAGATTTGGACAGATTGCTATCAGCATTTGCCCTTACACATGATTTCTGTTTGCCAAGTTTTCTTTTTGTTGACAATAGGCCTAGCAACGACACGTAGCAACAGCACTGGTCTCAGTGTTAGTATCACTTTTGTTAAATATTACCAGAGTGTTTAAAGCTCATATGATGTAAGATTATGATATGGTTTAATTGTCAACTTCCGGTACAAGTGAGGTTATAATTTTGCTGTTATAGCAAAATGCAGTATATGAATGACTTTTTTTTTTCTAAACCATTGTGTCTTGCATAAAGAATCAAAACCTTTGCCATTTTATTACCTTACATACATAATATGCCTGTTTTTAACGCCTTTGCTTTGTGAAAACTGAAATTGTAGTAAAGGTTTAATTTATAATATTGAACCAATCCTCGGTTGCTTGCTCATATAGATGCTGTCTTCATGCTGACGATTAGCATTTTCAGTTTTCACTAGCCATAGTTTTGACATCAATGCCATGGGGAAATACTGTCATATAGATATTTTTAATATCTACACAATTTGGCAGCAGGTATATTAGGCTGCTGTAACTTTAAGACCTGACTCACAGATCCATTATGCTGTGTTACACATGCATTTTCTTTCTTAAGTGAATACTCGCCAAGACCGAGATTTTGACATTATTGTGTGTATTTGACTGTTTAAATGCAATAAGCACCAAAAAAAAGGACACAGTTTAGTACTGGGAGGCAGCTTTTTGTGGCGGACTTTGGCTGTGATCGCAAAATCTGCGATAATGTGACACTCAAAAATGTGTCCCATCTTAATTGTGAGTGGGGGGTTTGTGTGTCAACTCACTGTCGGAGGGATGAGAGAGTTAGAAAGCAAAGTAATCATGCATCTATTCTGCAGAAAATTAGTATTGAAAGCGTTTCAGATGTTTCAGCAGGGCTGTAGTCAAGTCCTCCTTTGTCGAGTCCAAGACCAGGACTGGTTGAGACCAAGTAAAGACCAAAGAGTTTAAAGTCAAAGTCAAGAACGAGTCCAAATCAGGAGGTAAAGATAAAGACAGAAAAAAG